AGCTGGAGCAGGAATGTAAAAACAGTCAACACACATACAATAACCAAGACCATTTGAGGAAAGAACCAAAATGTCAATTTTTACTGGATATGAAAAGGGAAAGAAAGACATGTGAGTTACATACATCATGTGATCTATATTAGGATGGACGAAGCGCAACTCTAACGGAAACCGAAACCGGTATGGATCTCTTTTTGCCTGAAAGAACAAAAGAAACTCGAGAATGAAGCAATTTCCATTCAGCTTTTATAAATGTGAAAGAGGAATCTGCCTCAAGATTACCGTGATCTCAACGATAACATGCATCCCAACTTTTATGAAATGCCGGATCCAAAACCAGTCATTACCTTTTATAGGTACCCACCTGCCAAACAATAGACACATAAATTGGAACCTTTCAAAAAGAGCATATGAAACTTCAATTCAGTGACAAGAGACAACCTTTGATCAGGTTAAATACCCTAAGTACAACAATCAAGGTAAGTTTTAACAATATTTACAAAGTAACGGGACATAGATATACCCTTCGTGAACACCACCAATGTCAACAAATGCTCCCTGATACAGATGTAAAGTGGTAACTGTGCCTTCACAAATCTGCATGGACATTACGATATTGCTCATATTACCAATCACCTAACCATTCATTAGTTACAATAAACAAGGCTTAGAATAAGGATTCTTACCATCCCTGGATAGTAAAAGGGAAGCTCATACTGCATAGAAAGATAAAGCAATTAACTTCAAACAGTTCATCACCTAGCAAACTAGTCAAACAATCAAAACCAGTAGTATAATGTTTACCATCCCGTCTTCGTAATCCTTCCCTCTTTTCCTTCTACCCGGATAAAAATCCTGATCGAGCTGGATAAATAAAAACATCATCTTGATTAGAATCCTTCTCTTAGCCATTAAGCTAACAATGTCTCATTTTTCAAACCACTCAGCAAGACCTAACAATGAAGCTAAGCAAAAAGCTATAAAAAAACAAACCTTGTAAGATTCTTCCTCCAACCTATCTTTATTTTCTTCAACCCATTCATTGTATTGTTTCAAAAAAACCTTAAACCTCTCCAAACACATCTTATCAACAGTAGCATCTTCACCAGTTCTCAAATCCTTATCCAAATCCTCAAGCCAAACCCTTTCAGCCATTAACTTATGAGCTTCCCTAATAAACTCGAGCTCCTTCCTATCAACTTCCCAACCTCTCGGCGGCCAATCACGCGGCGGAATTTGCCTAAGAACCATCGGACCAGCCCACGATGTTTCTAAAGGCGGTGGTTTATCACCTCTAATCTCAAACTGCTTAGCATACCATTCATCTTCCGTTATCCCCATCTCCTTAATCTTCTTCTTCCTATACGACGGTCTCAACATCTTAAACGCCTCGATCGCTTCCGGTGATTGAAGCGGAACTTCTTCACCTTCGTTAAGCGATTTACGAGCGAAATCAGCTTCTGGTGTGAGAATCTCTTCCCATGGAGCCCAACCACGTTCGATCCAGTTACGTCTTCGAGCTTCATCTTCTGTGTCTTTGTCCTTTGGTCCGAATTTCTCGAGGAAGGTTTCGTCGACGGGGAATTCATCGGAGCTGAATCCACGGCAAGGCGGTAAGGTGATACGACGAGGTTGAAGCCATTGAAATCCGGCGGAGAGAGATTTGGGTTTGCAGAAATTAGGGTTTGTGGGATTAGGGAAAGTGAAATTGAGCTTGGTTTGGCAAATCTGCATGATTCATTCGCACCTCTTCAGGGTTTTGGAGGGTTTAAGAGACTGAAGAAGTTTGAGAGTGTGGATAAGCTTTATTTCATTTTACAGTGAAGAAGAAAGGTTAAGTTTATTTTATGAACCCCCATATTTATCCAATATTTTTATTTTGACCCCAAGTGTTTTTAATTTAACAGTTAGACCCATACTAATTCAAATTAGCTCAAATTCTTTCTTCGATAAGAAGCAATACATGGCTGTCATTAGTTGATTTAAATCGTACTTGATTATGCAAGTACTTTGGTTCAAATTCAAGAGGTTCTTGGATTATGATTTATATATCTGGTCCATGAAAACTCTTTTTAGCTTGGTCATATGCTGACATTTTCAAATTCAAGAGGTTCTACTTGCAGGAATTGCACATTGTAAAAAATTACATTATTTTTCTATAGACTCCTTACAAACAGAGTTGTCGAGTTAAATTGTACATAATCAAAGTACAACACACATGAACTTGAGTTATGAGTTTACAAATCATTATGAGTCTCTGTCTTCATGTTTCGTGCTTGAGCTTGATTCTTGTACTTGCTAAACATGGATAGTACTGATGGGTTCTTGTTCTTTAGCTGTTTCGAGCTTTCACACGAATCTATAGCCATTGCATCATGAGTGTCTCCTAATTGTGTATCCGAAGATGATGATGACAGATTTACCTCACCCTCAGTTTCTGGTGAAGTGTCCAGTCTTGTTGACCCTTGCTTAAGCTTCAACAGTGTTGACTCTACAATGCCATCAAAATAAACCAAGGATTTCAAAACCTAGAGATTTCTCGCGACTCTAATGACCACTAAACCTACGATTCCTCTGGTTTTATTTTCCAGGATCTTGAAATCGAGGGTTTTTATTGGTAAATCAAATTAAATGAAATCGGAAAGAGTGTGAATTTATACCGTAGACGGAGAGAGGATCGTCTTTGATGATCTTCGCCGGATATCTCTCCAGACAATCCGGCGGCGACGGCGGTGGTCTCAGCCTCCCAAACATTCTTCTCTCTTTTTCTCAATTCGATTAGATCTGTGATCGTCTTCTTTGAGTTAAAAGATGACAACAAAATAATCGATTTTTTTTTTGGCGCCTCGATTGATAAAAAAGAGCGCGAACCGCTTGACAGGAAGATCATACCAGGTCGACCAGGGTCGGGTCGGACCAGTTTTCTTTTACAGCCGAGACCAACATCGGCCCAAATAAATGCAATTATACTGGGCCCTTCGCTCTTATTTTGATTAATCATTAACCACGTTTTCATTATTATTAACCTCCTCTATATCCAACCAAAATAACTTCTACACTAAAATTAGAAAATTTCCATCAAATCTAATATTAATAGATAAAAATATATTAAATGTAAATATTGTTTAAGATATTAATGAACTTATTTTAGAAAATTACAATATTGAATAACTTAAAAAGATATAATTTGATCAAATCTCTTAATGTTTATTACTTTTATAAAATAATTAATATATTGTACATATATATTAATATTTATAATTTACTTTTTTACATACCATTACATTATGTAGATTTATCAGAAAAAGTTAAGATATTATTGAGAAATAAATTGATGTGAAATTTAGTATTTAAATACACCTAAGTAAATCCAAAAAAAACAGATGAATTTAGAATATGGATTTCTTCACAGATGATCTATGGACAATTATACTTGCACAATTACCACTAAAAATGCTCACAACTTCTAAACTGGTTTGTAAGCAGTGGAAATCTATTATCGAGTCTCCACATTTCCGTGTCATGTTCATGTCTCTGCACCATTCTTCTTCATGGTCGCTCATGTGTAGGTATTACAAGACAGAAGTGGTGGCTCATTATAATTGCGACACTTGGGGACTTAACCGTACCATAGGCTCTTACATCTCGTCTTTCATAACCGATAAATTCGAAACTCATATGAACAAATACCGACAAGCCAACGTTGTTACTTACAACACCGATATTGGGTTTATTTTGATTGATGTCGAGTCTATCCGCGGGGATCGATCGTTATACCTGGCTAATCCAATTTCACATCAATGCTTAGAGATCACTCTTCGTGCTCTTCTGCATGATTTTTTCTGTCCCTTGGAAATAGTAACACAAACTAAGAACGGCGTCGTTTTGGGTTACAAAGTTGTTATGTTTGATGGAAAGCAAAGAGGTCCCATAATAACGAAAATAACTTTTCTGATATATTCATCCGAGACACAGTTGTGGAGTCTCAACACCGTCCATTTTCCTTTCTCTTTTTCGTTCAATCGTGATTTTCACCATCCCATTAGCTTAAACGGAAATCTTCATTGGCTCATTCGCAATAGTGAGGATACAGAAGTTGTTGTATCCATCGACTTTTACGATATAGGAACGAGTTCCTATAGATGTCGTGTTACTCCTTTCCCTGATTTAGAAAAGCATCCCAAATTCATAAGAACATGCACAACTAGTCAAGGGTTTCTCATGTATATGAACATAGTCTCTGATGAAGGTTTAGATGATAAGTTATGTGTATGGAGGCTAAAGAGTGGAGAATGGCAATTAGTATTTGAGATCTCCCCGACTTTTATTGAGACCGGTTTCAATTATATACCGTTGGCAAGTAACCCTTTTGATGCTAATATAGTATACTTTTGGAGTTCGAAACACCGAAATTTGCTATATATTAACTTACTCAATGGAAACTTTGTGATCCACAATCAATTAGAATACGACAAGGAGACTGGCATTATAATTTCTGTTAACCGTCCGGTAGTTATGGAACACCTCATCAAAAATGTAGGATGTTGCTTGTTCTTTCTCCCACAATGGCTGTATCGGATCCCCGACCCATGATGACAACAAAAGTTTAGATATGTAATATTTACAATACTTCACTTGTTTACTTTTGTCATTATTATTAATGTACGTTTCTTATGAAAAGAGGAAGAAGATGGTTCTTGGTTTACTTTTGAGTGTTCTAGTTGTTACAAAAAAAAACAAAAAGAAAGAAAATGGTTATAGGGCAAAACAAAAATATATCTAAGATTTAGAAAAAAAAAAAAAAAAAGAGAATTACGATAAGGGTTTGATTCTATATTTTCCCAAAGCACCCGAACAGAAATATTCTTTAGAAGAAAAAAAGATTAAGACAAAACTTAAAGAAAGGGTTCAATAAATTCTCTCTACAGAAGCCAAAGAGACATTAAATCATCTTGACCATTGAATCGTTGACTATAAAACAGTAAGTAAAATCAACGGCCAAAAGAGCCTTTACGTAATCGGTCTGCTAATAATATTAAGCGAAACAAAAAGTTTACAAGAGAAGAGGGAAAATTAATAGCAAGAGAAGAGAAACACTCAGAGCTCTCTCTACCAAATTTCAATGTCAAGAAGACGAAGTAATCGTGTTCGAAATACTAATAGTAAATACGTCACCAGTCCTGTTCGTGTTACTATTATTGATGGTAATTTCCAATTTCCTTCTCGATTTTTATTCAATTTTTTTTCTGGGGTTTTTGAAAGTTTTTTAATTTCTTGGTTTCCGCAATTTTGGGGATTAGGGTTTTGCGGTTTCGATTAAAGTTTGTGTTTTTTTCTCTCTGGAATTTTCAAAGTGACGAGATTGTTTCTATTCCTGTGTCGTGGTGATGCTTACTACTTTACCATGTGTATTTTTGAAGTTCTCTGTAGTAATTGGCTTAAATTTGGGATTTTTATGACAATGAATCTATGGTTCTTGAAATGTGTATATATACTTAGTACTGGTTTTGTAGTTGGTGAAGTTTTTGGGTTTCATATTTTGGTTCTGGTTGTGGAGTTTGATCAACATGTCTATAATTTAACAGATTGTGAGGAAGATGAGTTTTTACACCACAGGACGTGTTGGAAGCATATTGCTGCTGCCTTGAACAAGTGTGGTTCGAAACCGAAGCGAGCCAAGGAGTTGGAGATGTTCAAATTGACTGCCCCTTGTTTCTATGACGAATGCACACGCCGTGGGAGGTCAGAAAGAAGACTCAAGTGCAAGTACTTAGCCTCCAAGCTACGGAAAAAACTTAATTCTAAAGCATTTGTAGGTTACCTAGAGTAAGCAATATCTCTTTTTACTCGAAATAAAGAAGGATTTGTGCTTGTTGTGATTCTATTTGTGGTTAGTTGGTTTGCTAACATTTTTGAGTAATGTGAATAGGGATGTCTGGAGTGGCTTCTCGGATGAGAAAAAGAACTCTTTTGTGTACTTAGATTGTCTATGGTTCAGTATGTACAAAAGCGAAAACCATAACATTAGAAGCAGTGTTTTCGATGCCATTAAGGCAAAGCAGATCTTCTCGAAGAAATACGTTTTTCTTCCTATCGTCTACTGGTGAGTTCATTTTGCCATATATGTTCGTTCTTGAAATGGTTTCGAATGTAACTATTTATGTTTATTTTTCTTTAATTCCTCCAGGAGCCATTGGACTTTGTTGATCTTTTGCAATTTTGGGGAGGATCTTGATTCAGATAACACATGCATGTTGTTTCTTGATTCACTACAAACAACCGACTCTTCGCAGCGGCTTGAACCAGATATAAGAAAGCAAGTACTCTTTCTTGTTTTTTTTTCAATCGTCAGCAAAGAAGAATGATATTTTTGTGGAAAAGCTCGTGTAATAATATGTTTGTGCTTCTTCTTTGATTTCAGGTTTGTGTTGGACATATATAAAGCCGAGGGAAGAACTGAAGACCCAAGACTGGTTGATGAAATCCCGTTCCATGTGCCAGTGGTAATTGAGTGCATCTACCAAGATATTTATATTTCTTGATTCTTATATCTCAGAATTGGATCGGCTTATCATAATTTCAGGTTCCACAGCAGACAAATGATGTGGAATGTGGAAGCTTTGTCCTCTACTACATTCAGCGGTTCATAGAAGATGCCCCTGAGAACTTCAGCGTTGATGATATGCCATATTTCGTAAGTTTATCATTCAAAGAACATTTTATCGTTGTTCACCTTAAGTGGCTTTTTGTTATTGGTGAATCTTGAAATGCCCGCCCGGGTTTCGCTTAAAATTTGCAGATGAAAGAGGATTGGTTTAGCCATAAAGAGTTGGAAAAGTTCTGTGAGACGCTTCATTCTTTGGGAACCATTCATTGACGAAAGTGATAACTTCTAATGGCTTTAACACATCAGCATAGCGCAGAAGATTAGGTCCAGCTTGGAAGTGAACTTGGAAAGATTCAAAAGGGTAAAGAGATTCTGATTTAGTTATTAGTTGGTATGGAATCTCTAAGAGTTTTCTTCTTCTATGCGTAGAATTCTTTCTTTTTACGGGTTCTTTGATTTATCTATCAAACTGTTGTTCTGGTTTTTCTCGGGGGCGGCCTGTTGTTAATCATGTTTAGTGGCAACCAATTGATTTTTCGCTTCATCATTGACTAGTTCAGAAATCTGAATGGAAATTTTCTCAACCTTTGGAAGATGAAAAGTATCTATTTTTAGCAACTGTAATCGTATCTAAAGTTGAATAATCGTCAGCTACTGAATTGGATTTGTTAATCTGTTTTTCACTCATAATTAGAGAGATCAATTTGGTTTCTGGCTCTGTAAATCACTAATCAGGAACAAGGCCACTTATCACAAATCTCAAAACTTTGTAACAGATATTAAAAATCTATTAACACATGAATTCTTTAGTGAAGAAATGTTACTATACAGAGGTGACTAGAGCCGAATTAATGGGAATGAAGTTTCTAGAGATGAACATTTGAAGAAGGAAGTTTGATTGATGTCAGCTTAGAGATACCAGAAGGTAGACTTATGTTTATCCGTCCAGTGCTGCTGCTGCTACTTCCACCGGTTGATTCTAAAGCTCGGGAAGTTTGAAGAGCCATCTCGGCATGGAGTTGGAGACATGACAAAGCCATCTAACACAACATAACACAGCAAAACACACAAGCTAAATTGTAACTTTCAATCACGTTGTTAGCTAATCAAAAACCGCAGACTCTTTATTTCCTTAAAAGCTATAATCAAAATCTAATAAGAGATGGATCCGGGCTGGCCCATGGGAGAATGTATGACTTACAGTGTAACAGTCTCGGTCAATGTCTGAGTCAGCTATTTGAAGAGCCCACGTTCTGATCCATTCAAGAGCTCTGGAAAGATCAAGATTTCCTTCAACCAAGGTTGAGACTATGTAAGACGGGTGAAGAGCAACCAAAACAGAAGAGGCTGCAAAAAGGACTGCTCTTCGGACATAGGCTTCGGGGTGATTGGATACTTCCCTGTATTGAGTTTGTCAAGTATACAAATACTCAGTATATATGCAAAAGCTTGGATATAAGATATATAATATAAAAAGTGATTATGTACCTTCGTTGTAACATATCTAGAAGAGAGATAGCTAACGCAGATGCTTCTGGATGCATCGATGCACACTGCATACAGACGCCGAGCATGTGAACAAGTTTCCCAAGGACAACAAAGTCCCTGCCAAGTAAGTCAACACCATGTCGTTTCTTGTCAAACTCTTTCATGGCTGGAAGCATAAATGCTGCTGCATATAGTGGAAATTTATTCTGAGACCAGTCACTACTGTTTTGATCTCTGTCTGCTGATTTGAGGCTCCACCTTCGAGATTTTCCTTTCTTCGTCTGTCCAGGCTTTGACTGTAGCTCTCTCTCAAATCGATTTGCCCAGTTCAGATGAAAAGATCCCGTCTCGGGGACCTTTTTCCATGGAGTACTCGCATTGCTAGGCAAATACCAGGGTTGAGGATCTGAGATATTTGATATCAAAGGTCCCCGTGCTTCATGTTTAGGTTTCAGGGTCTTGGAATTAGCAAGCTCCCGAGCTGCTTCGGACATGACATCAAGTATCATTATGCGCTGACTTACATCTACATTAGGCGAATACAAAATATTGTTTAGAGTTTCAAGGGATTCAAATGGACGGGTCACAAGCAACGCAATTAGAGCTCTTTGCCGCTTCTCTTCTGCTGAATCTTCTTCACCTTCGATTGTTATATCAGAGCAGCGAACCTGTACCAGAGTTCGAGCAAGGTCACCAGCTATATGAGTCAATTCATCAGGTGATGCTCGCACAAGTTTCTCTGCAACATATATTGCTTTCTCCACCTGCAACACGTAATATACACAAAGATTACTATCTTGTGTCTTTTTAATAAAAGAATATCAGCATCATCAGGTTAATGTCCCAGACAATTCTCTCTAGCTACGTACCCCATCAGCATCATCGGTTTTCCGAAGAGCTCCAACAACATCCACCAAATGTGTAAATTGTTTCCCTAAATCCTTGTCATCATCCATTAGATCATATGGCTCCAAAGAAGTGACACTTGAATTATCAGAGCTGACACTTGCATTATCATCAACATCATCTTTATCACTCTCTGTTTCACAGTTTAAGGTAGCCAAATCAACTATTTCATCGGGATCAGCCAATAAAAAATCAGATATGTTCTTGCTCTTGCGATTTTTTTCCTTGTTTCTGCGGCTAGAGTCATTTACTTCAGTTAAGGCGGCTGATGTTTTGTTTTCACCATCTTCATTTTCCATTGAATTTGTGATTGACCGGACCCCTCCCACAGCCATTTGCAATCCAAATTCCCAGTCAATTGCATTCCCAGTGAATGAATCATCGAGGTACAGAGGATTCTTCGGGTCAATTACTTTAGAGAACATAAACGCAATAGAGCTAGCCATTTTTCGTACCAGATCTCCTGGGTTCTCCAGTCTACCTGTTGGCAACAATAAGCACAAGAAATAAGATCGCAGAAGCTTTTAAGTTCCTTACCAAAGATACCAAAAGAGATAAGTTTATACAGCTAACTCCTTGAAGAATACTGTGCATTACATCCTTCGTTCTATCTAGTTCTTCCTTTGACATGTTCTCCAGGCAAAGCCCAAGAGCTGCAGTTATATCTGCAATATCTGTTACGGGAAACAGGAACTGAAAGTCTAAACCAGTAGCAGGAAGGTTAAAGCATTGCTTCACCATCTAAATATTGATAAAACAAAAAACCTATTACAACAGTGATCTATACATAGCATAAATCAAATTTAAAAGCCAGAAGAGGATACAAGCTTGCTGCTCCAATGGGACGGACTGCAGAAACTCCCGTTTTGACCAAACTGAGGCTAGTCGCTGCGTTGTTTCAAGCAGTCCTTGTGTGACATCACCTTTAGCAAGTGTATTAGTAACCGGTGGGCACTCAAGAACTGAAAATTGTAAGATCCATCGCAGACAACGGATAGGAAACACTTTCCATAGCAAAAATTTGTCAACAAATATGGACCTGAAAAACAAATTACAGACAATTATTTGCAAAGTAGACTAAACTGGCAATAAAATCAAAAGACAGCAAATCTGTTTCCTTGAAACAAAAAACAAATCACAGTTACAGTTACATGCTCACTTCTGTCGAACCGCATTATCTCATTAGGATGGAAATAATCGAAGAAAAAGAGGTATCTAAACAAAGAATCAAGCTGCCATAGAAAACATTTTGCTTGCCTCACTGATGCCTGATGTATTACATTGCGATGAAACAGAGACCAAATAGTCCAGAAAGCTTCAACATCACTTGCATGCTCAGCATATAGCTGATGTAAAAGTTGTTCAGCCATTTTCTCAACAGCATACGGATCTGTCACTGCTTCCATAGTTTTCGACCAAATCTGGGGTGTAGGGTCCAACTGAAATGTTTCCATCTCAATGGAACCCATCTTTGAGTTTAGTAACCTCCTAACATGAGCTAGGACATGAGGTGTTACTTCACTTAACAGCAAATCTGCAGATTAAAAAACATAATTTAAAGTATATCATGATCTGTGTCATGAAAATAACTTCAATAAAAAAAACATTGTCACACCATCTAGAGCTTATCAGTCAATTACAGAGTGCAAGGTAATTATATTCTGGCACATCCTTTTTCATGTCTGTCACGAGGATCAAATCTACATCCTCACAACTTTCCATTACAGGGGAAAGATAATGAATACAAGCAAGTCCATGGTAAATCACAACGCACAGAGAAAAAATGGAGCTGAAATTATTGAACAACACAGTAGGATGAGAAGTATATTGCTCGGAGCATATATACCTGATAATCCGCGTCGACAGATGCGGGAAAAAATTTCCCCGACAAATGATAAAACGATAACTGTGCTATTGGCCTCAGTGCTGGAAGCTCTGTCGTCCAATATTTGTAGAAGCTGATTGGTAATGTTCTTGAAGTACAAGCTTTATGACTTATGTAAAAGATAAACACTGACCTCAAAGAAATTAATAAGTAACAATAAAAGGTATCTAATTACTTATGGGAGGCTAAAAGACATCAAATTGACGGCGCTAGAATCTGTATTCATAGAGAAAAGGATACTGAGAAGAAAGTAGTGGTGGGGCTTTTAACCGTGCTTTATCAGGAATGGAGGTCAATATCTGTGATAGCCTGGATAACAATGGCTTGAGACTTCCATTCTTAAAATTCTCTCCTTGATAACTATCACTAATTTCTTTAGTTATCTTGAGCACTCCAGCATTTTCAAGCAAACACAATATAAGCAATCTGTCATTAAAGCAAAATCACATCACCACAGGCTAACAAAATACTAATAGTAGCATTTGCATAAGCTACAGTCAAAATATATCACTGGACATAGATTTACACGCAGATAAATAGTCAAGATGGAAAATTGCTGTTTGGTCCATTAAGTAAAGTGTTATACTGTCTACATCTTCAGATTTTCCAGTGGACTCAAACAGAAATTGTTATTCTTAATACTCAGAACACGCCCAAACATGAAAGCAAAAAACTTGTACAGAAGCAGGGATTTATAATTACTAGTTCTCAAACAGAAACTCAATGGAAAAAAACAAAGGAAAACAAAGTATGTGTTTGGGCACCTTTCCACATTAGTCTGGACAGAATTAGCATCAACGCCACCATCTCCCACATGATGTAGAAATGGAACCAAGACTTGAACAACCTCAATAACAGGTCCATCTAAAAAGAACACATCATACAAATGTTTCTGCACTGAGATAGGGAAACAGGACAGCCAATCGGAAGCAACATCTGCAATAAAACAAGAACTACTTAAACATAACCTCCAAATTAAAATCAAGGAAAGAACTAGTGATACAACTCAAATCAACAAGGGCTACCAAAAATCACACTAAAACAATCATAAAATGTAGATTTGACAAAAACTTACCAAGCAACAAAACCCGAGCAAACGTTGGAAACGCAGCCCCTCTGTAGAACGTCTCCAACCAATCATTTCTCTCATCTGTAGAAGGAACTACAGAGCTAGAGAACTATGCGGCGACCAAATACGGAAGCATTAGTAAGAAAAAAGTTCCTAATTTCAAATTCCCCAAAGATACATTAAAAATACAAACCCTTTCCCTGTACTTGTCACCAATACTCCCTGCAATTGAATTGGAAAAATCAGTAAGTTTCGTAACGAAAAAACAGCCCAAAATCTGAACTTTTGAATGGAGAAGGGACTGAGTTTAAGTAAGAATAGATGAACAAGTGACTGTTGATTACCGGAAAACAACGATGGATCGACCGGGAAGAGAAGAACGGCGACGGAATGAATAGCGGAGATGACTTGGTCTACGTGTTTCGCATCAGAAATAGCAGAGATGGCTTCTGCGATCTTGTTGAGCAAATTGTTTTCAAGTGTTCTCTCTTGCTCAGTCGCTTCCGCCATGGAAAGTTTTGGAGAGAGCGAAATTAGAAGAATTCGTCCGTAGACTCTAAATTTTAGGAAGAAGAGCGAAACGACAACGTTTTCGAAGAGCAAATGTTGTAATTTGATCTCACTTTGATTTGGGGAGAAACTTAAAAATTTATATAACGATTTTTAAATGCTTCAGGCCCAACAAAAACTACTTCGGAATCACTTTGGGCCTCTATCAACCTCATTTGATATATATATATATATATATATACTAGATCATCACCCGTACTACAGTACGGGTTGAATTTCATTTATTACAAAATTTATAAATTTTATGTTTTAGAATAAAGTTGTGATGGGGATGTGCCTTTAGTCAAGTGGTTAAGTCCATCTGACTCCGTCTTCCCCATCGGAGTTCGACTCCACGAAGTCGCGTTACCCCGCGTAGTAGGGATTGGCTATGGATCGGGCTTTGTCGATCCAAAGATGTCAAAAAAAAAAAAAAAAAAAAAGAATAAAGTTGTGATATATTATAATAGTAAGTAAAAAATAATACTTTTTTATCAGTCCCTATATATAATATTAGAATGAATATATTTTTCTTTTTCTATAGTATTCAATTATGGATATTTTCTTTTAAGATATGAAAACGGAAAAAGATTATTTTTTAAAAAAATTAATATTGTTTGAACACTGAGTTAATTTATGTTAACAACCACAAAATGAGAGTGCATATAATTTAGTTAGATCAAAAATCAAAATATCATAAATGAATCGCATCTAAAACGTAGATTATTTTGAATTACTTAAGAAAATTAGCTATTATTTTGAATTAATTTAGGAAATTATTTTTTCAAATTCCGATTCATTGGTTGTTGAAATAGAGATTTGTTTGAGCTAATTACGGAATTTACCAATTATTCACATAATCAAATATGTTATGAACATATATTTGGTATATAATAATACCAAATTCAATCCTTGTGTGGAGTCTATATTTTCATTTTACAATCCGTATGAAAATATTGCGGCACAATATATTATTTATTATTTTCAAAATTGCTTGCAGAATCAAATTTTCAAATATTTAGAAGTGTCAAACCTTATTTAACTCATCTCATCATAAAATCTTAAAATGCCGTCTGTTATAAGGATCATAACTTTCTACCATATAATACATTACATTTAACCCGCCGCCTATTATAAATATTTAAAAATATCTTTTTAGAAAATCAAATTAATGTATTTATATTTTTTTTAATCTTTTTAATCTATTAAATATTTATGATATTCTTTAATATATTAAACTAAACTATTTTAAAATGTTCCAAATTAAAATCTTTAAAATTTTTATTGTATTATGTAAAATTATGAATTTAAAAAAAAATGATATGAAATTAAATATAAATATTCAAATAGTTATAAGAATCATAACTCATTTCATCATATAATATATTATATTCAACCCGCCGCCTATTATAAATATTTGTTTCAAAAAATCAATTTAGAGTATTTATACTTCATAAATTTTTGCTCTATTAAGTATTGATGATATTAAAAAAAAGGAATATATTACTCAAATATGAATTTTTGACCCGTTAAATTTGTTCTTTCATACATTGAATAATTTATATTCGTTTTAAAAAATTCAAATCTTGGTATATGCAGAAAAAAATTTACTTTTTTTTATTATATAGATGATATAATGATTTATTTATTTATAGAAATAGAATCATATAAAGATGAGAGATGAAGTATAATGATTAATAACAAATTAATATGGTAAGTTAGATATCAAATCTTATATGTTTATTTTGATTGGTCATTCTTTTTAAAGAAATTAATAATAGATTTTCGTTTTGATAATTAAATTAAATTAATTAAATTGCATAAAATAGTATTTGACTTGTTTATCCTTAATGAGTTGAATTAATTTACTCTATAAAATTTTATTTCTAATGGCATTCTTAAGTAAATTCTTACAAAGGGAAAGGTTAATTAAGGGTAATACATAAATTGTACTCCCCAAATAATAGTATAGGATATATTTTTTTCTTTTTAGGTAGTATCATTTGATTTTATTTTTATTTCTAGTAGATGACTGCTTTCTACAAGAAAAAAAATACTAAAATACCAGAAATTAAAACTATCAGGCCATTTAATTTTTATAAGTCTATGTCATAACCAAATTTAAATCCACTAGAATGCAAAAAAAAAAAGAAAAAAAAAAGAAGAAGATGAATGTCCGCTTTGAGAAGCTTTTCTCTCTCTTCTCTCTCTCAAATTTTTCAGAGGAAGAAAGCTTCTTTCGCTTTTATTTCAGATCAATCGGATCTGAAATTGTTTGTTTTTGTTTCCAATCAATTGCTAGATTTTCATTTCTGGCGTTGATTTGGTTTGGGTGTCCCTCTTTTGGGCTTCGCTTCCCCTGTTGGGGCTTTGGTTTTCTTCTCCCGGACCGGTGGCTCTTTTAGCACCGTTGCCGTCGATCGGTCGTCTCATCTCCGACCACGCCTCTGTCAGAAACAAACTCAAGCTTGGAATGGATCCGACGAAAAACGAAGACAGCTTCGTATGGTGTTTCGGATTCGTACCGGTTTGGTGACAACAAGCCTATGTTTGGTGAACTTAATTTTTTGAAGTTAAAAAGTTGTTTGTAGAAGATGAAGATGAATAAGATTTGCATTAAGTGGAGTCAAATTCTCATCAAAGCTTAAATGGAGATTTCACCTTATTTTGTTTGGGTGAAGAATGAGATCTATCGCAAGTTTTGCGTAAGTTTTCCGGCGATTTCGGTCGGGATTGAAGTTTCCCGGCGTTACAACATTCTGCCGTGATCCTCGACTCCCATCTCTTCGACTTCCCACGTGTCATCCAACCTGTTTCGCATGTGCCACGTGTTCTCTGTGCTAGACACTAGACACAACTTTTTCTTCAATTAAGGGTTTACTTATCTGGGCTTTTAGGCTTTTCTTTTGTTTTAGTTCACTTTAGTGTGTTTGTAAAATATTGGCTTGTATCACTTGGTTTTTGTATTATAAATAAAATACACTTGTGACAAAAAAAAAAAGAATGTCCGCTTTATGGAGAAACACATGATTTATCATTTAGTGATTTACAGATCTACCACATTTTTCCTCATACAAAATGAAAGATAATTGGCATTATTTACCTCATACAAAATGCGTACTCATTAGTTAGACCACATATTTTAAAACATATAAAAATTATTTGATGATTTTTTTTATATCCATTTATTCATATAACTACAAATAATTTGATAAAAATTTATTTTTCTTTCACTTTTCATGTGTGTTGAAGCTCTGATCATAAAATTTCTTGAGGCTTTAGATCGAAAAACCAAGAAACAATATAAAAACAACTCCAAAACCATTCAATCTTATATAAAAAATGGGAAAAATGTCATTTAAATCATCAGTTGGCTATTTTCGTTGATTTAAAACATGAACTCTACTCCTGATGATTAAAATGCTCAATTTTATGTGGACTTTCAATTTAATCACGAATTTTCATTGACAAAAGCCAATTGAGACATAAAATCGAAATCCAAAGAAGAAATCTTAGAAACTAAGATTAAATCGGGATTTGAGAAGAAATCGAGAGGATTAGAAAAGAAATCGAGAGAATTTTTAATTATGAAGTTCTAATTTTTATATCAATTTTCTTCTTTCGATTCCGATTTTGTGCTTCAATTGGCTTTGTCAACGAGAATTCGTGATTAAATTGAAAGTCAACATAAAATTGAGTATTTTTATCACCAGGTGCAAAGTTCATGCTTTAAATCAACAGAAATAGCCAACTGATGATTTAAATGACATTTTTCCCTATAAAAAATCAGTAAAACAATTCTTTTATAAACTGTTTAGTTTCTTGAACAACAAGTTACTAAATCTAGGACGAGTGAAAGTGCCGTCAAGGAACATATCAGCCATAACCTTATACATAGCCTCGGTCAAGTGGACTCCGTCCCAATTGATGTATTGATTCGGATCCTTACACGCGGTAGCTGCAGCCGTCCCACAAGTCTGGAACACCTGGAAGTTGTACGGCTCTCCGGTTCCACAGCAAGCCTTGAACTTCTCGGTGATACCGTACTTGCTAGGGTTTTGAATCACCGCACGGTACGCGTTCCAGTAATCTGCGTAGACTATTGTGGCAGTCGGATACTTGATCCTGCATTTATCAAATATGTTTAAAATATGTTCTACTAAATAACATCAAAATGTTAGTTATCTTTAAACAACTGACCTAAGTTGTTTAAGTTTGGATTGAAGAGCAAGATTGTGAGTGTAACTTTGGTTATTGGCACTTTGCACACATCCGAGACTGTCCCGATCATCTTCTGCGGCAAGCGACATTGCTAACGTCAAGCATCCAGTTGCTGGATGTCCTTGTACCAACATATATTTCACACCTTTGTTCAACAATGTCTGCAGTTATGATTAAAACAAATGTTATTAACCAAACTTAATACAACCAATTCAACCCAAACCGGTCGGTTAGATCCATGACCACCAGATTTATTTCTGCCATGATCAGGTTAACTTTTAAGCCAGACTGGTTTATCATCAAGGGCCTATTTTGTTATGGTCATATATATGCACATAATTTAGCAGAAAATTACCTCCAAAAACCTTGTAAAAGTTGAGATACTGAGTTCTCTAATGGTATCACTTGACACAGTAGATCCAAGGGTATACGCATAATCATTCACTCCAATTTCTCCAATCCAAAAGAGAGAATCTTTAAACAAAGAAACCTTCTGATTCGTTCCAAGTGTCTCTAAATACTTCTCGAACCAGCCAAGCTCTGTTTCTATAGACTGAGGAGTCATATCAAGCGATAGATTGTTCTTCACGAAAAACGCGTGTTTAATCACCGTTGCTCCAGAGACGGCGAAATTAACGCCGTGAGTATCCGTAGCTGTGCCGTTACCGTTAGTGGATTTGAGGCTGAGGTACGGTGGTAGAAATGGTAAATTCATTGACTCTGCCACGAAGTCGATGGTGAGTCGACCGTCGGAGTAACGGTTTGTTGGTCGCCGGAAGAAAGTCATGCCGTACGGAGGACTTGACAAGTGTCCGAATCCGGCTGGTCCTTCGCCGGAGCGTGAGTTTCCGGTGTCGGTGAAAGAATCGCCGAAGGCGTAGATTTTGTTGAATGGATGGTGGATGTTTGGAATTGTCGCCGCGGTGGAGATGGTGGAGAAGAAGAGGATTGTGACGGAGACGGTGGTTGTGAGGAGGAGAGAGATAGAGGATGACATTGTGTAAAGAAGTGAGATTTGAAATTTGAGCTTTCATGAAAATGGTCGTGTGTTATATATGTAGTGGTGACTGGTGAGAATAAAATTGAGAAAAAAATGTATTTAATTTATTAACTTGTGTATTTTAATTTACCGAATTTTTGCAGATGAGATCCAAAGTTTTTAAAATAAAATTTAATTTAATGTTGTGAAGAATTATTTAAGCTTTAAATAGTTTATTTCGTACCACAAAATAGAATGTCGTTTTTGGTAAGTTTTATTGGCCCCGCTAAATCCAGAGTTAACCATTTAGAGCCTTAGAAGAAAATTGTGGTGAGTGTATTTTTAACAACAAAAAGAAAAAGAAAACAAACAAACATGTGTAAGCTTAAAACTCACAAATATTTGGGAATTGGATGATTGTATTTTTGTGGAGGATAATTTTTTTATGTGGTATATACATAATACATGTATACCTTCTACTTCTAGTGTGATTGATTTTTAAGTTTCTTTTTGTTTATGTTCATATATATATATGTTAAATTGTATTTTTAAACCATTGTATTTTAGTGTTTTTCAATTTACAAAATGTACAAATGGTTGTCATTTAGAGGAATAAACTGGATTAGATGAATAAAATCATTGGAATAAAATAACACAACCAATTGCACCGAAACTAAATGTAAACAAAAGTAAAATTTTGTTTACACTTGTAAGTTTTAATTAATATTTAACAAGGCAATAAATTTTGTTTTGTTTGATATCATCCAATACACGATGAAAGAATTTCATTATTAATGCATGTCAAAAAGTGTCATCGCTTTTGCTTAGGTTTGGACCTAGCGTTCAGTGATATATATGCAATAATACAATATGAATGATTATCCTTTATTAAAAATAAAAAAAAACCATATGAATGATTATAGCTATTACATGAATACAGTAATATGGGAAAACAGATTGGATAAAGTCATAAAATATAAACGAAGTAACTAGAAGAAAAAGTAGGTGAGGCATGCATGGAGGAGGTTAATGTAGTTGGCTGTGGAGAGATTTTTAGTTAGCCATTAAATGTCTCAGCCATCTCTCATGAGAATTCTTGCAACGTGCGGCAGCTAAGAAGTTCGGCAATTGAAAATGTACTCCATGGTCGGTTTAAAAATAGTTAAGTTTCCAATGTCATCCATTATAATTAGAAAATGTTTCACTTGATGGAAAGATTATTGTATGTCATTAGAACTTTAGAGTATACACTTGATGAAATCATTGTGGGTTTTGAATTGTAAAACAAATATTACTAAATTACTTATAAAGTTATAATCTCTCAATTGCAAAGTTTTTTTAACGTTTTTATGAATTCAGTATCGTGTCATTTTGATCACATAAATTCGTTTATCTTATTCTGTTAGTTTCCTCTAAACTCTAAACTAGCTAAGATTTAAGTACTCGTAATATCTAACTAATTTTGAAAAAATCATCTTTAACAACAAATTTATTTTAAAAACTGAATAATTAATGTTTTCATTTTCATTTTCACATATATGTGGTGTTTTATTTTGTGAAGTTACATACCTATAATTGTATCATGACAATGATTGTAATACTTATAAGACGTTAGAATTCATTTATATCTTGATGCTAGCTAGCTAGTAGGCTAATAGCAACATACAATGTACTAAAAGACAATTCAAATATCATCTATCTTTTTGTTGATGCTATATTAATCATATATTCATATAAGAAACCATATGTTGGACCATTTTTTTGCCTCTTTAGTCGGTTACATTGTGCTGTCATAATTTATTTTCTTAGCGACCATAAGGGTTCATAATCTACACGTGTTGGCGCAGTGTGTACATTAAATGTGAACCCATTAATCTTGTTACTATTTTTTTTAAGAAGTTGAAGCTGTTAGCTGAATGATAATGACCGTAATAATAGCTACGTCAAAGGGAGAAAATCTAGAGAGGTTTCTTACTGGTGTTAATGCATTGCCTTGTCTTTTTTAATCCTTTAAGTGTAATGGTCACTTTGGCCAGTTTCTTAACTTGTAAGTATGGAGTTTCGAACCCATTCAGATTGGAAACAACATGGAGCATTTAAGACCACTGTCGGTGTTAGATCATGCAGTGTTTTACATTCTCGAGGGGGTCATCAAGTAGTAATTGCTTCTTCCTTTTTACAATATGAGTTAACGTTTTTTCAATTATAGGGCTCACTAAAATATACTTGCTCCTTTTCATCACAACCGTCGTTTTAGCTTTAAAATTTTATTTCAAAATAATAATCGTTTTATACTTTTAATATAGATGTTTAATAAAATTTTCAATTTTATTTATACTACTACTAAAATTTATTGACCAATAAAAAAGATTGTATGATATATTAATAAGAGGTAAAACAGAAATTTAATTGATTGGTTAATATGCGTAAATTAAAAAACCTTAAACAATATTTATAATATAACAAAAATAATTAATACTTATGTTCTGTTTTGTTAAAATCTCACTTAAATAGTTTATTCTTAATGAGCGAATATTCAAAATTTATTTGATTATGTAAGTCGATATCATAATTTTTTTCAAAATATGAAATGGTTTAAATTGAAATTAATATCAAGTGTTTACACTAATTTGTTTTCAATACAAAATTTTATGAAAAAGACTTTTAACAAAAAACTAATATGAAAAAGACTTACAAGAATATAATCAAATGAAGTAGTGATATCAGCATATCATTCATTAATCATGGCCGACATAAATGGGTTAGCTTCTTCATGTTAGTTTACTTGAAAGTTGGCACATCTTTTTCTTATTTAACTCCGACTTGTTTTTTTTTCCATTCAAAACAAGGGTTCAAAATCGATTGTAAAACATGTTTTCTGAATCCAAATTTCATGTTTTGTTAGTTTTATACAATCATGTTTTCTGAATCCAAATTTCATGTTTTGTTAGTTTAATTTTATTTAACTCGGTCGTAGAAGTTGAGCCTTGATTTTTTTTTTTATTTTTTTTGCAAATTATACATATGAGTCTAAGTTAGGATTTTGATTCTAAGTTATTCTAATTTATGAGTCTAAGTTAGGATTTTGATTCTAAGTTATTCTAATTTATTGAAAGTCTACTAAATTAACAATTAATGTTTTTTCACAACTACATTTAAAAATTATTTTTGATATTCAGTAACAATATTTTATAAAATACATTAAAACTGAAGAAAAGATATATAAATTTTCTCAGTTACTTATGAAAATTCACTTACATTAAGTTTCATTTGTATCTCAAATTTGTGTTTACAATTGATACCTATTTTATTTCATGATTATTTATTTAACTATTGCTAATTGCAATATACATTAACCATTGTGTTTGCGAAAATGTGGCGAAGAATTGCAAAACTTTTAAAAAATAAAATATACATTGAATAAATCTTATCATGGGCCTAGAGAAACATGACCCAATGATACCTCGGTCTTTAAAGTATGGTTTGGTCTTTTGGAAACTTTGCTTCTAAGCCTCAATTACGCTGTTGGTATTTGACGATAATTATTTGGAGTCTTTGTTTTAAGTTGAAAAGTTAACAATACAAATTAGTTGACGAAATTGAACGCCAACCATCCTAGAACGCAGTATAGTAATAATGTAATATTAGCACAGCTGACATGACACAGACCTAGGTTGAATATATTCTATAGTTTAAAAGAAAAAGGGAGCTAGAGCCTAGAATTATTATACAATAGCAAGAGAAATGTCAAAACTCAAATTTTTGGCATGGTTAACACGAAAGCTTATGTATTTTATTTGTAAATATATGAATCTAATTTTTTTTATTTTCACATAAATATATAAATCCACTTGGATAAACCACAATATATTTATATTTAGAATAATTTTGTCTCTATTTGTCACTAATTAGAGACAAAAAAAACCTAGAAGCAATATTATTGATAAAAATACTGAATAGGGTAGGTGAAAAAGGCAAGAACTTTGGGCATGATCCACGTTTTTAGTCTTTTGCTCTCAATGACTTTTTTTTTTTTTAATTAATATGAATTTACTAAATAAGTTTAGGTATTTCTGTTGGGAAAGCCGCGGGAAGGAAGAAAGGTGAGAATATGAAAAAAGGAGATTTGTGTTGTTTTCAACGACGACCTCTTCTCCTCTCTCCTCCTCTTCTTCTTCTATATTACAATTTCATCTCTCATTTTTCCAGATCACCATCATCCTCCTCATCATCAAGCTCTCTATTTCTCTAGATTTTCAACATTTCCTCGTATCGTATTCGAAATCCTCTGTTCTAATTCCAACAATGGCAACGGTAAGAACAATAACCATCTCTTATTTCGATTTCTGATTCATCTTGCATTTGTTGATATGATTTCAATATTCCAAATCTCTTATCTTGAAAAAAGTCTCAAACTTTGGCCAGGAAAGAGAGGCTATTATTACCATTGCCAATGTTTAAGAATTCTGCATTTTTTATGATGAACAATTCTGTTTCTTTTTGGTGGTGTGTAGGGAAATAGAGCGAGACCATTGCCAAAATTTGGGGAATGGGATGCGACTAATCCTGCCTCGGCTGAAGGATTCACTGTTATTTTCAATAAAGCTCGTGATGACAAGAAGACCAAGAAAACCGCTGTCGCAGGACCTGAGAGTATTGTTTCACCTCCAAGAAATGAGGAACCTCCAAAAAACAACAACCATCACAACCGTAATTCCCAAACCCCACGATCAAAGGTACTTTCTTTTCCAGATAGAACTCAATCTTGATCAGAGTAGACTACTCACGGATATTAGGTATTTCTCTGCTTAACTTGCTTTTGTTCTTTGGTTGTGCAGAAGAAATGGCTTTGTTTTCGTTAACTCTCTGGTAGTGGCTCTGTTCTGAAAAACCCAACGATAAGCAAGCAGAATCGTGTAGCCGAGTAATCTCCAACAGATTATAGCGACCAAACCTGTGATCATCTAAGATGTTGTTGCAAACTTCTCTTCTTCTTCTTCTTGCTCGTTGAGTTTCTCTTTTCCACTTTGTTTTGGCCACATTTGGGTATATGATTATACGTTATTCTTTCTGCTTCTTAGTTTCATAAGTATATAAAGATTGAGACATGTCCCTTGTAGACATGGTCACAATGCATAATCGACGTATTTTACGAATACTTACAGCCTGCGAAAACCGCTTCAAAACCCGGGATTACAGATTCAGCAGCTGAATCTGGAATCGAGCAACTCTGTTCTAGAGTTTAGCTCCCATCACATCCAATATGAATCAAGCAGGGTGAAATTCAGGAATTAGATTTTAAACAAGTAAACAAATGAAAGAAACAGGGCAGGCTCCATTTAACCTCAAGAGTCAAAGGATAGTTACAGATTACAAAGTTCTGTGGTGCAAACTTGTCAAAAGCATTGAGGATAGGCTTGCCACATAGATATTGTTTGGAGAGTATAATTTAACTAAAAGTTTTGTAGAGAAATTACAAACCCATGATAGCTAGAGACAAAAGGTATCAATTATGTCAGCTCCTGAATGTTTGGTTGTCAATTCCAACCGTCACTTTCATTCCCATTTGCACTGACCTGAGGAGGTTCTGCAATGGCCTGGGAGCTTTCTGTCGAATATGGCGGCTGGACAGAATGGTCGAATCTACAAGCTGGACCGAATTTGCAGATGCCGTACCGACTGTAATATGTGCAGATGTTTTGATCCTGGATTTCAGTCAAGCAATCAGTCAAAACCCGAGGGACTTCTATTTTAAACATTTCATAACGGGTCACTTCTAGATTGATTCACTATGTAATTTAGGGCTATGCCAAGAGTCAAACATTCAAGAATCAATAAAAAACCTGTAACTTTTACTAGAACACAAGAACAGACAACGGAAGGTAAAAAACAAACTTACAGGTCTAAGGGGTAAACCCTTGTCATTGAGAGCATAAGGAGGCAGCTTCGGCAATCGATTCTTAGGATGGTGGTATTTGCAATTGAATTTGAACTTACAGTCCCCAGTTTTCATATAATAACTGCACTCAGGTTGGTCTGGGCGTTCTGGAAATTCTTCAGCAGGCATTTGATGTCGGTATTGTGACAAAATACTTGTTTCAGCTGATAAATTGTTCATAAGGTATGTGGTGGAAGCAGAAAACACACCCCTTTCAGATGAATACACAGAAGCCTAGACAAATACGAAATACAAGATAAAATCATCATAGATAATTCAAATAGAAATGTATTATTAAGAGCCAGAGCTGAAGTACATACTACCTGATAGCCATTCCATTCCGGAGTTTGAGATGGAACTCCATGAGTTTGTGACAGCATGACTGGAATAAAAGGAGATGTACCATTCGCATGCCTTGGTGAAGTCCAGGAAGTTGAACTTGCTTGGAATGTAGACTTTGGAGAAAATGTTCCAATGGATACACCATTATTACCATGAAATGATGGGGAGTCGGTTCCTCCGATGGTTGTAGGATCAGGATGATTAAATTTGCACTCAGCTCCAAATTTGCAGGAGCCATTGCGCATGTAATAAGGGCATTCTACCTCTCCCTACCGATGGTTAACAACATTATATAGCTTTGAAAAGACTAGCAAGAGAATGCCAAAAACTAGCGAACAAATATCAACTAAATGGCAATACCGGTCTGATAGGAAGGCCAAGGAAGTTAAGCTCGGGTGCTGAGGCCAGACAAGACTTTGGTAAGGTATGGTTGAATCTACAAGTTTCTCCATATTTGCACCCTCCAGTCCTAAAGTAATACTGTAAAATCTCATGCAAGAAAATGGAGCACATGAACTGGATATCAGTAAGAGCATAAACTATAAAAAGCTTTGCCAATTCCCAATGCAGATCAATACAATAGAATGCAACTTCATAAAACAACCGACTGATACACAACGAGCGTATGTATCAAGGTTAAAAAATGAAGTAAATTAACCTTGCAATCTATCAGTCCCAGTTTACCACCATCCTCTTCCTTTTCTCTCAGTTTATTATCCCTAGCAATCTTCAAAACAATGAAACATAAGAAAATGAAAAAAAAACAAAGTTCAGATTTTTTTTCATTTAAACTGATGATTCTTCTACTAAAGCAACATATTAAAGCTTTGTCCTTTGGTCTAGCAATGAAGTACATACAAAGCAAAACTTCTCTAAACGCATGTGCCACTGATTTAAAAATGGTTTCTTTTATAAACAAATCTTCCCTCAGATCAATAAAAAACACAATTAAGAACCAAATATCATTGTCAGAAGCAAACGTGCAAGAATGGGAAAATAATCTCATCAGCCACGTAAACAACATTGAGAAAGTGTAAGAAGTAAAGTTTACTTGGATTTTTCTGGCAAGAGGATGATTGAATTTGCAACTAGATCCGAATTTGCAGCTCCCTGTTCTCATATAAAACGAACAATCCTCTGCTCCTGGCCTCACTGGATACACAGTTTCTTCTTCTTCCTCGCTCCAACCATAACCATCTTCTTCTTCTTCTACCTCCTGATTGGTGACTTCTGCATTCGAATCTAAACCTCCATTACTCTCAGAGACACTCATAATCGTCTCACTCTGCTCTTTCGTAACCTCATCCAAACCCACATTCTTAAGCTTATCACTCAAGTCCTCAGCTGCGTTGTTGAGATCAGAAAGAGATCGATCAGCAGATGAATCACCAGAATAAGATTGAGAAACAGGTTTTGGCTCAAACCCATCTGCAGTTTCTTCGGAATTGACCATTTTTTTTTTGTCTTCTCACAAATCACATTACAAAAACCCTAATTTCAGGGAGGTAACTGAAGAAGATCAAAGGGTGAAAGTAGAAGAAGAAGAAGAATAAAGTTGTTTCCTTTATGAATACTTTTATAACATTTGTCGTTTATAGCGTCACGAATGAGAATCCCAAAGAAACCGTTGCTTTAATTTGTTGACAAGTTCCAATAGTTTACATGCACAGTTTTAACTTAAGATTTTATGCGTTTCAGATATTTCCCTAAATTTGCAATCAAGTCCTTATCATATGTTTTAAGATTTTCTTGATTACACACCTTAACTTTCTAATCGTACAAGCAGCTCCTTTATTTATCAAAGTAACAGTAAAGAATACAACAAAGGGAGAATATGTTATGCAACAACAATGGATTGATCTCTTCATGATAGATTCCATGTTAAGGCCTAAGTCAGTCACCTTTTCTTGGTCTTTTTAACTGAATGACCGGTTTTTTCGTTTGTGCCGGCTGAAGTCAGAGACGAATCTGAATGTTTGACCACAACCCGGTTCAGCGCAAACATAAGGCCTAGCGCCTGTGTGAACTCTTATGTGCTCAGTTCTAGACCATGCCCACTTAAACGTCATGTTACAGCCCTTCCATGGACATTTCAGAGGACGGTCGTCTGAGTGAACTCGCTGGTGTTGAACCAAATACTTGTGTGAGAAGAAGTTTTTACCACAGCCTTTAACAGGGCAGATGTTTCTTTTATGCAATGTCAACTGTTTTTCCGAACTAAAACTCATTGTGCAACCCTCCATGTCACATTGGTACGCCGGGCATTCCTCTCCCTCATTCTCTTCTTCTTCTTCTTCTTCTTCATCTTCCTCTACATCTTCTTCAGTTGCAACTCTGGAGAAGGAAGCATTACGACTTCCTTTCTTACCAATTTTCTTTGGTTTCGTTTCTGAAGACACTCTTGAGGGCTTTGGGATTCTCACCCTAAGCCGAGTGCTAGGTCCTTCCATGTATGAATCGAATTCTTGATTCGTCTCTCTCGGACCCTGAACTATCTCGGTTTTTACTTTTCGTTTAGCTGTGGACCTTGTTTGTCTTTTCCTTGTACTGCAAAAGTCCAGTTCCTCCAGAGAATCCTCTTCTGACTCATACTCACCACCTATTCGACTAGCTTGAATATTTCCCCTTCGCTGATAAACATCATTTTCCTCTGAATGATATGAAACCGGATTCCTAAACACTTTAGTCCGTTTGCTCCTTGGAAGACCCTTAGGGTGCCTGTAGAGTTTTTCATCATCATGACCATATACAGAGTCCTCGAAAGCATTTTCGTCGATTGAATGTCCATGTAGCTGAAAGCTATTCTCCGTTGAGCTCTCTGAAACTGCACGTTCCCTTACAGCATATTCTTCTCCAAGTGAACGATCTGAAACCTCATCATCGGACTCAAATTCTTTAACACCCCTGTGTCGACGAATTCCCTTGAGCTGCTGATCAGACATTTGATTTGACGAATCACCAGAAGCTGTGTTCCCTGTCTCAAAATAAGACTCTTCCTCATTCCCGGAAGCCCTCCATTGTTGCTTATAAGAATGGTCTTCTGATGTGTCATCAGAAACTCCATCTTCCCTCTTAAAAGAAGTAAGCTTCTTGCGTGGCACAGCCTTTGCCCTGACCTTTCTCTTCCTACAATACTTTCTTCCAAACATTGTTGTTGCATCTCTAGAAACATTATTAGGAAAAAATCTCTTTCCAGCGGCATCCTCATCCATAGCAGCTCGGAGATGACAACTTCTTTCAGATTCTTCCCCCTCTAAGTCCTGCTCCAGCAAAAAGGGATGCACCTGAAGAAAGAAAAGAAAAAGCAGTCTGAATATTGAACCAAACCAAGCAGAAACAGAAGTGTACTAATGTCTGAATGAGTATGGATTCAGGTTAGAAAATTGTACCTGATGCGACATCCAAACCTTACCACACCATTTTCCAACAACATATTTCCTCTGTCTGGAAGATCTTCTACCAAAGACTTCGGGTTTCAAGGGTGAGCTTTTTGCTGGAGAGCTGCGACCGAATGCATTGTATATGACAGAGTTGTAAGGCATCTGCTTACTGTACAGCGGAGAGCGACTGAGAATAGCGCTGTAAGAAAGGTTAATACCCAATTTTACAGTCCAATCACTGTTCCCACCCTTAGCCTCAACATTATCCAACGCTGCTTGAATCGTTTCCTCATCCTCTCGGGTCACATTCCTGAATTCAGTATCATTCCATTCGTGATTGATAACAAGCTCTTCGGCAACTATCTTTGCTTCAGCCTCTATCCTGGGATACTCTGAAAATATTGTGCACCTTAGAGGTGAAAACACATAAAAAATGTCGCAAGACTAATAAAAATGAATCTTGTAGTTTGCTGTTACCTGGATGGCACAGTAACATTAAGTGAATTCCCCCAATAGGACGGAGTTTCTGTTCCACTTCTGCAGCATGCTCAAGACAAAACACGTGCAATCGCGAAGAATCGTCATCAGATCTTGGAACAAAGGGTAGAGATGTATTGCTGCCTTTGCTTAGCCTACTATGTTCAGTGGTGCAAGAAAGCGTCGAACAAGTTGAAGTAGCATTTGAGCCCTCAACAACCCCTGTCTCTTTCCTACATACAAGTCTTTGTCTGTTAGAATCAGAAGATCGACCATCTCTAGCCTCCTCTTTGCCATCTGTGTCAAAAGATGATGCTTCATATGCACAAGAACCACTTTGGTCATACTTTCTATCTTCCGAGAGAATAGCATCTAAGACTTTGTGATCTTCTTCCTCAGAATCAGAAGAATCTCCATACGCTGAAGCTAACAAACTAAGAGCACCATCTTTTTTATCAGCTGTTGTTAGAGACACTGTTGAAGTTTTTTGATCACCTGTATTCATTGAGTGATCCGTAGTTTGAGAAGGAACATTGTAGAAGTAATCTACATCATGCTTTTCCGTGCTTTCTGCATGGTGAAACAAAATTGGTAAATGTTAAATAACAGCCATTAACAGGAAAAGCGACTTGTAACTAATGCAGATGAAGTGATCTAGCAGCCTGACCAAGATTTGCAGACCCGGAAACAACTGTCCAATCATTGAAGAAGCTACAATCTGCAGACATGAGATATCTAGCTGCTGCTTCTGTAGGTTGAACAATAGCTACACAATCGAAGCTTAAGACTCCACATGTAACACAAGAGAATAGCCTTTGATCAGAAAGCGCAACAGCTCCATCATTTTTCCTCCTTTCAGCATCAGACAGAGTTTCTTGAGTTTCCTTCTCACTGCTTGCCAGATGATTTCTGTTCCTTTCACATAAAGATGTAAACTTTTCTTTTACTGAAACGGTATCCTTTAAACCGTTGTTGAGACCGACCATAACACTATCAGAACTTAAGTCCTCAGACTTTAATTGGATTGGCTTTTCCTGGTTAGTTATCAAATTGGATCCAATTCGTAGGTCAGAACAAACTGATATATCTGAAGAACTCTGTGGGAGAAGGGCCACTGGGGATCCTTTTCCGAGAGAAGAGAGCAATTGATTGTTGTGGATAATGTTTTGCACAAACAGCTTTTTGGTCAATCTTTCTCCTTCGCTTCTTTTCTTATCTTTCAATCTAGAACTCCGTGGTTTGGTGTTGATGCTTGTTGGCATTCTGCATTGAGTGAAACACACCTTATATGAACCTTTCAAGCAGTTTAAAAGTTGGAGAGTGTTGATGAAAAAGAAACAAGTACCTAGAACCCAGAGCCAATGCATAGTCATATAGTAACTGGAGATGAGAAACCATTGGAGGGTAATTTATAGCAGCTCGACGGATAGCAGCATCTTTAGCCACTCTCAACCATTCGGGAGTTGCAATGTTAGATGCTTCTCCACAATTGAATCCTAAAACCCCCAAATTTTTTTTATTATTTTCCAGATAATATAAGTTAGTTTCAACATGTGAAGCCTTGAATGATTGACTTGAAGAGACTTAATGTCGTTCGCTCACCGTGACTAAACCCTGAATGATATGCTCTTGGAAAAGTGACGACAAACTCTCCAGGATTTTGTACTAACCTGATAACAAGCAAATAACTTGAGTGGAAACCAAGAGATAGTGCCTCTGGATGTTTATAATCAACTGAAACGAGTAGAATAGAATTAAGCAGAAAGAGATAACAGAGCACACACAAGAAAAACATTACCTGCAACAAGGTATTCCAGCTTTAACAAAAACTTCAGGTGACATCACAGTTGTCTTGTCACCAAGAGTAGAAATGGTCACTGAGAAGACAGCAATAGAGTCATTAACATCTTCTTCTTGGTCAACTTTTGGAAAAAAGCAGTTAAAAGCAACACACAAGGATAGAGACTCAATTCAAACATGCCAACAATCAGAACAATGAATTTAAATTAAGCTCCCAGACTCGCAGAATCATTCAAAAGTAGACTCAAGCTTGAAACAAAAACCAATCAAGCACAAGCCTTTCCCGACATTTTCTTTACACAAGTGACAATGTAACAGAGTATCCCATAGCAATAAGCATTTTGAGGAAAAAAAAAACTCACCAAGAGGATTAAGCTCTCCACCATAACCAACGACCCTAACCACCTCCTCAAAAGCCACAGCAGCATCCTTTGGCACACCGTACCAAGTCTTACCAGCACCCATATGCAAGTAATTAAGACTATGAAGGTCATGGTCCTCCACATGCCAAGCAAACCAGCTAAACATCATAGCAATATACACCATTGGTGATGTAACTCCAGGGATCTCCTCTTTCATGAACTTAAGCAATGATCCTTCGGCTCTAGACATTGCCCTCATGTTCCAAGCTGTCTCACCAACTGTTCCTCCATCACCACCATACTCTCTCCTCCTTGCAGCTGCCAGACTCAGAGGGATAAAAGCCGAGCCAGGCATGTCATTGGCATACTCAACAGAGAAGGGCTTATCCACAGTGGCTCTCCAGTAAAGTGTTTCCATTTCTAGGGCAGAGAGTTGACTCTTTTTTCCACATTTCTTCAGATAATTCTTCTCAAAGGTCTTAGCTTTGGCCTCGAACTCACCAAAACTGTAATGCTCTCCGCTCTGCCACACAGGTCTCTGCACGGGACGCTGCTTCCTAGGGCAAAAACCGATCTGCTGTTGCCGCGTGGCGAATGTGGGACCACCGTCGTAATCAAACGAACTCTCACCGCCGTCACGAACCCTCGCCGCCGCTCTTGCCGCCAGAGAACGGTTGAGGTTAGAAATCGAGGTTTTCTTAGAAGGAGGAGGTACTGGAGGCAGAATTTTACAGATTCCGTATCTAGAAGCTTCTTCTTCGATCTTAAAAATGTAAGCGATCGGATCTTGGAACTCTGCTAAAGTAGGTCGGAACTCTGGAGCAACCGGCAACGATTTAAGCCACGGGAACACGTCTTGGCTCTGCTCCGAAACCGCCATCGATAACACAAAAAGTTATAACCTTTCACTCAAAATTAGTTCGCTTTCAGGCTTTTAGCTTCTGGGTACACATGAAAACGCCATTACAGAGAAAACAGAACAAAAAAATGGACGAAAAGGAAGCAGAGTTAATAAAAGAGATTCGATGAGTCTCTCTTCTCCAAAAGGGTTTTTAGTTTTGGTTAAAGGGTCATCTATCTACTTTAAGGACCTCGAACAAAACGACAGGCTTGATCTCTCGTTTCTTTTGTGACTCTGTTTTTAATTTGGATTAAAGAAACAGAGGAAAAAATTGTATTTTTTGGGAGGGTTTGGGCAGAGCAAGTCTCTCTGAGATTGTGATTTCTCTCATTTCTCTGTTTTGTTTTATTGCCTTTTTTAAATTAATCTCATTGCACCAAACAAGTGAAACAGCAATGAGTAGACTTTTTTTTTACTATTTACGATTCTGCCATTTCGTGAGTTATACACACATTTCTTGTTGTCTTGCTTTCCCGTTTTGCGCAAAAGTTACTCTTTTTCTGGTTTAACATTTTTGTTTAACAAAAAAACAAAAACATTTTTTCATTTTAACTAGTACTGATTTTAACTATAATTTTGTTTTGGTAATCCTTACATTTTTGGTTATTTTTCTTATATTTTTTATTATTCGTTTATGCTTATAACCTTTTTGTATTATCATTTGTAGTTTAAAAGTTCTACAGTGTAAAAGCGATACACCCTATTTAACCCGTTCTATGTTCTACAATGGGGTAATCTTTTGGACATGTTAGCTTTTGATTGTTCGATCTGCTAAATAACCATGGCCTAAAAATTGCATATTGCTATGTACTTGTTCAGATATCGAAAATTTCAACTTCCATAACGAAATGGTTTATTATGCCTATTCCCCAACTAGTTGACATAGGTAATGTCATTCATTAGCAATTTGGTAGGTTGAGTCTTTATCAAGGTCAAATGAAGTCCACGGCGATGCACATAATCAACCAACAAGGATAAGCCACGTAGACAACCATATATGTCAAATTTATTTAAGTAACACAATACTTTTCCTACACCAGGATTTGCTACAGATTCATTCAATTGCAAAGTAGACAATAATACAACAAATAGATAATCTGTCTGAAAGTGAAAATTCTGCAACAAACAATGGCTCTTCCAAATGTTAAGACTTTTGACTGAATAATAATCCCAAATAGACAAAGGACAGAGCGACATACACACTTAGAAAACCCCTAAAATCCCTACAATCCAATTTTCTTCTAATAGATCAATGGAGTAATCTCTTCATGAAAGTTTCCATGTTAGAGCCTAAATTACCTTTTCTTGGTCTTCTTTACCGAATGACCCGTCTTCCTTTTATGCCGGCTAAAATCTGAGACAAACCGGAATGTCTGACCACAACCTGGTTCAGCGCAAATATAAGGCCTAGCGCCTGTGTGAACCCTTATGTGCTCGGTTCTTGACCAAGCCCACTTGAACGTCATCTTACAGCCTTTCCATGGACATTTCAGAGGACGGTCGTCTGAGTGAACACGCTGGTGTTGAACCAAATATTTGTGTGAGAAGAAGTTTTTACCACAGCCTTTAACAGGGCAGATGTTTCTTTTATGCAAAGTCAACTGTTTTTCCGAACTGAAACTCATTGTGCAACCCTCCATGTCACATTGGTACGCCGCACATTCCTCTTCCTCATTCTCTGCTTCTTCATCTTCCTCCACATCTTCTTCAGTTGCAACTCTGGAGAAGGAAGCATTACCACTTCTCTTCTTACCAATCTTCTTTGGTTTTGTTTCTGACGCCCCTCTCAACGGCTTCAGGTTTCTCACCCTAAGCCGTGTGCTAGGTCCCTCCATGTATGAATCCAATTCTTCATTCTTCTTTCCAGATGCAAATTCTTGCAAAGTGCGACCTTTTGTGTCTCTCGGACTCCGAACTGTCTCGATTTTAACTTTTCGTTTGGCTGTGGACCTGGTTTGCCTTTTCCCTGTACTGCAAAAGTCTTGTTCCTCCAAAGAATTCTCTTCTGAATCATATTCACCACCCATTCGATTAGCTTGCCTATTACTTCGGGATACTCTTCCCCTTTGATGATAAATGCCATTTTCTTCTGAATCATATGAAACTGGATTCCTAAAAACTGTAATCCGTTCGCTCCTTGTAACTCCTCTAGGGTGCCTGTCGATATCATCATCATCATCATCATCATCATACATTGACTGCTGAAAGCCATTCTCCATTGAGCTCTCTGAAGCTGCACATCCCCTTACCGTATATTCTTCACCTAGTGAACGGTCTGAAACCTCATCATCCGACTCAAATTCTTTGACACCCCTGTGTCGACGAATTCCTTTGAGCTGCTGATCAGACATTTGATTTGACGAATCACCAGAAACTGTATTCCCTGTCTCAAAATAAGACTCTTCCTCATTCCCGGAAGCCCTCCATTGCTGCTTATAAGAATGATCTTCTGATGTGTCATCAGAAACTCCATCTTCCCTCTTAAAAGAAGTAAGCTTCTTGCGTGGCACAGCCTTTGCCCTGACCTTTCTCTTCCTACAATACTTTCTTCCAAACATTGTAGTTGCATCTCTAGAGACATTACAAGGAAACAATCCCGTTCTAGTGACATACTCAACTAAAGCACCTCGCAGATGACTATTCCTTTCAGATTCTTCCCCCTCTAAGTCCTGCTCCAGCAAAAAGGGATGCACCTGAAGAAAGAAAAGAAAAAGCAGTCTTAATATTGAGCCAAACCAAGCAGAAATAGAAGTGTACTAATGTCTGAATTAGTATGGTTTCAGATTAGACAATAGTACCTGATGCGACATCCAAACCTTACCACACCATTTTCCAACAACATATTTCCTCTGTCTGGAAGATCTTTTACCAGAGACTTCGGGTTTCAAGGGTGAGCTTGTTGATGGAGAGCTGCGACCGAATGCATTGTATATGACGGAGTTGTACGGCATCTGCTTACTGTACAGAGGAGAGCGACTGAGAATAGCGCTGTAAGAAAGGTTAATACCCAATTTTACAGTCCAATCACTGTTCCCACCCTTAGGTTCAACATTATCCAAGGCTGCCTGAATCGTTTCCTCATCCTCTCGGGTCACATTCCTGAATTCAGTATCATTCCATTCGTGATTTATGACTAGCTCTTCGGCAACTATCTTTGCTTCAGCCTCTATCCTGGGGTACTCTGCAAATATTGTGACTCTAAATGATGAAAAAGACTCAAGAATTTGCATTATTAATACAGAAAAACCCAAACAAAGTCACAAGACTAATAAAAATGATTCTTGTAGTTTTGCTGTTACCTGGATGGCATAGTAGCATTATGTGAATCCCCCCAAAAGGACGAAGTTGTTGTTCCACTTCCGCAGCATGCTCAAGACAAAACACGTGCAACCGACATGAATCATCGTCAGATCTTGGAATAAATGGTAAAGCTATTTCCAGAAGTGATGAATTTCCGCCTTTGCTTAACCTATTCTGTTCGCTGGTAAGTCTCTGGCTGTTAAAATCAGAAGTTCGACCATCTCTAGCCTCCTCATTGCCATCTGCATCTTCTTTATCATACTTTTTAGTTTCCCCTTCGAAAGTAGGGACATCTAAGCCTTTTTGACCTTCTTCCTCGGAATCAGAAGAGTCTCCATATGCTGAAGCTAACAGCCCAAGAGCACCATTATCTTTATGCGCCATTGTCAGGGAAGTTGTTGAAGTTCTTTGATCGCCAGTCTTCATTGAATGATCCATAGTTTGAACAGGAACATTGTAGAAGTAATTTACATCATGCTTTTCGGTGCTTACTGCATGATGAAACAAAGTTAGTAAATGCTAAAATAACAGCCATTAACAGAAAGTGCGACATGTAACTTACGCGGATGAAGTGATCTAGCAGCCTGACCAAGATTTGCAGATCCGGAAGCAGCTGTCCAATCATTGAAGAAGCTACAATCTGCAGACATGAGATATCTAGCTGCTGCTTCTTTAGGTTGAACAATAGCTACACAATCAAAGCTTAAGACTCCACATGTAACACAAGAGAAAAGCCTTTGATCAGAAAGCGCAACAGGTCCATCATTTTTCCTCCTTTCAGCATCAGACAGAGTTTCTTGAGTGTCCTTCTCCCTGCTTGCTAGGTGATTTCTGCTCCTTTCACATAAAGATGTAAATTTTTCTTTCACTGAAACTGTATCCTTTAAACCGTTACTGAGACTAACCATAACACTATCAGAACTTAAGTCCTCAGACTTTAATTGGATTGGGTTTTCCTGGTTGGTTATCAAATGGGATCCGATTCGCAGGTCAGAACAAACTGATATATCTGAGGAACTCTGTGGGAGAAGGGCTACTGGGGATCCTTTTCCGAGAGAAGAAAGCAATTCGTTGTTGTGGATAATGTTTTGCACAAATAGCTTTTTGGTCAATCTTTCTCCTTCGCTTCTTAACTTATCTTTTAATCTAGAACTCCGTGGTTTTGCATTGATGCTTGTTGGCACTCTGCAATGAGTGAAACAAACCTTATATGAGCCCTTCAAGCAGCTTAAAAAGTTTGAGTGTGTCTATAAAAAAAGAAAGAGTACCTAGAACGTAGAGCCAATGCAAAGTCATAAAGTAGCTGGAGATGTGAAACCATAGGAGGGTAACTTATTGCAGCTCGCCGGATAGCAGCATCTTTGGCCATTCTCAACCATTCGGGAGTTGCAATGTTAGATGCTTCTCCAAAATTGAATCCTGTATAACACCGAAGATTGTTTTTTGGATAATATAAGTTATTTCAACTTCTTAAGCCTTGAATGGTTAACTTGAAGATACTAAATAAAGGTTGCTTACTCACCATGACTAAATCCCGAATGATAAGCTCCCGGAAAGGTGACGACAAAATCTCCGGGATTTTGCACTAACCTGATACAAACAAACCACTTGCGTGAAAAACCAGGAGAAAAAAAAAATGTGCCTCTGGATTTTCCAATCAATTAAAAGAGACTAAAGAAGAGAAATGCAAACAACAAGAAGATAAACAGAGCACAAACATCAAAAACCATTACCTGCAACAGGGTATTCCGGCTTTAACAAATACTTCAGGAGACATCACAGTTGTCTTCTCACCAAGAGTAGAAAATGTCACTGATAAGACAACAACATCAAAAACCATTTAGTTTGCTTGCATACAGCTACATAAGCAGCTTCTTCCCCAGACAACTTTTGGAGGAAAAAAAAAACAGTTAAAAGCAACAAAAAGGACAGAGACACACCAAAGCCAACAATCAGAACAAGGAATTGAAACATTGAGTAACTATGAGTCACTCACACATAATATTAATTTAACATTTCACAAGATACTCACCAAGAGGATTGAGCTCTCCACCATAACCATGAACCCTAACCACCTCCTCGAAAGCCACAGCAGCATCCTTTGGCACACCGTACCAAGTCTTACCAGCACCCATATGCAAGTAATTGAGACTATGGAGGTCATGGTCCTCCACATGCCAAGCAAACCAACTAAACATCATAGCAATATACACCATTGGTGATGTGACTCCAGGGATCTCCTCTTTCATGAACTTAAGCAATGATCCCTCGGCTCTAGACATCGCCCTCATGTTCCAAGCGGTCTCACCAACTGTTCCTCCTTCACCACCAGACTCTCTCCTCCTGGCAGCAGCCAAACTCAGAGGGATAAAAGCAGAGCCAGGCATATCATTGGCATACTCAACAGAGAAGGGTTTATCCACTGTTGCTCTCCAGTAAAGGGTTTCGATTTCTAGGGCAGAGAGTTGACTCTTTTTACCACATTTCTTGAGATAATTCTTCTCAAAGTTCTTAGCTTTAAACTCGAACTCACCAAAAGAGTACTCTTCTCCACTCTGCCACACAGGTCTCTGCACCGGACGCTGCTTCCTAGGGCAAAACCCGATCTGCTGTTGCCGCGTGGCGAATGTGGGACCACCGTCATAATCACACGCGCCAAAGCCGCCGTCACGAACCCTCGCCGCCGCTCTTGCCGCCAGAGAACGGTTAAGGTTAGAAATGGAGGTTTTCTTAGAAGGAGGAGGCAGTGGAGGCAGAATTTTACAGATTCCATATCTAGAAGCTTCTTCTTCAATCTTCAAAATGTAAGCGATCGGATCTTGAAACTCTGCTAAAGTAGGTCTGAACTCTGGAGCAACCGGTAACGATTTAAGCCATGGAAAAACGTCTTGACTCTGCTCTGAAACCGCCATATCTCTCTCTCTCTCACACACGGGAAAGAAAAAAGAAGAGTCTTTTTCTCAAAATTTGTTCACTTTAACTTCTGGGTATCAAATTAAAACGCCATTACAGAGCATAAACAGAACAAAACTTTGAAGAGGGAAAAAAAACAAATTTTTAAGAGAATCGACGAGTCTCCACCATTTCTCCGGCCAATAGAGTTATTTTCTTAAAGGGGTCTTTCACTTTTCCTCGAAAAAAACGACGAGGCTTTGATCTCGTTTCTTAGGTCTCTCTCTGTTTTTTATTGGATTAAAGAAACAGAGGAAAAAAATTGTATTTTTTTTTAGGGGGTTGGGATGGGTTTGGGCAGAGCAAGAGATTGTGATATCTCAGTATTAAAACAAGTAAAGAACACTTAGTAGTAGAGAGAGAGAGAAAGTTTTTGTTTTTAAAAGGGTAGTGATTTGTTACTATTCACGATTCTGCCATTTCACACACATTTGTTGTTGTCCTCTCTGTAAATCCGTTTGCACATTCAAAAACTCCTTTTTAAAACTAAACAAAATTCCCAATTTTAAGAGTAAAATTTATTATGGATTAAAAAAGTTTTTAAATAGATTTTTCTCATTAAACATTTTTTTTAGTATTTGGTATTTAATGAAATTATTGCATAATTTAAATGTTTATATATATTGTGTTTGTTTTGTTGAATCCAAATTTGATTTTTATGAATATGATCCCTTGATTTAACGAATGTTGCCTCTACCCACTGACTAGACAATAAAGCAAAGGGTATACTATGCTTAAAATACACCAACAAAAGCTCTAAATCTTTAGAAATGAGCACTTATCAAAAGTTAATAAATAAAAATAATTAAATGAAGATTCACAATTAAAAATACCTTACATTTCTTAGGAAAATAAAGCATATTAAGATAAGCACAACAATAATTATAAGTACCTTTGAGAGTTCATCAGAGTAACAAGGCCAAATAAGTGTCTCAATAACATTAAATTAACTCTGATAACATAAGCTTTGGCTTGAGTCGAAGAAGGCTTATGTTCTAATACAGAAGAAGATGACTTTAGTTACAAACCTGGTTCAGCTCCGTTTTGAGAAGGCTTTGAAAGCTCGAGCGTAACCGGACAATGATCACTCCCATAGAAACCTGAAACAAATCAAGAACCAAGTTGTTGCAAAAAGAGCTAAATAATAATCTTCTATGAATCTGTGTGATGAACAGGTTTATCTATGGCACCTTCTAGTTCTATCCCATGACCGTGCATCTTACAAGAAACTATACGGTCTTTGAGTTGTTCAGAGACCAGAAAATAGTCGATCCTCATCCTCTTTCCCCGGTACCTATGGCAACCCAAGAAAAATCAATATACAGCTTTATAAACATGAGAAGGAGGTTCTGGACTCCATGCCATGTGAAAAATAAAACTAAAAGGTGTAGTATCCACTCACTTTCCGATGGGATTCCCCGACCATGAGAAGCCACTTTCCATGTCTTGCTCCTTGTGTAGATACCGGTATGCATCAACAAGCCTTCCTCTGTAACAGTTCCCATGAATACAATTTAGAATCACATGTCCGGTAACTATAATCTCTATTCTAGAAAGTACTACTACTAAGACTTCGCAGCGCAAAGACGTATTATGCATACTCTTTCATAGTTGCCCCAAAGCGTCCTCTCTCAGATGGTGTAAATCCAGGCTGTCCGCAGTCCTGCATAATCAGAAGATTCAAAACCACTGTAGTCACTATATGATTCTTAAGTCCATTTCACAGGCGTAGTAAAGTCATCTACAATAAGAGGGTCACAATGCAGATGTAGAGACAAGAAAGGAAGAGAAATCAAATCAAAGGCCGAAAAAAACATAACATTATTGAGAGCCAGCTCTGTTTTTCGATAAAAATCTATATTGAATGATAATGAATAAATCGTACAAATTCTAGTATTCCTTACCTCTTTGTTTGGAGGAACATAACCATTAAGCTTAGCTGTTGCGAAAAATTCTGGGTGGCTAACATCTATCTCCTCATGACTGCATATTACAAAAATCGAATCGCGGAAATAACATCAACTTTTATTCTGTAATTTTGAAAGAGCCTACGGAAAAGAGTATAGCAAGAGAAGATGTTGAAAAAACTTCCTCATTACCTGACATTTAAGTCGCCACACCATATCAGAGGTTTATCAGATGTTTTGTTGAGGAACTCAACAATCCTCTTGTCCCATTTTCTTCTCCTCTGAAACGAATTCTCCTCATCTTTCCAACCATTGTTAGGCGAATACGTATTCAAAAGACGAAATGTCTCAAATTCAGCTAAGATAACACGACCATCAGGTTCATGTTTAGATGCTGAATGAGAGCGACAAGTATATAAGTTAGTCATCAATCTGATCTAGCTATGATATATTTCTGTCAAGTACATAAACTTTGAGGTCAAGAAAATGGCAGAACCATATCAAGACAGATAAAAGAACATGGTTCCAAAATGCTAGTGTGCAAGAGATTTATGTAATGATAAGGAACAAGCAAGAAGGTTTTCAAATATACCTAATTTGTCCAGGTTAAAGTAAACTTTCTTGGGCTTGAAACATTTTTTCACTAACAAAGCTGTCCCTGCATACTTTGAGTCTGCGAGAGACCACCAAACTCTATAATTTCCAAAAGGTGGAGTTGAGAGAGCCCTTGTCAAAATCTGCAGTTAGGACAACAAGTTAAGTTCCTAATTGCAATGTTGATTCTAACTCATACACCAAAATCTCCTAGGAATTGCAATTGCATCAAAATACAGAGATATGAAAATTCTTGTTCCGTTGATATTATAATAAAGATACTACCAGATAAAAAAAGCCAGTCAACAATGGTACCTGTTTTTCCTCACGCAAAACTTTCGTGTCATCACTCAACTCTTCAGGATTTTTAGGTTTTCCTTTTCCACCAGCAGCAGGCATTCTCACTTCCTAACATTAAGAACACAGTCAACCGCTAAGCTCAGAAAGCTGACCACAGAACACGATGACACTAAAAGAATCAACTGCCCCATCATAGTCACAAACAAATTGAATTAAAGACTGATCCTTTGCACCACCAACCATTTTCAATGTCATAAATGACTGAATTTTGCATCAACAAGTTGAACTCAAACCACTTCAATGAAACCCTAGAAGATTTAGAGGGTTTTAAAGTTCTAAACACAAACACCTAAGCCCATTTACCTACATTGCTCGAAATCAACCCAGAAAATCCAAAAAAAGAAGCAAAAGAAATCACCTGTATGGCAATGACATCCGGGTCAAAATCAGTGATGAACTTAGAGAACTGTGACCAGTCATTTTTCACCCGAAGGAGGAAGCTATTAGCGTTCCACGTCACAAACTTGGACGGCTCTTTCTGGTTCTTTTCTTCTTCTTCAACTCCATCTCCTTCTCCGTCACGCTTTTCCGGCGAAAGGCAGGGTTTCTTAGCCGCCGTTGAACCCTCCTTCTCTATGGGCTTAAAGAATCGCTTCATAGCTTTAGCAATTTCGTGGCTTTAAGGAGATAAAACTCAATTCATCAAAATTTAGATACTAATTTGAACAAAAAGGAACCAACTTTACGTTGTCCCGTCAAAAAAGACTCAGCCTTTGTGTTTCGGCGTTTGTTGTATCCTCGAAGTTCACATAGAAATTTGCAACGATGGTCAAGCAAAATAGTAAACCCAACAACACTCACAAGCCCAATATATCGTAACGCTTTTGTTCATAATGTATAATCGAATTATAGAATATGTTTTTACAAGAATGTTTTTCTTCAATGACTATACACATTACACACCGATGTTGAGATAGAAACAATTTTCTCAATGTGGTTTGTGTTTATTAACTAACGAACTGTTTCTGGAGAAGACTTCCACAGAATGCCAAATCAAATCTCTCTTCCGGAGGGTCTCCAATGCAGTCGAAAACCGCATCTGCGTTCTCAAAATCTTCATCCGCCGTGTATCTACAATTCCAAAGATGAATGAACGAATGATCATTTTAATTCTGATTGTTATGGAATTCTGAATAGGATTCTTATTTCAGACTAAGACTCACCCACTCTTTGTAACTATACAAGTCATTCCCGCAGCTTTTGCAGCTGCTAGCCCGATCGCGCTGTCTTCAACCACAACACATCTGCACACACACAAATCCAAATCTTTAGAGAGATTCTAAACTGAGCCATTCTCTCCTGTAAAAAATCTTAGTAACACTTTACTTTGAGGGATCAACTCCAAGGGTTTCAGCTGCTAAGTTGTAGATGGCCTGTTAAGAAACAAAAAGTTCGATAACTCGGTCCTTAACCAAGATGAAGTAAGCAAAACATGTTGTGATAGAATGGAAAGTCGTAACTTACCGGGTCAGGCTTCTTTTTGGGGACTACATCTCCTGCGAATATCTTGATTTTCTCTGCTCGTTCTGGTCCAAGCAAGCATGAAACTATAGCAGAAACCTGACAAAATGAGGCAAGAAATGAGAAAAAGTATTTCCCATTACTATACAATTCTTCTAAGCTAGACGATTCTCGCATATTCATGTTAACGATGCAGCTGCGCGTAGTCTTGTTTAAGAAACCTCATCAGGACAAGATACTGAGATATATGGTTATGGTCTCAAGAAACTGAAGTTGTAGAACCTGATTGATCATACCGCCTTCTCATTTGAAGTACTGCAAACCGCTACCTTTACTCCATTCGTTAAAGCTTGATCAACCAACCTGCAAAGTTTTAGCAAAAAGAAGACTCAGTTAACCTAAAACCTACTAGATCAATAAACTTCCAAAACAAACCAGAACATGTATATGATTACTAGAAGATATAACTAGCCTTACAAAATAAGTTAGCTAAGCATTGTTTTTGGGTTAAAGTTTTAAACTTTTAACAAAATCAATCTCAAGAGCAAGTGATAGCATCAAGATTATAGATTAGAAGTGACACTAACTTTGCAACACCGGGTCGAAGCGGAAGCAATTTTTTCTCGATGAGAACCATGAAAAGCTCAGTCTTCTGCTTGTGAAGTCCAGCTATGAACTCTTTCCTCTCTGCTTCATCTTTAGGAGCTTTCTCTGGCCAACCAACCTTGTTAAAATATGCCGTCATCCTACAAAAACAAAGCCACTCCAAATTTCATAGAAACTAGACTAACTTGATTACTCAAATTTTGGTATTAGTAAATGCAATTTTGACTGTATACCTTTCTTTACCACCACCGATTTTAAGTAGCTCGCCGTATAAATCAACATCCCAAGTAACATCCAATTCTCTCTGCAAAGATTCCAAATCATCACCGGAGCTAAATGAACAAAAATCAAGTGGAAATTAACCTCTTTGAAAGTGTCGTTAAAGGAGATTCTGTGACCGTCCTTCTCAGTATCAACAAGAACACCATCGCAATCGAAGAGAAGAGCAGAGGGAAGAGTCGTCGGAGAAGATGAAGCAGAGCAGGTGAATCCGCCGGAGCGAGATGCTCTGTGTACCATTGGTTTTGCTCTTAGGCACTTACCATGGAATCGCAACTTCGCCGCCTTTGCCGGTGCCGCATTGGGGATGAAAGATGGTGATAACTTAGATTGAGTTGAAGAAGAAGAAGAAGAAGATGGTGATAGTGAAACAAAGGAAAGAGAGATTTTCACAGTGGCCATTGTTTTGATTCTCTCTCTCTATCTCTCCGAAATAAATAACGGTCGCGAATTTCTCTCTTCAACTTATCCGGTCTTGTGTTAACGACCACAAAATAAGAAAGAACCACCCGGTACGGGTCGGATCAGGGTACGTTACTAATTAAAATCGGGTCGGGTCGGGTCAGTTTGGTGACGTGTATATTTTTTTGGTTAAAATTATTTCAATGAGGCTAATCAATTTATTTTGGTAAAATCACACTTTTAACATTTTAAAACTACTCAAATATAGGAATATCTTTTATTAATACTAGGTGATAGATTACATGCGTTACGCCACGGATTTTTTTTTCTTTTTTTTAATGTTTTGATAAATATAAAGCTTAATATTTTAATCATTCATTCATACAATTATTAATTATTAAAGTAATTTTTTTACCAATTTTCTCAACAATGTATCATTCACACAATTTTCGGAAGATTTTTCGGTGAAAAGAAAAAGAGAAGTCCGCCTAACCTGGCATGTCTCCTTCTACGATACGCCTGGTGGCTGGTAGTTATCCCGCTCGATCGTACATACAACTTCGAGAAAACCAATTTTATAGATGGTAATATTGAGACTTAGAAACCTCAAAAATTTAATGATAGAGTTCTTCTTATGTACTCTCACCCTTTGTGATATATTATTTAGATAAAGATTAATAAGAATAGCTTACTCAAACCATTAGATAACTCACTATGGGGTGATTGGAAGAGACTGTTAGTTTTGGCTGTAAAGACTTTAGCTTTAAGAACTTTGGTTGTATAAACTTTGACTGTAGAGACTTTGGCTGTAGAAATTTTGGCTGTTAAAATGTGATTGGTAGAACAAAGCTGTAATAGATGTGACTGTTATTTTTTTAGGATTATATATATGGGAGACTCACAAAAATGCCCCTTTTTCAATACCTCTTTTCAAAAATGCCCCCTTTGGCTGTCCATTTTTAAAAATACCCCTTTTTATGTACAAAATGACTAAATTACCCTTCTTTTAATAAAAGATATCACAAATATATAAGAAAATATAACAAAATTAGTTCCACAAAATACAAAATATTTTTTTGCGGGAAAAGTGATCCCGCAATTTTTCCCGCCAAAACACTTGTAAAAACTTGTAAACCCTTTAAAATACTTTTAAAAGGTATTTTAAATAGGTTTTACAATGTATTTTAAAAGGTTTTACAACGTATTTATAAGGTATTTATAAGATATTATAAGATTTTACAAGCTATTTTATAAGGTTTTACAAGTTATAAGGTTTTACAAGTTTTTATAAGGTTTTACAAGTTATAAATACCTTATAAAACCTTATAAGTACCTTGTAAAACCTTTTAAAATACATTGTAAAACCTTACAAAACACTTGTAAATACTCTGTAAAACCTTTAAAATACCTTGTAAATTTTTCCCGCCAAAAAAATTGCGGAATGACTTTTCCCCCAAAAAAAGTTTTTGGCGTGAAAAATTTTTACGGGAAAATTTTACAAGGTATTTTAAAGGTTTTTACAAGTGTTTTGGCGGGAAAATTGCGGGATCACTTTTCCCGCCAAAAAATATTTTGTATTTTGTGGACCTAATTTTGTTTCAAATAAGGGTAAAATGGTCATTAAAAATTAAAAGAGGGCAAACTTAAAAATGGACTCTCAAAGGGGGCATTTTTGAAAAGGGGTATTGAAAAAGGGGCATTTTTAACAATTTCTCTATATATATTCATAATAAATATAAATAATGTTATAAATGAATTCATGTGAAAATATACTTTTATTAATGATAAGAAGTTACAAAAAATACAAAAATCATAAATAAATGTATAGAAAAATATTCTCAATAAATAAACGAAATATGTATTATTCATTCATGTTTAATAACCAAACATTGCATTAAAAAGTGGATAAACTAAAAATCAAATTATTAATAATAAAATATTTATTTAAAAGAAATGACAAAGGTTTAGAAATAAAATAAGAAATAAATGAACACATTTATTTATATTTATTATTTCATGACAAAATTTAATATTCAAACACATTAGTAAGAAGTGGGATAAACTTATAAAAACTTGGGTGAAGGTATGGAGCTTGAGGATCCTTATAATATATATTATACTGTATCTTCAAATAATCTAAACGATTTTTTTAAATATTTCCACTCCAAATTAGCTCCAAGTCGATCGTTAATTTTCTGAATAATTTTTTTCTTTCTGGATAGCACTTAATCTTAATCTTCCATCTATGCTACTCTGATTTCGTTTCTCCATAACCATATATTGTAGAAATATTGATGTAGTTTCGTCCGACCATTTAAAATTCTGAAAGATTAAGCCACATTTGAATCATCAATTTATACTAGCTCTATAAAACTATTAATGATGAAGCAATTTATGAAATAATTGAATGGCCTATATGAAAGTATATGTTTTATTAAAAATACTATTCTATAAACTCTTTTATACCAATATTAATGGTGATTATGAAAATAAAATGATTATTATTGAAATGGATCTTAAAAGAAAAATTGACAAATGATAATAATTAATTTATCAAAAAATATTTGTGAAACAATATATGTAAACATATAGAAAGATTCTAATTATTATGAGGAGAAGAAAAAAAAAGTTTTTAATTATTATTTATTTTAAAGTTTTATTATTTGTTTGAAAGCCTCATATTTGAGACTTTAGAAAATTCAACGTAAAAAAGAAAAAAAGTGAGCAGTTAGACTTTAAAAACTTTAAAAAAAAACTAAAGTCCTAAAATTGTGATTGGTAAATATCTGGCTTTTAAGACTTTTAAAAAAATCTTAAGCCTTTAAAGTCTCTTCCAATCACCCACTATATTATTTACTCATATAGTCATATTTTAAGTTAGTAGCAAAAAATTAGCAAAGCGAAGATCTCTAAACCAGTATGAGAAAACCAAAAAACCAATTTTATTGGAAAAAATTTATAAATAATAAAATAAAATTAGTATTGGTACAATTAAATATGAACAATTAATAATAAATTTATTATTAACCAATGAAATGGAAGATGTAGAGCTTACGTTAATTGTTTAGTGGATACGTAGCATATGCCGCAGTGATGACATAACACTCATATGAAAAAAGCTGACCAACTTTCATCTATATAATTGATATTTATATATGAATATTCTCCAAAAAAACTATATGTATTTGTTTTTCAAAATATTAAATAAATATATTTATTTATTAGATATCTCCATTCATGATGTGATATTTAAATACATGCCCTCCACATTTATCCAATTCAAAAATCTCAAAATTACCTCACGCCTATAAGAGAAGCTAACATCTAGATTTTATCTTATTAAGTTCTAACATGCAATGGAACATATCTTGCACCCTCGTCAATAAGATATATAACACATCATTCAGTACTCTAACCTAATATACATGATTGATCTCAGAGTGTGTTCTAACGAGTTAATCGAATGGTAACATGAGGAACCCTAGGGAAAATAAATTGAAAATCATAAGATTAAAGCAATGATCAATCCGTAATCCAAAAATCCAAATTCTCCTAGCAACATTTTTTAAAAATTTTCCAGAACAAGCCTTAAAAACATCTCCTTTACCTCTCCATAACACAACATCGATCATTTAGTGATATTTTGGCAAATGAAACTTGATATTTTTTTTGTTAGATAATAAACATTGCTATATACATAACTTATAACTTGAGGAAAAGTTGTATATACAACACAATATCAAGAAACTTGTTTTGGTTGAAGGGGAAACAAAAATTTGCATACTTCTCTCTCTTATCACCTAGGAAACGGCTGGCCTAATCGTTGTCTACTTCTCTCTCTTCTTGAATACACAAAAACTAGATCTAAGATCAACTTTTAAAAGAACAGATGAACAATAATCATTCGCTGGAATGTTTGGTCTTCAACTGCCAAACGATACTCATTCATACACCATCATGTGCTCACCCCTTCAAGTGTTCTGAATTCTACCAGTTCCTTGAACCCGATACGAGTTAAGCCCCTCATAATTCTATTGGTGCTAATATACACCTATTTTTCCCCTTGGTTTAGATATTGTGATAGATCGATTAGGTTTGTTAGTCATGATGGGCTCACGAGTAACAAAGTACCACTACCAGTCTTGGGGATAGTACGGTTGGAAGGCATGGCGGTGATCGTCCGGTTCACGAGAGAAAACCTCAAACACCGAATTAAGCACGTCGGATCATTCAGACATTCACTCTTGGTTGTAGGTACACATCAATCAAGTCTTCACCCGAGGAGTAGAATCGCACGCCCCTAGGAAGTTGGTTGGGAATTTGGTACACCGGTCTATCAAACAAGAAACAAAACCAATCAACTACAGATCTTTCGCAAAACAACACAGATCGATACCTCCAAAATGAAAAAAAAACAACGATGGTAATATTGAGATATAGAAACCTCAAAAATTTGATGATGGAGCTCCTCTTATGTACTCCTCACCCTCTGTAATATATTATTTAGATAAAGGTTAATGATAATAACTTACTCAAACCATTAGATAAATTGAAAATCATAAGATTAAAGCAATGATCAATCCGTCATCCAAAAATCCAAATTCTTTCTGCAAAATTGAATAGATAAATCATTGAAATACACTTCTTCTCGGTGGTTTCCAACTCAAGTTTGATCAATCAAATTTGTGTCATTCGACGAATTGGTTATGTTCGTTTCCGTCCTTCCGTAGTGTTTCCATTTTTCTGGGACGATGGTGATTACAAAAAAGACTTTCAGACAATTGTTTGCTCGTTTTTTCTTTTGATGTGCATATCGATCAATAACTTAGGGTGTCATTTGATCCTCCTGTTTTCAGTCTAATTTTTTTTTGTTTTTCCCAAAAAATCCAGTTCTACTTCTAACCGTCTTTTAGTGTGAAATGACTCAATAAAAACTAAAAAGACTTGATAAGACACTAAAAAGATTTTGAAAACTAAAATGAACAGTGGTAAAAATCTCAACACATCAATACGTATGCATAATATATATGCACCTCCATCTCTAAGGAGAGGCCGAAGTAGCATAGGAACATACTTGGTTATTATCAAAATTATCATAACCGAGTAAATTTAAGGAGATCCAATCAATTTTGATAATTTAACTAAGATAGTGACATCTTTAAACAATTACGTAGATACTTGGTTAAAATCCTATAACGTTACCCAGTCCCATTTTTGGAACCGCTCGTTTGACCCCTTAATCCAAAACTTCTTTCAAAATCTCAAAAAAGAATTGAGAAATTCAACACAACTAAGGTTGAAAAGATATAAGAGAATCTCGAGTGAAAAACATAAATAAAGGAACTTAAACTTAAATTTACGGATAAACCACATGTCATCTCATGCTGTTAATTTTTAACAAAAAAAAAATCTCATGCTGTTTTTTTTTTTATATAAATGTAAATATCATATAAAATGAAAAGTTTAGGAATTATACAAAATAGAACCTAATGTTTTTGAGACCTTGCCAAAAAAGATAAAAACAAGGCAACAAATAATTAAGATAACACCAGAGTGAGATCATCTAATCCAAAGCTGCATTAAGTTTCCGAAATGCTTTCTTTGTCGACGAGCCGAAATTATGTTTCTGATCTCCTTATCAATCAACTTGAAGATGGTTTGGTGAGGCAAAACAATGTTGTTGTGCTGTTAATCTCATGCTGTTAATTCTCTCTTTCAGTTATTTTCAAAATATTTTTGACTTAAACAAATTTTCATTGGAAGACAACACACTAATGTCCTCTTTAACCAAGATCGTCCCTACCCATAATGTGGTACAAGTTCATTTACTAAGCTCAGTAGCTCACGACAATGTTGAAAATCAAATACATAAATGACAAAATCCAAAAAAATACGAAAAACTTATAAAATCTATAATGTTAGTGATCTTTTGGCAAATGAAACTTGATATCTTTTTGCTGGATAGTAAACATAGCTATATACATCACTTGAGGAAAAATTGTAAACACAATATCAAAAAAATTGTTTTGGTCGAAAGGAAAGCAAAAATTTGTAAACGAAACTGTGGACCAAAAATCGAAGAATGAAGCAGGAAAATTTGAGAGCATTTTAGAAGTCATGTATTTGGGTTTCCCATCAAGTCTTCGAGCCGTCCAAGTTCCTATCGCAATTACCAATTATTAAACTCGTCATGGGAATTGGAAAGTCACCTACGTACACACGTATCTTTACTTTTTTGCTGCCAATGATAAATTTCTAATATTTTAAAAACAAAAAGAAATTAAAATACAGTTTAATCATTAATTTAATGTTCATATAAAATGACAAAAAACCATAAAGAAGTTAGCTCTCAAACAAAGATATTGCTACTACCTCACCAAATATTTTCCAAGAGAAAGAGAGAGAATGGCTGGAGAAGAAACCGAGAGGGAGAAGAAATCTGCAGCTTCTGGAAGAACTCACACCAGAAACAACACTCAACAAAGTTCTTCTTCTGGTAATTACAAATCTTGGTTATGTTTTTTCATCTTTCTTATGTTCTTGTTTATGTTCGATCTCACTTTTGCAATAAAATCTGAGACTGTCTCTCTTTTGCTAGGCTTAGGATAATTGTGGAAGTTTAAAAAAGACATCTATCTTATTTCCCTCAATTTTTCTGGCTTTTATTTTCTGAAAAAAGATACATTTTTTTATATACAATAATTGCAAATGACATAATTTTATAGATTTCTTTAATTGATTTTAGAGCTCACTCTTTTTCTTGCTTGGATGATTGATGAATTAGATCAGAAAGCTAGTGTTCTTTGTTCATTTCATATTTTAATCCAAATTGAACCAAACCAATCGGTTAGTTTTGATCGGACCAAATTCGATTTTGACAAAAGCTGTAATTGATTGTACAAATGTAAACAGATTCTTTTCGGTTTCGATTCAGATATTTTAGTTTAGTTTCAATTCATTAAAGTTGAAACGGTTTCTTGGTAACACCAACTTAAAATTTAAAGCATGCGTAGTGTTATGTTCTTCTTTTTTTCAAATATATATATTTATATTACTAAAACCCCTTAATGGGCTGGGCTAATGGGCCGAAAACGGTTTACCAAATGTTCTTAGAAGACTTGCTTCTTCAATTATGAAGGTTATTTGAAAACGATTCTCCTGGTAACGTTCGTCGGAGCTTTAGCATGGATTTATCAAACTATCCAACCACCACCCGCCAAACTCGTCGGCTCTCCCGGTGGAGCCACTGTGACGTCACCAAGGATCAAACTGAGAGACGGAAGACATCTGGCTTACACAGAATTCGGAATCCCTAGAGATGAAGCCAAGTTCAAGATCATATACATCCACGGCTTCGATTCTTGTATGCGAGACTCGCATTTCGCCAGTTTCTTATCGCCGGTAAGTTTTCCGGTCAAATCTCTCATCACCCATTTGTTCAATCATCAATAGCATGTAGAAAAAAGGACAAAGCTTGTGTCTTTGGTGAAGCTAGTGTGTAAAAAAGGTATTTTTGTGCATAATTTTAGGCTCTTGTGGAGGAATTGAGGATACACATTGTGTCTTTTGATCGTCCTGGTTATGGAGAGAGTGATCCTAACCTGAATGGGTCACCAAGAAGCATAGCATTGGATATTGAAGAGCTTGCTGATGGGTTAGGACTAGGACCTAAGTTCTATCTCTTTGGTCTTTCCATGGGTGGTGAAATTACATGGGCATGCCTTAACTACATTCCTCACAGGTACTTCAGAAGAGTCTGTCTTTGTTTGTTTTCGGAATGTTTTCAATGTATCGAAAAAGATTTCAACTTTGATCTTGAAACATTAGCTAAGATGTGTTGTGAAGTGTGGTTTTTTGGTTATGGACTTTGTTAACAGGTTAGCAGGAGCTGCGCTTGTTGCTCCGGCGATTAACTACTGGTGGAGAAACTTACCGGGAGATGTAACGAGAGAAGCTTTCTCTCTTATGCATCCTGCAGATCAATGGTCACTTCGAGTAGCTCATTATGCTCCTTGGCTTACATATTGGTGGAACACTCAGAAATGGTTCCCGGTCTCCAATGTGATTGCGGGTAATCCCATTATTTTCTCCCGGCAGGACATGGAGATTTTGTCTAAGCTCGGATTCGTCAATCCAAATCAGGTACAAGCACATCTATAGACGTTAGGTTTGATTTGTTTTGATTTTTGGTTTCTTTTCAAAAAATTTGTGCCATATGGGTCAGTTTCCATATCATAAGTTTCATACCTCTGCAATTAGAAGATGATTTGGAATCAAATGCTGTGTACACTATATTCTTTTTTGTTTTCAGGCATACATAAGACAACAAGGTGAATACGTAAGCCTACACCGAGATTTAAATGTCGGATTTTCAAGCTGGGAATTCGATCCGTTAGACCTTCAAAATCCATTCCCAAACAACAATGGCTCGGTTCACGTATGGAATGGCGATGAGGATAAGTTTGTGCCAGTAAAGCTTCAACGTTATATTGTGTCAAAGCTGCCATGGATTCGTTACCATGAAATATCTGGATCAGGACATTTGTTACCATTTGTGGAAGGTATGACTGATAAGATCATCAAGTCACTTTTGGTTGGGAAAGAAAAGGTAAGTGAGAGTAGAGAAGCCTCTGTTTAAGTCAATGTGTTTTTTAAGGATAATTAGTTGCTTGGACTATTTTCGCTAAATTTCAGACATTATATGCGTGCAATGCCTAGAAAAATAATTATGATCAACGATCAAATCCTCGAGCTAAAACCAAATCGAAACCCATATTGAATTATGTATGAGAGCAAGATGTTAATATAAGTGTACTAATGTCTCAAATGAAAGGGTTGTCGATATGCAACAAGTGGAGGTATTAGTTTTCGCGCACAAGCTATATCGATATGAAAGTCGCATATAGAACAATGATAGGTAGGACCAAACAAGAAAGCTCCACAAAAAGCACACTTGCCACTTCCCCTATAGTCAATAAAGCGGAGTGGATGCTCGAGATAGGAAGGGTAACTGATCTCTGCTAATGACTCGCCACATTCTTTGAGATACCAAATATGGTTACAATCAGAGTCATTGCAACGGTAGCCACCATAGATAGAAGAGATTTTCTTGCAACCGCGACAACGACCATTTATAAACCTTGATGAATGGTATAATGGATGCTTGTGAATCGGTAAATCTACTGATCTCTCCATTGTGCTTTTGTGATTCAGATCTCTTTCTTTCTTTTTTGGTCAACCCTTGTTTATTATTTTCATGTGTTTGGTGGTCTTGAGATGCTCAATATCTGTGCCTGAATAAACAAATGATAAGCTACATCACACGCCATCGAATATAATGTTCAATTATTTGAATAATAAAATGGATTAAATTTATTTTGATTGAAAGATTTGCAAAACATAATTAGTAACCTATTGTAAGAATCATTGCTGGGAAAGTTTCAGAGAACATATACATGTGAGTAAAAGAATAAGTAAAAGAGACTTTTGTAAAAAGTACATGGAATGATCTTTCGTCAGAAACCAGTAAGATCAGTACAAAGAACAATTTGAAGAACACCCAAAACCAACCAACTCCATATTTCTCTATATATGTAGAGATTCAGAATCAGTCAGGAATCTGTAGAACACCCAAAATCGCGGTGTAGCCAACCGTTCTCTTCAGCTTGCGCAACATACGAGTTAAATTTCTCTTTCGCGTTTGGAATATCCAAAGATAAGTCATCAAGACTATCTTTGATTCGACCAAACCCTTTTGTCATTTGGTTACTAGTAATGATCCCTTCAGCAAAACACTCCTGCAAGAGATTAAGCATTCGATCGTTTTTCTTCTCCATTGCCATTACCAAAGCTTTCTTAACCACCTCGTGGTTAAAAAACGGCATCCCTAGATCGCGTATGCATCGACAAGCCTCTGATATTACTCCTCCTGCTTCGTATTCTTCTAGAAGTTTCCAGATCTTGTCTTTAGCGTCTTCCACCGCCCAGCCAGTTCCGCCACCCCAGCTTCTCACGAGTCTTTCTCCTGCGTGTCGAGCGGATATCAGTGACCGAGCTGAGCGGATGGTTTCGCAACCGGTTGATTTTGGTGGTAAGCTGTTTGAGATCTCGTCGAGATTAAGCGGAGCCAAGACATCATCGATCACAGCCCTAGCTAGAAACAATGCAAGCTCGTCCGATGCTTCTAAGATGTCTAATGCTGTGTCATCTGCAGATTCGAGGAGCATGATGAATCCGTTTATGAAATCTTTTGTTGAGAACATCTCCATGTGAAGAGCAGAGAGAAGAACAGAAGCCATTTCTTTCTCTTTGTTCTTCCTATCCATAGCAAGAGTGATGAGTTTCTTCAAGAATACCGGGTTATATTCGGGTGATCCTATATCTACAAGACTGCGGATTAGCTCGGGAATGTCGTCAGAAAGGAAATACTCCTGAACTATAGTTACCACATCTTTCTTGTAACGTCTGAGTTTTTCGTCTCCAATTGGTAAGCCTCCATTTTGATCAGAACGTTCTTTAAATGTATCTTCGTCGAGCCAACCTCCGGATATAGCCTTGGGAACAATTGATTCAAACAGAGTTTTAGCAGATGGGATGTCAAGAGAAAGGTCATCAAGACTCTCTGCTACTCGGGAGAACCCTTTCGCCATTTGACTAGAACTAATGAGACCTTCTTCTGAAGCTTCTTTCAACAGTTTTAGTATCAGTGGCTCGGATGTTCTAGACTCCATCACTAGAACCAAAGCTCTCTTCACAACCTCGTGATGGAAAAACGAGACACCTAACTCCCTGATGCATCTACAAGCTTCACGAGTGTCGCCATTCTCTAAATATTCCTTCAAAATTTCGGATATCTTTCTCTTTGTTTCTTCTACCGTAATGTGAGTACTCCCACCCCAAATTTTCTCCACTAGTTCTGCGTGGTGAGGAGCCGAGAGATAGCTTTTTTCTGCAATTAAAATAACCTGAAACCCTTCAGAGGATTCCGGTAGAGTCTTCTTTGCTCTAGCTAGAGTAACCGGGGGAAGAATTTCATCGACGATGGCCCGAGCAATAAACAAAGCAAGGACATTAACAGCATCAGGTATGTCCAAAGCAAGATCACCAACGGACTCAAGCAGTCTAATAAACCCAACCCTGATTTGATCAGGTGAAACAACATCAGCGTACAACCGCGAGAGTAACACCGAAGCCTTCTCCTTCTCCTTATCGCCCCTGTCCATGGCCATCGAAACAAGCCTCTTGACAAAATAAGGATGGTATTCACTCAAACCAAGATCCATAAGGTCAGAAGCAGCCACTTCCCCATCCCCAGAGCTAAAGTATTCTTCGATGATGGAAACTACTTCTCTTTTGTAACCTTCCAAAGGATCTAACACCGGTGAACCGACAAGTGCATAAGGTTCCTGTTTAAATCAAATACAAAATCATCAAAAAGAGTACACACATTAAAAACAAAGTAGCACAACATGATTAAACCGACAAAATACCTCTCCAGTATCACAATTAGGATCTTTCTCATCTATACAAGAAGAGTCTTCTTCTATGTCAAGAACCTTTCCCCAAGTTCCTTTCCCAAAAGCAGTACCATCTGTTGAAACGGTGGAAGATAAATCCAATAAACATATAATATTCAAGTTTAAAAGCAAGAAAAAGTATTAATTTACTAAGAAACTGAATAAAGTATTAACCTTTCTTTACAGCAAACGGAGGAGGAGACTTTAGAGATGATGTCAGATTCTGAGTTGCTAATTCCAGTTTCTTCTCTTGTCCATTCATGAAAAACCACTCCCTCGATGCCATCTAAACACGTTCAAGATTTATGAATGATTCAGAAAAAAAAAATCCCAAAACAACAAGTTAAGAGTAAAGCAGACCAGTGATTGAACAATCTACAGCATCATAGGACATGAGAAAGCAAATAACATTATAGATTTCACAAAGTGGAACCAATTTGGCTTCATAACATTAAGTAAACAGAAACTAATACAAAACCAGCAAAAAATTCTTATTAACATTCATTCAAATTTTAGAAAACTAAAAAAGTTGATCACTTTTTAGGTTTACACAAGCCTAGTCTTTTACCTTGCCAACACGAAACAACTCTTCTAAGTTACAAACACTGACTCATGAGCTTTTACGAGTGTATTTCACGATAATATCAAAAAATCTATAAACCCTAAATCCAGCAAATAGAATTATACATACCAGCGATTACTGTAATTCGAAACGAATCCAAACCAAATCGTGTGAATCGGAAATCTTCTGTACTTGGCTCGGATCTCAAGCCAAGACAGGAAGAAAAAGCGATCAGAGCTCCACTACAGAAACTAAAACTCCGCAGGTAGTAAAAAGAATATCACCACCAGAGTCTTAGAAGATTCAGTGTCGCCGATTTCCAAGCTCGACGAGACTATATATACTTGATGAGAATCGGCGACTACAAAAATTGGAAAAAGAAAAAAAAAAAAAAAAAGGAAAAAAGTTAAGGGATATACACGTCATCAAAGAAGGCTTTTTCTATTGTCGAGAAGAAACCATTAAATGTATTTTAATTCGAAATCAAACCCTATACTTTTGATTGGTTCAGTTAGGTCCAATTTTACTGGTTAATGTGTTTTGAAATATCTTCTTTTTCCAAAGAAGAATACACACGAAACCTTTTCTTACAGAAAATTCAATCCAATAAATCGAATAAGATTTCTCTTAGGAGAACCCAATTAAAATTTGGGTAACACCTACAAATATTAGGCTAAATGTGGGGGTTTTTATGTAGTATTGAAAGTTTTTGTAATTATCTATTTCTGTTGATTCTATTCCACGTGCTCCACACTCCCGCACGTAATCGTTCCTATCGATGCTTTTTTCCATATACTTATCCAAAAGAATTTTAGAAATTTACCCAAACTACCCCTCAATGCGATGCAATGAGAATTACTAATTACATTATTCAATTGGATTTAGCCAAACGATTCATCTAACACCTAATCTAAAAGCCGATTAAGTAATTGAATTTTTTATTTATTTTTCATTTGTTGTACATATATACAAACCCGAAAAAGAAACAAAAATTCAACTGGCATTAAAATTTCTTTAAAACTCCATTTTTGCACTATTAGGAGACCAGAGTCTAAAACTGTGATAAGAGAAAAAAGTGTAATTGTTGGTATGTATATGTATAACAATGATAATTAAACCATGTTGGGGCGCTGAGGAAGAAGAAGATTGTAAAACTTGTTGTGCAAGAAAAAGCTCTTCCCTTTGCTATCAACAGCCTTTTTCCACCCACACCATCCTCCATTGACTATCTTCTTGTGATCTTCACTTCCTGTATAATGCGGGTCCAGGATCAGGAACGCGCAATCTCCACTTCCTTCATCGTAATCCACTCCCAAAAGTGTGTATGCAAGAACCCCACCTCCTGCAAAAAAACCAATACACAAGAAACAGTTTAAGCCAAGGTTCAGGTGTTCACTGGTTTGGAACTTATCGGCCTCATCTCACATTGAATACTAGTCAAGTGATCCTTTATATATAGGGTTTATGCTTCACTTATGCTCTCAATTATAGACTATCTAGGCTATTCACACCAGTGCTTTTGTTTTCATTCCCAATAGGATAAGCTTGTGTAAGGTTAAGTATCAGAGTGATTTGGCTTGACTTACCAATCATTATTGGAGTTCCTTGGTTCTCAAAGTGCATAGCTAACTCACGGCATTTCTCTGGGAGCTCCGATCCGGATCTGAAGTTCATGATTTTGCAACTTACCTGTAAAATTAAGACCTTTAGAGTTCTTTATTTTAATGTCGATAACATATGCTGGCATGCAGGTTTTCATTATAATAGTATCTGAAAGATCTAGAGGTTTACATCGTGAATTTCTATGATCAGATTCTTGTCTTGAGATGATTGAGATATCAAAATATAATTAAACAAGGAAGCTTAGAGTAGAGGACTTACACCAAGAAGTTTATCCAGCACAAAACTCAATTCTATGGCACCAATCCACTCGCGAGATCCTATAAACGAAGGATCCTTATCACCTATTTCCACAAGTGTCTGCTGTATTTCCCTGAGAATCCAAAAAGTATTACTTGACAGACCGAGAGATGGAAGAGGATCCCTGAGTTTCACTCATGAGAAAGTCTTTCATACCTATGTGAAGGAACAGCAACGGATGTATAGTGCTGAAGTCTGAACCACGAGATGATAGTTTGCAATGATCGGTAAGCACAGCCCCATCCCTGGCACAACAAGAGAAAAATCGTTTCAGAAGTTGAGACACTATTTCCAACTTTCTACGATGAGATAGCAAAACATGAAGAGCAACCAAATGTCATGCCAGTAATTAGTAAATAACTCTGATTTCCAGTGTAACACAAAGCGAGTGTTCCCTATTTTCTGCTTTAACTTTGTTTCACTTCCCAGATCATCAGCTAGTATCAGGTTTTTGAAATGACACAGTATTTTGAAACCTTGAAGGAATGAGAAATGATATACCGAGTCATCAAAGCTATCCTGAAGATAATGATAATACTCATAAGAACCTTGGATAATTGATGCCACACCCTCCGCGACTGCAGTAAAAATGCAAAATTAATAGAATGAATAGCTAGAACCAAGAATGAACGACAAAAACAAAAGGCATACGTAGTGCTAAGTGCTAACCTCCACTGCTAGGGATTCCAATATGCACATCTTTGAGCAAGAAGGAACCTGGCAGTGCCCACGTAATTTAACAATTAGAGTCATTGCAAATATTGAGACACAAATGGAAATTAACAAAAGTAAAAATTAGGCGGATCTATATACCCCTTTTCTTTATGTTACTCCTTGAGTCATCATTCACAGACAAATCCAAGGCATTAGCAGTTCTTAGGAGTGGACGATCCAGTGGCAGACCCAGCCTCAAGTGTAGAGATTTTCTAACATCGACTACAAAGAAAGTCAAGAGCAAGAACAATATATCAAATATCATAATGAGACTGCAATAAAAGTTTTGGAGGATCAAAATTTGTGTGAAAGTGCTAGTTCAAAAGCACGGCAGAATGCTAAGCTGATATCTAATGTTTTCCTATAGCTACCTTCAACTCTACTCGAAGAAAGGAATATGTATCGTTCAATCTTAGCATGACTCTACCTAGTCCTCTTTTAAATTTAAATACAATAGTTACCTTGCTTCATTTCAGTCTCCCCATAGTTAAGCTCGTATATAGTCGTTATTGGATGTAATACTCCAGGTGGACTGAAGTGATATATACGTAACTGTAAGAAAAAAAAGCGATTCTTGAAATAATCAGGAAAACTATGGATAATGCAAAGAGGGATATAGTTGCTTTAGAAGACTTATAAACATCTCATCTCACTGCCTATGGTGGCACAACCTGTACCAACAATATGGTACTATGGGATATATACTTCGAAAAATTCTGTTAAAAAACTAAAAGAAGAAAATGTATCCCTACCTGAGGATGTACCATCAAGAGGTAAGGTAAGATGATCTTCTTCAGTGAATATAGCTGATCAACCAAAGCAGGGATAACTAAATTTGAGACCGCGTGCATAAGTGGAAGATCCTTGGGTGCATAAACAAGTACATCAAGATTCAAATCAACAACAATGAGCCTTGCTTCTTCCATAGCTGTGAGAATAGTTACAATTTAAGATATAAGAACACAGCACATGTAATACTCTTAGTGCCTTTAACACATTCTTAATAAAACAATCTATATTTGAATTGATTACCTGGAAAATATTCTGCAACAGGGGCACCAGAGGTCGGAGATTTTTCAGATCTATTAAGCAGAACAGATATGTGGATTTTATCTGCATTCTAAGAAGAAGAAATATTAGGGGAGGAGAAACAACAAGAAGGCCAGGTGGTAGCGACATGGACATCGATATCAAGTTTAAAACTCTTGGTTTACTTACCTCAGCTGAATTAACTGCTGCAGCAGTTTTGCTGTTCAGAAAGAAATGGGAACATGACAACATTTTAGTGTCAGAGACTTGGTCAGCAGAAGGAAGACGGTTAATGTTTGATGCATCAGCGCCAAAACCCAAATCTTTACCACGGAGGACGACTGGCTTTGGAACATCTCCAGAAGTTTTCTTTAAGGTCTCGGCTATGTACACAACATATGGTTCTTTAAACTGAGTAATAACTGCATCAATTGCATCTGAAAACTTCTCCTTCGAATCTGAAAAAAGGATACCAGTAAACATGAGAAAAAGAACACGTGAAACCAATAACTGAAGACAGATAACAGAAATCTGAGATCATACCAGAGGGCGAGCTTGCGGAAAAATAGAATGGCAACTTGATAGGAAGCTCACAGTGAAGCAAGCAACCGTTCTCCCATAAATATTTCCCAGACTTCTCCTCATACACAACGGAACCAACAGGCTCTAGCTTTGTTAAGTTTTCACTTTTAGAGATGAAAAAGTGAATGGTACCAGTTCCTGCATCGCAACTAGCCCCAACTACCTTTTCATCATCTAACTCTCCACCTTCAGATAAATGCTTTCGCAATCTACGAGCAGCTCGAACCGCCTCAAATGCGGTTTTCTCAGCATCAGAATCCCCAACTATCAGACCCCCAATAACTTCAAAACCTTTTGGTAACAACTTCCGGAGATCATCTGCATACAAATCCCAAAAGAGCTATCTTTGTGAACAATCAATGGCCTAATAAGAATCATTAAACACAATTGACCCATGAATAAAAATTTCAACTTTAGTAAATTGAAAACATGATTCATGCAATTGAACATTCTGATTCCATTAATCGACATAATCTAAGTGTAGAAACGGTTTCTCTTTACCAGATTCTTGCTGGAAATCAGGAGAGTGATGGATACATCGGAAAGTGGAGACGACGGTGAAAGGCGGGAAAAATGGAGAACCAATGAGCCATTGAAGAGTTCCAGGTTGGTTCGCTGAGAGAAGCAGCTTTTGGCAAAGGACTCGTACGGTCGCTGTCTCGCTCGAAGGAACCATCTCGGATCCAAAACCAAACAGCCAAAATCAGTTTTTCTACTTTCCGTTCGATGACTTCTCTCGTGTCGTGAGACTTATTTGACCCATGTGGCGACCATTATATGGGCCTAGCCCAATATAGAGTCATATAAGCCCATTTAAGTGGTCTATTATCCTTTTTAAAATCATGCCTAACAAACTTAAAACCCAATTCAATCTATTTTTGAAATACACTCTTTGTACTTGGATCAGATCAAAGCATATCCAAAATTGTGGTCTAATATCCTTTTTTAAATGAAACATAGTTTTAAGATAAGTCCATTTAAGTGGTCTATTATCCTTTTTACTAAATCATTTGTATTAATCATAGTTTTAAGATAAATATTAATAATATATGCATGATAATTTTTAGCTTAATATAAAAAAAAAAAACGTTCTAATCATTTTGTGTGTCCATAGCAAAATAAAGAATGTTATCTCATCAGCCAGTAAAATCTAGGTGGAAAGAAGCCTAGTGTTGTTAGTATTTTTATATATTACGATCATGAGTAAAGAAATTATCCAGATAATCGAAATTGCTGCCTATGTGGGCGTCACTTACTCCGTAGACCAAGGGAGAAAAAGTCAATGGCCAACCAGATAGGATTTGATCAGGAATAAAGTTTGATGTTAGCTAGATTTGGTCAAAATTTAAGAGTGTAAGACTCAATTTCGAATTCTCGACAATGCAACCTTAGTTTGAATAGAATAATAATCCATGTATACAAATACATTTTTAAAACCTAAGAATATGGACATTTTAGACCAAAACTGATATCCACAATCATCATAAAATTGTTCTTCCCCATCAAAGCTGATATTTGGTGATAAAATAAGTGAAAGCAAATCATGATAACTAGCAAATATATTTTTGCATGAAAAATATTTGATGACATTGGCTTTAAATATTTTAATGCAAATTGGTAAATAACATCACAATTGAACCAAACATATTTCTTTTATCAACTTACTATTGCAATCTAATGATATATTGATACATCGTATATTAGTATGTTGCCGATAGAAATTTTGTTATTAGTAAATAGTAATACATAGATATTTCATCAATAACCCACTTCTGATGTCCCACTAATAATTAACAACTAGTACTATATGTTATCGTGTGTAGAATATTTTATTTTGGTTTTGTACACGAGTAGACCCTAAAGCAATCGATCTAGTTAAATTACAATATAATTTAGTTAAAATCTCCAAGAAACCACTTTTGTTGTTTAATCTCCCAACTAGTGAATAATATAATTAAGGTAGAAGAAATCGATTAACGTCAAATATAAAGGAACGAACATTTTGTAAATTTATAGGGCTATGTTAATTTAAATACATAGAAGATTTAAAAATTAAGAATATACCTCTAGTTTTTGTATTATTAGTTCTCTCTCTTCAATTTATGTAAGTTGGACGAAAATGCCCCTCCACATATAACAAATTAGTTAACGTCATAATAAAATAGATATCGACATTTCTTATATGAATTAGATATGTATGAATTAGATATCAACGTTTTTGTATCTTCACTATTTATCAAATATCTCGGTAATATTTATTAGGTTAACATGATAACAAAATATTTATATCAATAAGTTTATAATTATATCATGCTAAGTCATCTTGTATCGCGATAAGTTATAACTTATGTGATATATTTATATTTACCGTCTTAACTCATTTATTATTTCATATATAAAAAATTAACGAGTTACTATAACGTGCAAAATATGAATTTCATCCAATAAGATTATTATTATCACCTACCTCTAGATAAAGTTTTAGTTAACTCGGTAATTTGATTGTTAACCAATTTGAATCTGAACAAAAACTACCATTGTCGTAATCTTCAACCACCACATCTCCGCCGTATTCTTCTCACCCCATCATTTCAGAACCATTTTTTTCCTCTACCGCAAACCCAAACCATAATTATTACCTCCGCTACGGATAAAATCATCACCGCCACCATATTCTTTTATGTCGGTATCACCTCCCATGGTTTCCTTGTCTTCTCCCATGTTTACAACCACCATATAATCATCAGTGCCACCATATAATTATCACCATCACCACCGTGAACTTTCATATTATTGTATCGTAAACTATTTTCACCATCGGAATTGAACCACTACCATTATAATCACTTTCATCGTTAGAATTGAACCACTCCGCCAGATTTCAAAATCACAACCAAGATGAGACGACCCATCTAATCAATTCTTTGATAGACCCAAAAAAATACAAAAAAAGATGATGATGAGAAGATTCAGAAGAAAAAATGAAGAGAAGAGAACGATGAAAAGAAGATAAAGATGAAAGATAAAAGAACATAAGGATAATGATGTAATTTTCTTTGCTAATGTACTGTGTAAATAGTGACACAAATGTGTCAGTTAATTTTCTGTTTTTCCATGTATACTTCTTATAGATAATCAAATCTATTTATGGGACGGACCGACCACTTTTTTTTTTTTTTTAAATGCTGGAAACTTATCAACAAACTTTGAATTTTTTAGCTTTTTGTATTATAACTAGACCATCACCCGTACTGTAGTACGGGTTGAATTTCATTTATTACAAAATTTATATATTATATAGTTATAGAATAAAGTCGTGATATATTATAATAGTAAGTAAAAAAATATTAATTTTTTTCTGTCAGTCCATATATATAATATTAGAATGAATATATTTTTTTTCTTCTGTAATCCTCAATTATGGGTATATTTTTTAAAGATATGAAAACGGAAAATAATATTATTTTCAAAAACAATTATGGATCAGTATCAGTTGGGGATGCAAAACGGAAAATATTTTCAAAATGGGCTTTCCACAGAAATTTTTCTTGTAGTATGTAAAATTATGAATTTAAAAATATATATATATATATATGAAATTAAATATAAATATTCAAATAGTTATAAGGATCATAACTCATTTCATCATATAATACATTATATTAAACCCGCCGCCTATTATAAATATTTGTTTCAAAAAATCAAATTAGAGTATTTATATTTCTTAACTTTTTGATCTATTAAGTATTGATGATATTAAAAAAATGAATATATTACTCAAATATGAATTCCCGTTAAATTTGTTCTTTCATACATTGAACAATTTATATTCGTTTTTTAAAATTCAAATCTTTGTATATGCGGAAAAAAATTTACTTTTTTTTATTATGTATATGATATAATAATTTATTTATTTTATAGAAATAGAATAATATAAAGATGAGAGGTGAAGTATAATGATTAATAAAAAATTAATATGATAAGTTAGATATCAAATCTTATATGTTCATTTTGATTGGTCATTTTTTTTTAAAAAAATTAATAATAGATTTTCGTTTTTATAATTAAATTAAATTACATAAAATAGTATTTGACTTGTTTATCCTTAATGAGTTGAATTAATTTACTCTATAAATTTTTATTTCTAATGGCATTCTCATGTAATTTTTTACAAAAAGAAAGGTTAGTTAAGGGTATCTTATAAAGTGTACTCCCCAAATAATAGTATAGGATGAGCCATTTTTTTTTGACATCAAATATTCAGGTTTAATAATGAGCCATTTGTGAATACTTATGTGAATGGTGAATTGGTGATACATCAATATGACTAACATCACAATATGTCAAGAGTTACAGCTCACGACACTAAATTCTTTATGTGATTTGTAGAAAACGAATTGGAAAACCATGAATTTTAAAACTAATGTTTATAATTAAACAAAAAAATGGTTTTAAATTATGAATTAATTGGCCTAGGACGTGAGATCAAAAAGCCAACTTCAAATCCAACCAAGACAGTTCCAATGTTCATTTCTCTACGTGGCGTCGTTTGAATGGATTAAAATCATTGCACGAAACCTAATTTTCTGACACATCAGCATTTATGCGGCGAACTTGCTCCCCAAATCTAACAATCGGCCTATACATTATACATTTTTTTTTTAATTCCTAAATTTCATAGTTCTGTTTTTTCGCCAAATTTATAATTGTTTATTTGTAACCAATAACCATTTTGTGGTTCATTATAAACGTTGGGTCCATAATGTTTCGTGCATATTAATTAAATCAAGAATACTTATTATTCAAAAACAATATAATATAGGTCATTTACCTAAAAACAGGATTTTTCTTTGAAGAAAATACTATAAATGGTAGGTTTCTCTACCAAAATAAAACAAAAACACTACTATTTGATCGTTTATAGTCCTACCTAGATTGTTTGAAATTTTATTAAATACTTTTCTTCAAAAATACCATGAAATATAAGTGATTGCTAAAGTTAAAGATCTATATATGATTATAAAGAAAATGTTCGAAATTGAAAGCTGTTACGAATCGAAGAAGTTAAGTGGACTGCTACAAGAATGGTTTCCATCGAGACTAGCCGTTAGCTTCAGTTCGTCTCTCTGTTCTATGTCTTGCTATGTTTTTTTGTTTCTATTTGGCTTTAATAAAACATTTTTGTAAAGCTTTATTATGATCAATCAATTTTACATTTTATCAAAAACAGAAGAAATTGAAAGCTATTACTTAGATAGTTAGATAGTTAGATTGTGTCACACAATGGATAAACAAGAGGATCACAAGTGGGCTATACAAGAGGGCTTGTATGATTGGATGAGAACAAAATGCCACGAGGGATGAGGAGAGGAGAGGAGAGGAGAGGTGGCTCTTGGGAAGAGGCAAAGGTCGGTTTATTGCAATAACTGGCTTTTCTAGATTTTAATAACCGTAGCCCTTTGACGCAAAGCCAAATTTTGGTCCCGTTTATTTCATTCACTTTCCACATAGGATTGATAAGAAAACATAAATCTGCCTACATGGAACAAAAGGTTGTCTTGTTTTTTGGGATCACAAACAAAAGCAACCTTATAATAGTCACTTTTTTTTTTTTTCAGGAACGTAATTATACAAATATGTTCTCATTTTATATTCATAATGCTGGGAATATATAATACGGACAGAGGTGCACCGTTGGTCCAACTCAATACACAAAGGTCCAACTCAATACACAAATCAAATAGAACATTATCTATGTAGATTCTTATGTTACACCAAGTCGGTGATATTAAAATGTTTCAAACAAATATAAGCTATTGAAATTAAATACATACTTGAGCTTGTTAGTGGGCAGTGCGCGACTATTAGAAAACGCTTGAGGCATTGTTTAGCTAAGTCCTCTAATTCAATTTAATTACGTTCTGGTGGTTATCTTTTTTGTCTTCCTGGCGGAGATTTAATAGTCGGCGATGTGGCAGCTGTTTCAGCGGCTTATCGAGTTAGATAGGCTAGATACCATAGAAAGAAACACATGCGAGTTTTCTTTTCGTGTCACTTATCAGTTATCATGAAATTAAGGAACAAGTTGAACCTAATCACTAAAGAAAAAAAAAAAAAGTTGAACCTAGTCCTCTTATCAATATCTTTCATTGTCTTAAAGTTTTTTTTTTTTTTTGATAAGTGCATTGTCTTAACTCTTAAAGTTCATGGTTGCATACTAACTTTATCCCAAAATTTCATGATCTCCACGGACCCAAAAAAAAAAAAAAAAACTTACGAAGAGTTTACCAAAACTCCAACTACTTCAAATTTCAGATATTTGTCACTAGTCAAATACTAGAGTAGGAGATTTCGTTCGACTATAATATTCTTAATTCGTTATTGATGACACATGGAAGATAAATTTGGATATGAACTCTCTCCTGTTCGTTATAAAGTATTGTATAAAGAGTGATCCAGCTTCATCTCTTTATCCAAAAATGCTATTTCCGTCACATAACAATACCAAAAAAAGAAAAAAAAAAGAGTGATAATCTAAGTGAAAAACAGATCACGAGCGTGTGAGATAAGAATAGAGAGACGCAAAAACAACAAAGATATTTGCGAAACGCCACGTAAGCTATCAAAAGGTTACGGTAGGACCCACCTAAGCTAATGTCTATATAACCAGAAATGTACCAAAGCCTTTCTTCTTCAAACGACCACCAAACCTACACATATCTCCCTCTTCTTCTTCTTCTTCTCTGCAAAATTTAATGGAAGCTGTTCTTGTCGCGATGTCCCTACCCGCCACAACGGAAGATGACGGATTTTCGTTAATCAGCGATAAACTTTCTTATAATCTAACGACGATGTCGGACGTTGAGATCGTTACCTCCGATAACCGTCGGATTCCGGCACACTCCGGCGTTCTGGTAAGTTATTATTTTTCTGGTTTTAGGTTAAAAGATTTTCCGGTTTGGTTTAACTGAAATTTGTGGATAATGCAGGCTTCAGCTTCACCGGTACTGATGAACATCATGAAGAAACCGGAGCGACGTTACAGAGGCTGTGGATCTAAACGAGTCATCAAGATTCTTGGCGTTCCATGTGACGCCGTTTCGGTTTTTATCAAATTCCTCTACTCTTCTAGGTTGGTTTGGTTCTTCTTCTTTTTCTTGAATTTCAAATGTAGAAAAATCAAACCGATCATATTTTTATACACGGATTTGAAACTCTGTTTTTTTTTGTTGGCTAATTTATCGAGGAAACAATAGCTGTCCGAAAATGACCAAAATACCCTTTTGTGTCTCTGTTTTAGATTGACGGAGGATGAGATGGAGAGATATGGAATCCATCTTTTAGCTTTGTCTCATGTCTACATGGTCACGCAGCTGAAGCAACGGTGCTCAAAAGGCGTTGTACAGCGGTTAACGACAGAGAACGTAGTCGACGTTCTTCAGCTAGCTCGGCTCTGCGATGCACCTGATGTTTGCCTTCGATCTATGCGTCTGATCCATTCGCAGTTTAAGACTGTTGAGCAGACTGAAGGATGGAAGTTTATTCAGGAACATGATCCTTTCCTCGAACTCGACATTCTTCAGTTCATCGATGACGCCGAATCGGTAAACTTTTTATATGTTTTGAAAACACAAAATCTCTGTTTTTCTTATTACCATTTGCTTACTATAATATCATACAAAATTAAAACAATATTTTTTGTTTGGTGTTAGATAAATGATAATAAAAAACAAAAAAAATTAGTTTGGTATGTTGTCTCATGTTTGATTATATTTGGTTAATCTACCTAATTAGCCCCAAAACATTTGGTCATTTTCTGATTGTGTGTTGGATGCTAATTTAATTCAGAGGAAGAAAAGAAGACGACGACATAGAAAGGAGCAGGATCTTTACATGCAACTAAGCGAAGCAATGGAGTGTATAGAGCACATATGCACACAAGGTTGTACATTGGTCGGTCCATCAAACGTAGTAGACAACAAGAAGTCAATGGTTGCGGAAAAGTCAAAGCCTTGTAAGGCGTTTTCCACGTGTTATGGTCTTCAGCTATTGATACGTCACTTTGCCGTATGCAAGAGGAGGAATAACGATAAGGGTTGTCTTCGTTGCAAGCGGATGCTTCAACTCTTTAGACTCCATTCTTTGATTTGTGATCAACCCGATTCTTGTCGCGTCCCTCTTTGCAGGTATGTCCAAACGTTTTGTTAGGAATCTTACATTTGAAATAAAAATAAATTACACAAGCGAATTATTTCACTCTTATTATATTAGTATAAGTTTGAAGTTGATGATTTTTAGTATGTTTATGAATAAAATCCAACGTTTAGTTGATACTTGATTGTTTAGCTTTTTGTTGACACTTTTTAGTTGACCCACCTTTAGAAAAGTTTGCAAATTGCTATGAGAATTGATGATGGGTCGTAACCCGACGGCTGCAAATCTTTGGCTCTTTTTGAAATTTTGTTGATATTTAGAATCTCATGCGCCATTTTCAACTTTTTTTTGGGAGCAGGCAATTTAAGAAAAGGGGAGAACAGGACAAGAAAATGGGTGAAGACACCAAGTGGCAGCTTCTGGTGACAAGGGTTGTGTCTGCAAAAGCTATGTCTTCGTTGTGTCAGTCGAAGAAGAACAAATGTGAAGAATCACATGAGCAGGAAGGCGAGCTTGTTGAGTTTGTAGATAATAATGAAGATTAAGCAAGAAGCTTTCTGATAATCGTATTTGTTAATTCGATTCTTTTTGTAGTATAATAGTGTATTTGTTAGTTCGATTCTTTCTTAGAGGGTTTAGTTTGTATAGGAGTAAACCCTATTAAATTGGCTGTGTCTATGTAGGTCACATTTAAATTAATTGTTTGTTCATTTTATCTCAAAATGTCAGCATGTAATACAAAATAAATCATTGTTCTCGAAGTAAAGGGATGGTTACAACTTAAAAGAGATGTTTTTAACGTAATTGACTATCTTTGGCGAAAATGTTGAAATATAAATATTCAATCCGTTGTTTCGAGATTACAAAAAGGTTGAATTCAACGAGTATTACAAAAAAATATCTAAAGTGTTTAGCTTGATTACATTGCTTCTCAAATCTGCTCGATAATATTTATAAGATATTAAGAACATAAACCAATGATCGACCATAAAACATCTTCACGATGTTTTGGTAAAACCTAATTTTAGCTTTGGTGTGACTTCGTGGTTTGGTGGGTCGTTTTACCCTTCTAGGCTTATGAGCATCTAGGCCATTTTGTAAGTGAATTAAACTTACACAAAGTAAAGTATTTAACGCCATTTTCCCGCAAAGGAATATATGCTGGCCAATATTACAAGGAGATAAAACTCGTCTCAATTTAAGATGAATACACGATAATTAAACTCAGTGTAAGATCACTAGAAGAATCGTTGAAATCCAGTTTTCAATGCCTTAGAGTCTCTAGAGTTCGTCTTTAACATCATCGCGAACTACTGACTCAGGAGTAGAGGGAGTGGAATTAGAAACCTTGGTGGGATAAGAAGCCTCCATGGCTATACCGCAACGTCCTTCATTCTCAGATATTCCTCTTTCTATCCGAACATAACCCCCTTCTCCCCATTCCGGTCCCCATGAGTTCCTCACTATCCAATATTTTGCTCCATTTTTAGTCTCTCCATACCCGACAATCACCACCCCATGGTTTAACTGAGTCCCGCATTCCCCGATAAACACACCCTACAACAGAATACATGCACGTTTTCTATCGTAAAACAATGTTCGGAAATTGTTGTCTCACTAAGATTGATGTTTTAGATTATGTTCACGATAAAAAATATATTCAAAATATCTAATACATATACTTTTTTATATATGATATGCTTTATTTGCATAGAGAAATTTTTTAAGAATCAATGAAACATACCAAAAACATTCTAAGATTAGAGATGAATTTAGACTAGATAATGTTCTCTATATACATCTTGATTAAGAGAGGCTTGCATACTACTAAACCATAGACTATGAGTTGCTGATTAACATTGATATGTAATTTTTTATAACTAGTTTCTGACGCAAACTCAAACTCAAACTAAAAGTAGTGTTTAGTAATATTAACAAAGGTATATCAACTTAATTATGACTAAAGATTACCTCAGAGTAAAGCTGGAAATCTGAGCTCCCAGCATCAATAGCTACAGAGACAGGTTGGTGAGCAACAGCTTTGAGAAGTGCTTCTTCATTATTCTCAGGGACGTGTTCGTGTCCATCAATCGTTACAGTTTCTCCATCGATACTCTTAGCTCTGCAGAATTGAACATCATTGGAGTCGTAAGGATAAGTCTCTTCGGTTTTGATGCCACCATTGTTCTTTATGAATTCAAACGCAGGTTCCATGAGACCTCCTGCACAACCTTGATTCTCTTCAATGTCACAATCAACAAGCTCTTGTTCAGACAATGAAACCAATATGTTTGTTCTGATCTTGTTTATCCCTTCTACTGCTGCAACCGTCGAAAACGCCCAGCAACTTCCTACAGATTTTGGATAAATCCAACATCCAAAATAAGAGAGAAACTCAAATCTTCAATTAACGCAAACGATCCGGATCGAATCAATTAGAAACAGAGCAAAAACAGAACAACAGAAAATAGAGCCTCTTACCACAATCTTGTTGATTCTTGACTTCAGTGACAGCTCCTTTCTCTCTCCAATCAACAGAACTCGGAACTCTTGTTACATTCTCGTACATGAAACCACCAGATCCGCGCTTCGGTCCACGAAGCATCCGGTGATGCTTAACATTAGAGCCAGCGTAGGAGCTTCTAAACTCGTGGTGAGTTATGTCCGCGAATCTGTTGACCTTGAGTTTGTAAGGCTTGTTCTTCTTGTTCGTCCTGTGGACATGAAGCACATTGTGTCTAAAAACGTTGAACCGCTTTAGTGCCTCGTGGGAGGCTCTCGTTACAGAGTGGTGGCCTCTCCACCTCTCATAGAGCTTCCATACGTTCTCTTCGGTCTCTAATTCTTTTTCGTCGAAATCGAATCCTTTTGATGCTTGGAGGAGGCAAAGAAAAGAGAGAACAATAAAGAAAAGTTTCATGACTTTTAGATTCTTCTTGTTGGTTTTTTGGTCTGTTTATGCCTTCTATGGTATATGATTGAGGAAATGATTAGAGATGGGAACATAAATATATTGATTCCTTGAAATATTGATTGATTTGCATTATTTTTAATTTAAACGTACATGTAATTGTTGACATAGTACATATACAGTTGCTAAAAATTACATGTACGTTTTGAGAGTTATATAGTCTTTCCAAAAATATTAAACTCGTAACAACATCGAAGTTAATAGTCATTCCAGAAATATTACACTGTAAATTTCTTATAACATTCTGATTATCGATATAATTCGTTTTTATGGTGGACTTAGCCGCGTGGCCGGATATAATATGTGTGAGATCGACTAATTGAGAAAGTATGGATAAAAAGATCGTGCGTGGGACTAAAAGCAAGAACGGGTACGTTTCATAAACACGTGAAACACGACAAAACTATATGAATATATAACCAATTTGAGAATTTAGATTTGGTAGAAACAGTTGAAAGATATTAAAACGCAAAAAGATTTGGTAGAAACACAATAGAACACGTACGTCCATTCCCATTTTCTGTGGATTTAAATGGTAAAGATAAGATGAAGATGGGTTGGGTCCTCTTCATTAAATTATAGATATTTCAATGGAAAATTTTATACTCAAAGTAATGCTAAAGCAAATAAGCTCGAGCTGGCATGACTCTACGTGCCTTAGGCTATAGGACAATAAGTCAATAATTCACGTTAAACTACGTCGTGTTTATAATCGAGTTCAAGACTAAGAAACCACCTTATTTAATCGTGTTTTATCATTTACCTTTCTATGTCGTGAACTAGTGCACGGCCAACAATATCTTCTAGACATATTTTTTTGGGTAAATTTCACGGCAGAGCATTTGACATGTTTTTTTAAGGCGAGTACGAGACAAGTAACGGGTACGGGACGAGTAATGAGTAATCATGTCCAGTCCCCTGCCTAACCATACAAATCATGTAAGCTAATATAACCAAACAAAAAAAACAAAAAAGAAAACTATATATAAGATTCAAAAATGCAGCCACTAGTAGTATGTATAACTTTCATCGAATACAAGTTGTCGACAATTCTAGGCTTCTCTAGCTATATCATTACGTGCTGCCGTTTTGATCATTCAAGGAGTTGTTACATGGCAACCGCCTTCACCGCATAATGCATGCATGCCTTTTTCCTCCAAGTTCTCAGATTGATCTTAAAAAATGTTGTTGGTCATCTTTCTTCAGTGTCCCAAGATCTACACATGACTTATCAAAAAAAGATCTACACATGACACATCAATATTTTTCTGGCAAGTATATGAAAACGCTGGAGCCACAAGTTGCAAAGCCTTCTCAAACTTAAACTTAAACTCAAAAGAGCAATCCATGTTTCCAATAAATCGGTTGTTCACTCCTCTTTCCAAAGAAAATTTCGACCGTATATTTCCCTTAATTTTTTTTCCGGACACCAATGAAGAAGATCGTCAGCTTATTTTATTGCTATTTTGCATTCTTCATGTAGTGTTAGGAAAACTTACTCAGTCTCTTATTTCTCTTTTGTACTTAATTAATAAACAAGGATAGAGAAACACAAGACATTTTTATTCAAATTCAAATCCAAAACCAACAACAAAATCAAATCATGAAGACAAAACTAACAACATAAATCAACAAGGAATTGGGATCACCATTGATATGGTTTACACAATGTGCACACATATCTAGAGCTCATCTTTGACATCACCGTCTTTTGGGGTAGGATTATAAGATGATAGCTTGATCGGATACGATGCCTCCATTGCAATACCACAACGTCCTTCAGCACCATCAATCCCTCTCTCAATCTTTATATAGCCTCCCGCTTTTTTTTCCCCGTAAAACCTCACAAAAACCCAATATTATATTATATTGAACTAGTGATTTATAAAAGTACTTTAAAATTCACAAAACATTTTAACCATTGAATTTTTATGACTTTAACAGATTTTAGATTATTTACTTAGTTAAAAATACAAAGATCCAAATCGCATGATTTTAATTGAGATTTAACAAAAAATCATAATAAATTTCCAAATTCATTGCAAACCATCAAAGTCATCTAAAAATTCATTAAAATTCAAATTTATTTAAAATATAGGATTGCATGTTATATTAAAGAATCCATCGGAGAGAGATATTATTTACATGTATATGTATAAATATATATGTAAAACTTAACAAATAAATTAAAATTAAAAAAATTTGTTTGTTAACAATATGACATGGCATCCACATAACTGTACATGTAGCGTCCATGTCATCAATATTTAATAGTTTATTGCCACTGTTACGGCATATGTATGATTTTGCACAAATTCATAAGTTTGAGAAGTAAATTTCAATTAATGCTTTGTTGAGGTATGAATTTGCACGGTGATATACTTAATGTATGAAATGAACATACCTCTATAGTTGAGGTATGAAAAAGCCCTTATTCCGTGGTTTTGTAGTATCTCATATTATGAGCTTATTCGAGGAGCCGGTTGCAGAATTTCTCTGCCACACTATGCACCCTCTGCGTTCTTGGTCCTCTACTATATCAAACAAAGCCAGCTTTCCTTTGTACTCACCAAGAGTAGCTACCTCATGCACGGCCTCTGACAACTCCACAATAGTCAGTGAGCGATCCTCTATATCGATGGTGAGCATAACATGCTGAACAACTCCCCTCTTTTCACCAAGGCAGTAAAAAATTCTTCCCAACAACATGTTCTTCAAAGACATTTTATGGTTGCCATTCAACTGCTATGCCATTTTTCTCCCACAGCTCCTCGGATAAGCTGATAATCTGACCCTCTAAATTTCCTTGGCATGTATAAAAATGCCAATAAGCATAGTATTCGTAATAACTGTTTCCTATTAATCATTCTTATTAAGAAAATTATAATTATTTTAGATGATTAGATTAAAAACTATTACAATTATAGTTTGAAACTATTAATCACTCTATATCTTCACTTTGATTGAATTTTGTATTTGTATTTCAAATATTTGTTCAATTCGTGTACATATTTCCCATTATAACCAAACAAATACCCAAACCTTTTATCATATATCAATCAAAGGCCAAACATTAATTTGACCTCACATCTCAACAGTAATATCAAACCTATTGCGTTTGGTGCGGCTAAAACACAAACGCTGTTTGTGTGTAATCATTTATATCCCATCACGTCGTCTCTTATTACAACCATAAATACTTTTGTACTTTATTTATTGCAAATGTAATTAATTTCCCCGTTTTGAGATTGAGACCAAACTTACTATAATCAATTCAAGTTTATGTAAAATTTACAACACAAAAAGAGTTTAAAACGGTTTAACGGTCAACTTAAATTGATATGTTGCCTATGTTATATTTTCATTAGTGTGATTTTGTTTTTTCTGATCACAACATGTAAGTATGTAACTTAGTAGTTTGTGTTAGTAACGTCCATGCGTCACCATCTACATAATTGACACAAGAAAATTTCTACTGCTATTTTGCATTCTTCATGTAGTGTTAGGAAAACTTATTCGCTATATTGCTCTTTTGTACTTAATTAATAAACAAGGATAGAGAAACACAAGACATTTTTATTCAAATTCAAATCCAAAACCAACAACAAAATCAAATCATGAAGACGAAACTAACAACATGAATCAACAAGGAATTGGGATCACCATTGAAATGGTTTTACACAATGTGTACACAAATCTAAAGCTCATCTTTGACATCACCATCTTTCGGGGTAGGATTAGAAGACGATAGCTTGATCGGATACGATGCCTCCATTGCAATACCGCAACGACCTTCCGATTCATCAATCCCTCTCTCAATCTTTATATAGCCTCCCTCTCCCCATTCAGCCCCCCATGAGTTTCTCACTATCCAATACTTTTTCCCACCCTCAGATCCATACCCGACCGTTGCCACACCATGGTTCAGCTCTGTTCCACAATCTCCCGTAAACACTCCCTACAACATGTTACCAACGATATAACCAAATGTAATATACATGACATATGGCTTGGAGTTAATTTTTTTTTCTTTGGTTCAAATCTAAAGCATAATAACGATATTATTTTTTAGATATGATATTTCTAGTATAAGAAAACACGATTTAATTGATTTTCGTTTTACCTCTGAATAAAACTGGAAATCTGAACTTCCAGCATCAATTGCAACAGATACAGGTTGGTTTGCAACAGCCTTAAGAAGAGCATTTTCGTCGTTTTCGGGTACATTTTCATGCCCATCTATCGTCACAAGCACGCCGTTATCCTTTGAAGCGTCGCATTTTCCATCGATGCCTTCGTAGGGATAGCTATCTTCGGTGGTGATTCCACCGTTCTTCTTGATGAATTCAAATGCAATCTCCATAAGACCTCCGTTACAACCTTCATTCTGCTTAGTATCACAATCCACTAATTCTTGTTCAGACAGTGAGACTAGCTTGTTCGTCTTGATCTTGTTGATTCCCTCAACAGCTGCTACGGTAGAGAATGCCCAACAACTTCCTAGTAATGATTAAGCAGTTTTAAATCATTAGAATTCTATCAACAAAAAGATTACGTTAAGATTAAATTTTAATATATTTTTTTTAAAAGATGAGGCCGTAAAAATAATAGGACTATTGCAACGTTACTTCTAGCATTTCTCACTAATTGACCTATCTTTATGATACTTACCACATTTTCCTTGATTCTTGATTTCAGTGACAGCACCTTTCTTTCTCCAATCAACGGAGGACGGTAATTTGGATAAATTCTCATGATCATACATGAACTGTTTTGAGCCGCGTTTTGGTCCTTGCAACATCCTGTGATGCTTGATTTTAGAACCGGTGTAGGCATTCTTGAACTCATGAATCGTTAAGTCTGCAAACTCGTTGAGCTTAAGTTTGTAGGATCTGTTCTTCTTGTTGGAGTTATGAACATGCATGACATTGTGTCTGAAAACGTTGAATCTCTTCTCCCTTTCATGGAGACTCCTAGGAACTGAATGGTGGCTCCTCCATCTATCATAAAGCGTTGATAAGCCCTCTTCGCTCTCTACTTCTTTGTCGTCGTAATCGAATCCACAAGCAGTTTGGAGAATGACAAGAGAAAAGAGAAATATCAAAAGAAGTTGCTTCATTGTTTTTTTTTTTTTTGGTTGAGATATTATTTGTTTGAGGTTGAAAGTTTCATGAAATGGTGTCGGAAATATATAGCCAATGGAGAAAATATTTTTCTGTAGAGACTTGAAATGACTAAAATACCATCAATGTTTGTAAAATGAATTATTATTGTGTATACGTCTTGGTTAGACTTGTGGAACACTTTTAGGACACGCATCTGAGAGGATTAAGGAACCCATCATAGGTGTAATCTCTTTTTAAATAGATCATAATTCGCATTACATGGACATGATTATGTAAGATTCTGACCATTTCTAAGATTTTTGAGAAAATATTGTTTTTATAAATTTCATGCTGATGACCTGATGTATGTGTATATATTTTGTATGAATGTTGATTTGAGTAATTTTGATGACATGCATTGAAAGAAAACTGAATGAATCCTTAAAAAAATCAACATGGTTTCCTTAATTCAGGCTTTCATTGTTTGGACTTTCGATGTATATATTGATAATTGTCATTGTTGATGGATAGGTTTATACAATAATGGAAAATTAAAATGAAGCAACAAGTTGCTTAGGGAAATAATGAAAGCAATAATTAGATTAAGATATGTCCCCAAAAATGTGGAGACAAAAGCTGTTCACACCATGGCACTGTTGACCTAATGCCTTGTACAATAAAAAAACTTCTTTTGTAAAGGCTTTAAAATGGGGAATTAAATATTTCGATGGTTTTAAGAAAACTATTTATATGATCATATCTTTTATTTTTATAGAAATATTTTGGTCATGTGTAGACGAAAATGGTGATGAGTATATTACATGAAAAAAGACGAAAATTATGATGGTTCGACAATTTCTAAGATTTTTGAAATGCTTGAATCCCCAAACGATAATCATCTGCATTTTGTGAAGATTAAATTACGAGCTTTTTGTTTTCTTTTTATTAACCACTACGCATCAAAAACTTTTGATTTCCACCACATGAAAGCAACATACAGTAATTAGCTTTTAAAAACACACGTCTTAAACCATTCACCGAGAAATTACGTACCGAAGTAATTTACTAATATCGACCATTTAATGACTAAGTATACTGGTCTTATAGAAAACATTTAATGCCATGTGTTAATGCGAGAGAGGATCTCGTGGCGATTTATTTACATTTCCACACCTTAACCTCTAATTATTTGTTATTCTGATTTCTAAATTCTCAAGGCAAGATGAGTGAACATGTGGCGCAGCCCATTTGTTAAAAGTTTCTACTACATAGATATTCAAAATAAAAAATAATAACAAACTCAGGCCAAATATAACAACGGGCAAGTAGTTTCTCTAAAAATACAATAAAACACAATTAATTATGGCAGTTTTATGATAAGTTGTTAGGCAAAACATTGGTGTTTTACAACAAGTTTGAGATTTAAAATGAACAATAAACAATCTTAAACTATCGTGGGTTAAGACTTTTCTTTATAAAAAGCTAATGTCGTTTTACGTAGTGGATATGAATGAATAATTGGAATGGATCTTGGCTTAATACCCGGCATCGTGGTTGGATAATGATGCTTCCTAATGCAAGGAAACATATGTTTATAATTTTTGTTATTAAATAATTTACTTTGATCTCGTAATCCTAGGCCAATTGATGAATATTCATATGTACGAAAGAGATTCTACTTTTCTGATTATACATATATTTTTTTCGTATGACTAAACTCCCACGGATAATTGATGAAGTTAAGAAAATATTGTAGCTTTCATGCAAAAAAGAAAAGGCTATCTTATAGCTTTTATGATTGACGTATGAGTTTCTATTTCTAATTGTTATTTAATAATTGTTTCACCTCTATAAGGAGATTGAATAATTTCAACATGTACCGATCTTATCTTGGTTTTAGGCCTATGTAATTAATATCTTTAAGTTTTTTTAATTTTTTTTTTTGCATAAGCTTGTGTGTCTCATAAGATCCCCAAAATGCAACGACGTGGTTTGATGTTTCCTAGTTGCTTGCAAGTGACTCTACTATTTTATTGGTTATGACTTATGAGTATTATACGTTCGAAACCCAATAATTTAAACTTACAATAACGTGTTCTTTGTCTAGGGATCGTGGACCGATCCACACAGCTAGCGTGCCTTAACTGTCCTTAAAACCTTATATATCCAATTTAATATCCAAAACGTTATAAGATTCCCAAATCTTTTGAAAGATTCAAATAATTAAAGTCTGAAGAGGATTCCAGAAAAAAGTCCGATACAAACATTTGTTGCTCAAAGGCTTACAATAATCTTAGGCTACAAATGGATGACATGTAGATGAATGATCCTACATTTCTGTAATCCTATAATTGTTTGTTGATAATCTTAACAAAATCCGAACCCTTTTTATGAGCTCAAAAAATTTCTTCCCAAGGATACCTAATCAATTTTTTTGGTCAACAACATGCTATATACGGATTTGAACTTAAATGGTGAATGAAACAATAACGAGACTAAAATTACAAGTGACAGTTGATTTGTGTTATTGGTGCAATAGATGTGGTAAACCAAATTGTCTAATTTAAGTTTGGTATGATTCAATTTCTTTGGCTAAAAGAGTTTTTTTTTTCTTTCCCACCTCTAAACTTGATACTTTTTATTTATTTTATTTTTAATATTTAGTAAATAACCTATCTATATAATTTTGTATTGTTTACCATCTAAATTTTTATAGTCTATACTATTGCAAAAGCATTTATAAAAATATTATGTTATTAACATATTTCAGAACTAATAATTATAGTCCCACACATTGTGTGGTGAATTACCTAGTAATAAAATGGAAACAAAACAAAAATAACAATTGAGAAAGCAGAAGAATCATGCGTCTCAAGAAACGGTCTAAGGATGATTGTTGAAAATTAGGTCAGACTAATTAACCTCGGATTAGTACCCACCCACTCAACTGATTTGGAACAAGTTATCTCAATTGTATAAGCAAGAAACTCTACATGCCAGTTAAATCTAGACGACCATTGCCGAAGCAACCCCATTGAAGAATATATTTCAAATTTAGTAATCACTAATTCACACTGTTTGTGAATTCCTCCATTAAAATTTTGTTCATGATTGCTAATCCTCATTCTGGCTAAAGAAACTAAGCAATAAATCAGCTGGTTTTCGATCTAATATCAAGTCAATATTTGCAACAACAACAATATGGCACAAACCCGCCATCCGATTCTAAAACCAGTTCTTAAACGATCTAATGATACCACCCTGATCTCATTGAGGGACTAGAAAACAATCAGACTTTAAACCTACAATTTCTCAGGATCTAGGTCTCTTAAATGAGTAAGTAATATCATGTAACACAATTAGCTTTAGATTCCAAAGCATATAACACCATCCTAAGTGGATTTCCAGGATCAAGATACTTAAGAGGAACTAGCGGATCAAAAGCAACCAAGTAAAGACAATGCAGGAACTAGCGGATCAAAGCAACCAAGTTAAGCCGATATGATCACAAACTCAAGCATATAAAAATCTTATCTTTTCTGATAAGGCAAAGACCTGAGTCACCTGACGAAGGAACCACACACACAGGGACAATGCAAGATAGGAAATGCACAAACTTGGAACATCACCATTTATAAGCACACTCAGTTGAAGCTATTTAACACAGAGCAAACATTGCAATGGTGTGGAATTTGATGAAACTATTGAGGAAAACAAACAATTAACACTAACTCTAACCCAATTTATAGAGATTCCTCAGTACTTTGCAACATTTATCAATCTAATTCAATACTACTAATATGGTTCGAACTTGAAATCCCCAACATTTAGAAGAAGACAAAGTTTCCATTTTTCTCACCGGAATATGGAAACTCTACGATTTGCGTCCAAGACTCTTCCTGAGTTTCCTATACTTGTGCTTATTCATCTTCTTCTTCCTCTTCTTCTTCACACTATCTGCATAAATCACAGTCTCCTTCTCTTCTTTCTCCTCCACCACCACGTTCGGGAACGGCACCGTTTCGATTAGACCCGAATCATCATGAATCAGAGTCGGGTTAAACCCGTACCCGATTGAGAAACTAGGGTAAAACCGGTGAGATTTATCGGCGACGTTAATCACGGGATTGGTAAGAGGAACTGGATCGAATTCCACGGATACAGACTCCTTGTTGCTGATGCAAGGCTTCTGATGGGTTATTGTAATCGGAGTAAGCCTCGGGATTGCTCTTAAACAGGATTGGTTCCTGAGAAATCTGTGCATAAGATTCGCCATTTTCAGGTTAAAACCCTAAGCGAAGCCGACGATGGTCGTGCGTATCCGATTCAGAGAGGTTTTTGTGGTCTTGTGGAGTCCGAACGTTATAAACTCCTAACGACGTCGTTTAGGTTTCACTTTGGTTATGAGAAATTTAAAAAAGGTGCCCTCACGCAGGATCGAACTACGGACCTTCAGTTTACAAGACTGACGCTCTACCACTGAGCTATAAGGGCAACCTTGTTTATTACATTGACTTGTAAAAAACTTGAAAAACCAAGAATAGACATTTTGGGCCAAACTGATACAGAGAAAAACTATGGGACAAATACTGAAATATGATAGAAAGTTGTGGGGAACGTTGCAATTAATCCCAAAAATTATGCGCATGATAATGATTCCTTTCACTCACTCATGTTGCGTGCAACTTCCGCTATTATACGCATTCGTCATCACTTTCCCCATTCCTCTCCGATCAGTTCTTCTCTCTTCTCACCGGAAGCTTTCACTTGCAGAAGATGAAGGTACTCTTTCTCTCCGCTGTGTAATCGTTTTGATTCGAATCAAGAGATGTAACTGCGATTTCCATTGCCCAATCGATTCAATACTTGAGATTTTTCGATTGAGATCACCACGATCAGTAATCGAATAGTCAGATTTAAAATCATCGAATGGATAATTTCAATAATTGTTTATGTTTTGTGATCGATGTTGTAGCAATTTTGGAGTCCAAGCAGTATCAATAAGAACAAAGCTATGGTGGAGAAGCTGCAAAATCATGGTATAGTTACTTCAGATGAAGTTGCTAAAGCTATGGAGGCTGTGGATAGAGGCGTATTTGTACCAGATCGTTCCTCTGCTTATATTGATAGTCCCATGTCTATTGGGTATAATGTGACTATATCAGCACCACATATGCACGCAATGTGTCTTCAACTTCTTGAAAAACATTTGAAACCGGGAATGCGTGTTCTTGATGTCGGCTCGGGTTTGTTTTATCTTCTGTTCTTGAATTGGTTTTGTACATTCTATAGTATTTATTTGGTTTTTCTTGCTTTTGAAGAGGATGAATAAGTGTAGGCTTAAATTTTGATAGGGACCGGGTACTTAACGGCTTGCTTTGCTGTTATGGTTGGGTCCGAGGGGCGTGCTATTGGTGTGGAACATATTCCTGAGCTGGTGGCTTCTTCTGTTAAGAATATTGAAGCGAGTGCTGCTTCGCCATTGCTGAAAGAAGGGTCTCTTGCTGTTCATGTTGGCGGTGAGCTTCAGTTCAAGTTATTGAGATTTCTTTGGTGTTTCTTTTTTTTTGCATTGCTGGTTTAGTGAGTTTATTGTTCGTTTCAAATAGATGGGAGGCAAGGATGGGCTGAGTTTTCCCCGTATGATGCTATTCATGTCGGAGCAGCAGCACCGGAGATCCCAGAGGCGTTGATTGATCAGTTGAAGCCCGGTGGGAGACTGGTGATCCCGGTTGGGAACATATTCCAAGATCTTCAAGTGGTGGACAAGAATTCTGATGGTTCGGTTAGCATCAAGAATGAGACTTCTGTTCGTTATGTTCCTTTGACTAGCCGTGAAGCCCAGCTGAGAGGGGACTGATGAATGCTCGTTGTACAGAAGAATGAATCAAGTAATCTCAGTCTACTTTTAATTTAGCGTAGTTAGTCAAGAACTCAAATCTTAAAGATCTCTTTGTGAGTAAAACTTTCAAATGAGTAAACTTGTTTGTGTACACGTAAACATAATAAACCATTTATATATACTGCCTCCATCAAGTAGTAGATGATGCAATGGCGTAAAGAGGGAACAAGCGGTGAATCGCGATACCTGTTGATTCAGCGACATTGGTTGGATCTTCTGTATGATCAACTGGTAATCTCCAATCAAACCCATGCACTAAGTTAGCCAAAACCACCTCATTCAACACCACAGCAAATGATATTCCTGGACACATCCTTCTCCCTGCTCCGAACGGAATAAACTCAAAATCCTGACCCCGGAAATCAGAAGACGACTCTAAATGCCTCTCCGGTCTAAACTCCTCCGCGTCTGGTCCCCACGTCGCAACCTCTCTCCCGATCGCCCAAGCATTGATCATTACCTGTGTACCGACAGGTATGTGGTAATCTCCTAATCTGACATCTTGTGTCGATTCGTGAGGAACCATCAATGGAAGTGGAGGATGTAGCCTGAGTGTCTCTTTGATCACAGCTTTTAAGTAGTTCATGTCTTTGATGTCATCTTCTGATACACTCGAATTACCCTTACAAATCGTACGGACTTCTTCCTGGAGTCTGTTCAGACACTCTGGGCAATGAAGAAGCTCTGTCATTGCCCACTCCATAAGTGCATACGATGTATCCGTACCACCAACAACAACATCCTGAAAAGTGATCAAAAACCAAAACACAAGAACTACGGTTATATACTAAAACATCATTGAATATGAATTTGATTTCTTCTTATCCCTTTACCAAGACGATAGCCTTTATGCTTAACCGGTCGATTTCAAACCCGACGCTCTTCTCTCTCTGAATTGCGAGCAACACATCCACAAAATCAGTCCTTTGTCCGTCGCCATCTACATGATCTTGGACAACTTTCTCCAAGAATTCATCAAGATCATGGCCTGTCTTTTTTAGCTGTCCATCCAAACCACTGATCCAGTCAATCCATGCAAGCCACGGTACATAAGTCCCCACACTAAACTCGCCCAGTAGCCTCGTGAGCCTTTTCATTAACTCCTTAAAATCCGTTCCAACGCTGTATTTCCGTCCCAAAGCAACTCTAGATATCACATCGTTAGTTAAACTCACCAAGAGTTCGCTTAGATTCACACGCAAAGAACATGATTTCTGGATCTTCTCCATCATTAGACTGATCTCTTCTTGTCTCACGTTTCGAAAGGACTTGACCATTTTGTTGCTGAGGAGTTGGAGGACGCACACGCTCTTCATTTGCCTCCAATACTCTCCATAAGGAGCAAAGGCCACATCACGGGCGTTATAAAAAAGCTTCCCAAAGATTTTTGACCGTGGACGACTAGCAAAAACGCGGTCATGCGTCTTCAAAATACCTCGAGCCATGTCTGCGGAAGAGACTACAAGAACAGGTACACGTCCAAAGTGGAGGAGCATGAGAGGACCGTAACGGTGGCTGAGAGAGAATAGTGATCGGTGAGGGTGGCGGCCAAGTTGATGAAGGTTTCCGATCAACGGAAATCTCGGTGGTGACGTTGGTGTGTTGCTTTTCTTCCCTCTTTTCTGTTTTTTGAAAAAGAGGATAGTAATAAAGATTATTAAGCTTAGCAGAAGTATCATGATCATCGATTCCATGTTTCGATTCTTCAAGTTCGTCAAGATTTTCTTGTAAAGAGTTTTTAAGAATTTCGTGGTCCTATTTTTAAACTTAGATGATATGAGTCTTGATTCAAGAGCCATGTAGAAATAAATATTGCATACAGAATGAACCACAAGATACCTCTAATAATTAAGCCAGATTTTTGTGTTCCTCTTTTGGACTTATGTATACACGTCAAGTTTCTCCAGGGACCAAAACTACTACTGTCCACTCAATTTTTCTTATTTTCTGCCTCACATAAATAATGAAATATGACTAATTATCATTCTTCTCAAAATTCAATTATTTAAACGTTGAATCTTTCAAATTGTCTTAGTGAACAAGTTCTCTTTGAGGATTAGGGTTTCTTATATAATCATTTTACTCTTGCTGCGCAGTTTCGCTAGTATGTGCATTGACCATCACTTTCCCCATTCATCAAATGATTGGAAGTCTCAGATCAGTTCTCTTTCACTCTCTGCACGCAATGTGCCATCAACTTCTTGGAAAGAATTTGAAACTGGGAATGCGTGTTCATGATATCGTCTCGTGTTCTTGAAGCCCACTTGAGAAGGGACTAATGATGCTTGTTGTACAGAACAATGATTAAAGTAAGCTCACTTGGCTTTCTAAATTAGTTTAGGAACTCGAGACTTTAAAATCTCAAACATCTCTTTGATAGCAACATTTTCAAATGAACAAACATGTTTATTGTAGACATAACATAATAGTAAGCATTAATATATAATGCCTTAATCAAGTAGTAGATGTTGCAATGACGTAAAGAGGGTACATGCGACGAATCACACTACCGATTGATTCAGCAACATCGGTCTCATCTTCTATAGATTGCCAGTCAAACCCATGCACTAAGTTAGCCAAAACCACCTCATTCAACACCACAGCAAATGATATGCCTGGACACATCCTTCTCCCTGCTCCGAATGGAATCAGATCAAAATCCTGACCCCGGAAATCAGAAGACGACTCTAAATGCCTCTCCGGTCTAAACTCATTCGCGTCTGGTCCCCACGTCGCAGCCTCTCTCCCGACCGCCCAAAGATTGACTATAACCTGCGTACCTGCTGGTATGTGGTTATCTCTTAACCTGACATCTTCTATTGATTGGTGAGGAACCATCAATGGAACTGGAGGATGTAGCCTGAGTGCCTCTTTGACCACAGCTTTTAAGTATTTCATTTCTTTAATGTCATCTTCTGATACACTTGATTTGCCACTACAAATTGTACGGACTTCTTCTTGAAGTCTTTTTAGACACGTTGGGTGTCGTAGAAGCTCTGTCATTTCCCATTCCACAAGCGTGGAGGATGTGTCTGTACCACCCACAAAAGCATCCTGAAAATTCAAAACAAAAACAATTAATGGTTATGTACTAAAACATTGGATGTGAATTTGATATATATATATATTTTCCTTTACCAAGACGATAGCCTTTATGCTTAACCGGTCGATCTCTATCCCGACACTCTTCTCCCTCTGAGCTGCGAGTAATACATCTACAAAATCAGTCTTATCGCCGTCTCCATCTTCATGATCCTGCACAATTCTCTCCAAGAGCTTATCAAAATCATTCGCGGTCTTCTCCAGTCGAGCCTCCAAACCGCTGACCCAATCAGTCCACGCAAGCCACGGTACATAACTCCCGATAGTAAACGTACCAAGTTGCCTCATGAGTCTGTCTATTAACTCTTTAAAATCTGTTCCAACACCGTATTTCCGTCCCAAAGCAACTCTACATATAACATCGTTAGTTAAACTTGACAAGATCTTGCTAAGATTTACCGGTTTAGAACTCGATTTCCGGATCTTTTTCATCATCAGAGTAATCTCTTCTTGTCTCACGTCTCGAAAAGACCGTACCATTTTGTTGCTGAGGAGATGTATAACACTAACACTCTTCATTTGTCTCCAATACTCTCCATAAGGAGCTGAGGCCATATTACGGCTGTTGTAAAGAAGCTTTTCGAAGATTTTCGACCGTGGACGGCTTGCAAAAACGCTATCATGCGTCTTTAAAATGTCTCTTGCCGCTTCTGCGGTAGAGGCTACAATAACCGGGACACTTCCGAAGTGGAGAAGCATGAGAGGACCGTAACGGTGGCTGAGATAGCATAGTGATCGGTGAGGATGTTGGCCGAGCTGATGAAGGTTTCCGATCAACGGTAGTCTCGGTGGGGATGGAAATGTGATCGATGTCTTCTGTTTTTTGAAGAAGAGAATGGCTATGAACAATACTAAGCATAAGAAAAGTATCATGATCATATTTTGTAAATTGGGATTCTTCAAGTTTTTCTCGTGAAGAGTTTCTTAAGATTTTTGTGTTCTTCTTGTGAACTTGGCCAGTTGGGTCATATATAAGCCAAGTTTCTTCTATGCGTTACGTAACTAGTGTCCACTCAAATTTTCTTCTGTTTTGCCTAAATAGGAAAATAAATTTGATTTAATTAGATTCTCTCAAATCCTATATATTAAAGGTAAAAAATCTCTCCATATACAATTAAGTTGACCAAACAAAAAAAAAATCTTTTACTTTTGTAATTTTTGAGATACCTATTTCGTTAGATTTTTTAATAGGTATACAAGGTCCACAAAAACTATTTATCTCCTAAAAGATATATAGTCCTTATTTGTATATTCGAAATAACTTTTCAAAATTTAGGTGTGATTCTACCACACCTATTTATTTATAAATGTTAAGTAAAGTATCTGAAAACACACACCAAAAAGTAACTCACCTCTAAGGGCATTGGCATATCTCTTTTCAGCCTTGGAAATTTGGTTATGATTTCGATTTCATCAACAAAGCTTTTTACTGCCTTTCATTTACCTCAATTTGATTGTCCAGTTGTACCTCAAGTCTTTTAGACAAGCTTTTGTAATGAAACTCTTCCTTTAATTTCACCATATATTATATACTTTCCTAGCCTATAATTATTTGGATAAAACTGCAAAAAAACTTATTAAACTTTATAAAAACATTTATTGATTAACCCATATATCAAACGGGTCCTAATCTAGTAACATAATATAAAGCCTTAGTCAAGTAGTAGATGATGCAATGGCATAAAGAGGGAACATGCGGTGAATGGCAACTCCGGTTGATTCAGCAACAACACTTGTTTGATCTTCCGTAGATTCATCCGGTAATCTCCAATCAAACCGATGCACTAAGTTAGCCAAAACTTCTTCATTCAATACCACAGCAAATGATATTGCCGGGCATATTCTTCTCCCTGCTCCAAACGGAATCAGCTCAAAATCCTGGCCCCGGAAATCAACAGAAGAATTTAAATGTCTCTCCGGTCTAAACTCCTCCGCGTCTGGTCCCCATGTCGCAGCCTCTCTCCCGATCGCCCATGCATTGATCATAACCACTGTTCCGGCTGGTATGTGGTAGTCTCTTAATTTAACATCTTGTGTTGATTCATGAGGAACCATCAATGGAAGTGGAGGATGTAGCCTCAATGTCTCTTTGATCACAGCTTTTAAGTAGTTCATGTCTTTAATGTCTTCTTCTGATACACTTGATTTGCCCTTACAAATCGTACGAACTTCTTCTTGAAGTCTCTTCAGACACTCTGGGTGATGTAAAAGCTCTGTCATTACCCATTCCATAAGTGTGTACGATGTGTCCGTACCACCCACAAAAATATCCTGAAAACCAAAACAAGAACTGCAGTTTTATGCATGCTAAAACATCATTGAATATGAATTTGTTTTCTTGTTTTTCCCCTTTACCAAGATGATTGCCTTTATGCTGACTCGGTCGATCTCAAACCCCACACTCTTCTCTCTCTGAATGGCGAGCAATACATCGACGAAATCAGTCCTATCTCCGTTGACATCTACATGATCTTGCACAACTCTCTCAAGAAACTCATCAAGATCATTTCTCGTCTTTTCTAGCTGACCATCCAAACCGCAGAGCCAATCAATCCATGCAAGCCATGGTACATGATTCCCCACACTAACCGCCCCTAAAAGCCTTGTAAGCCTCTTCATTAACTCCTTAAAATCTGTTTCACCGCCATATTTCCGTCCCAAAGCAATCCTACATATCACATCATTCGTTAAACTCGCCAATATCTCGCTTAGATTCACCTGCAAAGAACTCGATTGCCGGATCTTCTCCATCATCAAACGGATCTCTTGTTGTCTCACATCTCGAAAGGATCGTACCATTTTGTTGCTGAGCAAACTGAGGACGCACACACTCTTCATTTGCCTCCAGTACTCTCCATAAGGAGCTAAGGCCACATCACGCCCGTCGTAAAGAAGCTTCTCGGTATTTTTAGACCATGGACGGCTAGCAAAAACGCGATCATGCGTCTTCAAAACGTCTCGAGCCACGTCAGCGGAAGAGACCACAAGAACCGGGACACGGCCCAAGTGGAGGAGCATAAGAGGACCATAACGGTGGCTGAGAGAGCATAGTGATCGGTGAGGGTGACGGCCGAGCTGGTGAAGGTTTCCTATCAAAGGAAGTCTCGGTGGTGACGGAGGTGTGTTGCTTTTCTTCCTTGAATTTTGGTTTATGAAGAAGAGAGTGGTAATAAAGATTATTGTGCACATGAGAAGTATCATGATCATCATTTCCATGTTTTGATTCTTCAAGTTCTTGAAGATTTTTCTTGTAAAGAGTTTTTAAGATTTTTGTGTTCCTCGTTTGGACTTTATATACAAAGCCAAGTTTCTCCAGACACCAAAAATACTGTCCAAGCCAAGTTTTTCGAGATTGTTTTGTGTGCCTCTTTTGGACTTTATGTATAAAGCCAAGCTTATCCAGGGACGACCAAAACTACTAGTGTCCACTAAAATTTTGTTATTTTCTGCCTAACATGAATAATAAAATTCGATGAAATATTATTCCTCTCGAAAATGACTATTAAACGTTGAATATTATGAAGTGCCGTCTAGTTTGAATAAGAACTTGATGGACAAGTCCTCTTTGAAGATCATGGTTTCTTATCTAAATTCTCTCCACAGTAATCAATGACATCACTCACAAAACAGTAATTATATATGTATATCAACAATGAGTTTTTCTAAATTATACGGTGATTTAGGGTTGATATATTCCATTTTTTTCAAATTTTTAATATATAGTCTTAAAATAGGAACATGAAAAACTTTAAAAAATTTACAAGATCGGAAAGATATCCTAAAGTTCCAAAAGTTTTAATCTGATTCCACCATAAAAATATATAAATGATTACTATTTTTTTTTTTTTAAAGTTTTGCATGCCTGGTCTCTATCTATATCTTTTATTCACTCATTTATGTCTACAGTGGAACATATACTGAGCATAATTGAGAAGGAAACATCAGTCTGTTATGTTCCTTTGACAATTGCGAGGGAACTGATTATGCTCACTTGGCTTTCTTAATTACTGTAGTTATTTTTTTTGGGTCAAATTAGTGTAGTTACTTAAGAACTCAAATCTTAAAGATCTCTTTACCAGTAACATGCTTATTGTACACTTCTAACAAAGAGTGGGAACATGCGGTGAACCGCAATACCGGTTGATTCAGCGACATCGGTCTGATATTCTGTAGATTCCACTGGTAGTCTCCAATCAAACTGCTGCATTAAGTTAGCCAAAACCACCTCATCCAATAACACAGCAAATGATATTGCTGGGCAAATCCTTCTCCCTGCTCCAAACGGAACCAGCTCCGTATCCACGTGAAGGCCGAGCTGATGAAGGATATCTCAATTATTAAAGGGGAAAAAAAAATTTAAAGGGATTGATTTTTGCAAGAATAATAGACAGTTTCACATGTTTTATAAACACTACATTGCCCTTGTCTTTCCCTCCACTAATTAGCCCAAGCTTTTATTTAGTTGATGCCAATTAAGTGCCTAAGTGAACGGAAATTGTGGACGTGAATTAAAATTATTTAGCGTAACAAACATAACAACGAAAAAAAAAAAAAAACGAGTCATGTGGGCAATATTGAATTTTCCTTGAGACCTAACTTGGATGCCAATTGTAGCGGCTTGCATGTGAGATTCTATTTGTAGTAAGACAATGGGGTTTTCAATCCTTTGATTACTCACATGCCTAACGATTTATGGCATTTCTAAGGCAAGTGCATTATTGTCACTTTGATTTGTGAATTGTGATAGCAGCATGGCATATTTAATTTATTCATCATGTGGTTGTTTTGGTGGTTATTAGAAAACATATTTCACACTGCATTCTCTTAATCTTTTTTATATATAATGTTCATTTTCCAACATTTTTTCTGTTTCAAAGAAATACACATAGTTTTTTTTTATTTTGAAATAAACATAGTTTCGTTGGAGTGATCCACAACTTCCGTGACCAAGCATGAACAGATTTTGGCTTAGTAAATTCCTTGAAGAACAGTTTCTAGCATTGAAATTTATATATATATATATATATATATCATCTTCATAAGAATAAAGAATTGGACAAGAATGGTAACACTTTACAAATTTTACAAAACGTGTTCTGAACTTAGAGAAAAAACGACGTAACCTCTAGTAGAGGTAGTTTTGCTGTAGGAATTTTGACCGATAACGCTATTCAATAGTCGATTTCATAACAAATGCTTAACTAATTTCATACGTTTGTTGAACAAGCACAATGGATCACACCTTCCATGAAAATCCCCAAAACGTTACGTTATGCCGATGTCGAAACGCAAGCTCTAGTAAAATGAAAAGAAGCTTTCGTAAAATGAAAAGAGTAGTAAAAGAGCAAATATCTAGAAGAGTGAGAAGAACTACGTTACTTATGAGAGCGAGAAAGCAAAGTTGATTTGACTAAAATAACTAAAATCACATAACAATTAACGAAAACAACTTGGAGAAGAAAAGCAAATAAAACCAGAACCCATAGCGAGAAAACAGAACAACCCACAACATAACATAACAAAGCATTAATATATATATAAATGCCTAAGTCAAGTACTAGGTGACGCAATGGCATAAAGAGGGAACTCGCGGTGAACCGAAAAACCGCTGGATTCAGCGACGTCGGTTTTGTCTTCTTTAGATTCCTCTGGTAATTTCCAATCAAACCCATGCACTAAGTTAGCCAAAACCACCTCATTCAACACCACAGCGAATGATACTGCTGGACAAATCCTTCTCCCTGCTCCAAATGGAAGCAGCTCAAAGTTCTGACCTCGGAAATCAATAGACGTATCTAAATGCCTCTCCGGTTTAAACTCCTCCGCGTCTGGTCCCCATGTCGCAACCTCTCTCCCAATCGCCCAAGCATTCATCATCACTTGTGTACCGGCAGGTATGTGGTATTCTCTTAATTTGACATCATGTGTTGATTCGTGAGGAGCCATCATTGGAAATGGAGGATGTAGCCTGAGTGCCTCTTTGATCACAGCTTTTAAGTATTTCATTTCTTTAATGTCATCTTCTGATACACTTGATTTGCCCTTACAAATCGTACGGACTTCTTCTTGGAGTCTTTTCAGACTCTTCGGGTGACGTAGAAGCTCTGTCATTGCCCATTCCAAAAGCGTGAACGATGTGTCCGAACCACCCACAAAAACATCCTAAAAACCAAAAACAAGAATTACAATTACATATGCTAAAACATCATAAAATCTGATTGGTATCATCCAAAAGTGTGTATTGGTCCTTACCAACGTGATTGCCTTTATGCTGACTCGCTCTATCTCAAACCCGGGACTCTTCTCTCTTTTAACTTTGAGCAATGCATCGATCAAGTCAAACCTATCTCGGTTGTCGCCATCTTCATGATCTTGCACAACTTTCTCAAAGAAGTCATCAAGATCCTTTCCCATCTTATCTAGCTGAGCATCCCAACCGCGGATCCAATCAATCCACGCAAGCCACGGTACAAAACTCCCTATACTAAACGTTCCCAATAGCTCGCTTAGTCTATCCGTTAACTTCTTAAAGTCAGTTTCACCACCATATTTTCGTCCCAAAGCAACTCTACATATCACATCGTTAGTTAAACTCTCCAAGACCTTGCTTACATTAAACGGCAAAGAACTCGATTTCCGGATTTTCTTCATCATCAAAGTGATTTCTTCTTCTCTTACATCTCGAAAAGATCGTACCATTTTGTTGCTTAAGAGATGAATGGTGCACACAGCCTTCATTTGCCTCCAATACTCTCCATAAGGAGCTGAGGCCACATCACGGTTGTTGTAAAGAAGCTTCTGGGAGAGTTTTGACCGTGGCCGGTTTGCGAAAGCTTGGTCGTGCGTCTTCAAGATTTCTTGAGCCATGTCCGCGGAAGAGACTATAAGAACGGGGACACGGCCTAAGTGAAGGAGCATGAGAGGACCGTAACGGCGACTGAGAGAGCATAGTGATCGGTGAGTGTGACGGCCGAGCTGATGAAGGTTTCCGATCAACGGAAGTCCCGGTGGTGACGGAGGAGTCTTACCTTTCTTCCCACTCAACTTTTTTTTTAAGAAGAGAATGGTCATGAAAATTATTGACCACAAGAGAAGTATCATCATCATCATTTGTTTATTTTGATTTCACAGTTCTTCAAGATTTTTCTTGTGAATTTGTGTTCTTTTGGACTTAGGTTTATATAATCAAAGTTTCTTTACGTCCGTTACGTTACTAGGTCCACTCAGATTTTCTTCTTTCTTTGCATTAATTGGAAAATAAAATTTCCTCTCAAATCCTATGCCTAAAAAGTAAAGAAATCTCTACATATTACTGCCACCCAATCACACATCAAAATTAAACTGGCACATAATCTTTTTTTGCTATTTAAAGATAAAATAAACAAAAATAATCTTTTACGTTCTACTTCCATATGTTCAAATGCCTTATCTGTTTGATTTTTTAATAGCCACGAAACTATTTTTCTTAAAATTATATACTTTATTTGTATATTTCAAATAACATTTTTAAGCAAAGATTATATACCTAATTTGTATATTTAAAATATCTTACTTTGTAGTCATAAAAGTTTTCCAGTAAAAAAGTTTTTGCATGTCTGGATTTTTTAAGAAACGTAAAAAAAAAAAAAAAGTATTATATCATTTGCATGTCTGGTTTCTGTAAGTTCTTTACACAAAAATCTTGTGAGGAGTTTTAAAGTTCTTTTTGATCTTTTGGACTTATGCACAAGCCACTACACGTAATTACCACTGAATTTTTGGATTTATGTAATATATACATGCATCCACAGTGCAGATTATTTAATGGAGGCACAAACTAAATTAAACATAATTATATAACAAATATGACAACCAAATTTGTATAGTTATATATTTTGAAATCGAATTAATCACTAAATTTTTTAACGATAACCAACTTTGCATTTATTTGTACAGTATTAAATTATCATACTTTTAAATAATACATAAGATAACACAATTTATATATTCAAAAAAAAAATGATTAGACGTTTTACGTAGTAACTACTTATACAGTTTGCTTGAACGTATACTAATAGAAACACATACAAATAAGACGATTATTTAGGGTTCATATATTCCACAAATTAAAAAAAAAAAAAAAACATAAGCTCAAATAGAAACAAAAAAAAAAATCTTAAATCACAAAAAATCTTGAAGAATTGTTTTACTTATGACGGGAAGGTTTCGGTCACAGAATATGAAGGTACTCTTTCTCCTAATTAGCTGTATAATCGTATTGAAAGGAATCAAGAGATGTAATTGTGATTCTACATTTCTACTCTTTTTTTTTTTTTTTTTTTTTCAGTTGTGTATAAACGAACTTCTTGTTCAGGCACAAACGTTTGATAAATACGTTGGATATACTTATTTTTTCGTCCTGATTGGTAATTTGTTTTCTGGAGTCCAAGCAGTATATATCAACAAGAACAAATTAAGCTATGGTGGAGAACTTGCAAAGTTATGGTTCCAAGAGTTCCAAATGAGTAAACATGTATGTTTATTGTACACGTAACAGAACAAAGCATTTATATATATAATGTATAATGCCTAGCTAGGTTTACTGGTCAAGTAGTAGATGATGCAACGGCGTAGAGTGGGAACATGCGGTGGATCGCAAGACCAGTTGATTCAGCCACATCTGTCTGATCTTCTGTAGATTTGACTGGTAATCTCCAATCGAACCGATGCACTAAGTTAGCCAAAACCACCTCATTCAACACCACAGCAAATGATATTGCTGGGCAAATCCTTCTTCCTGCCCCAAACGGAATCAGCTCAAAAGCCTGACCCCGGTAATCAACAGACGAATTTAAATGTCTCTCTGGTTTAAACTCCTCCGCGTCAGGTCCCCATGTCGCAGCCTCTCTCCCGATCGCCCAAGCATTGATCAATACCTGTGTACCAGCAGGTATGTGGTAATCTCTTAATCTGACATCTTGGGTTGATTCATGAGGAGCCATCAATGGAAGGGGAGGGTGTAGCCTGAGTGTCTCTTTGATCACAGCTTTTAAGTAGTTCATGTCTTTGATGTCATCTTCTGATACACTTGGTCTGTCCTTACATATCGTACGGACTTCTTCTTGGAGTATGTTCAGACACTTTGGATGACGTAGAAGCTCTGTCATTGCCCATTCCATAAGTGTATATGATGTGTCCGTACCACCCACAAAAACATCCTGAAAAGTGAAAACCAAAACAAGAACTACGGTTATAAACATACTAAAACATCATAGAATCTGAATTGGTACGTATATCCAAAACTGTGTATTTTTCTCACTAAGACGATAGCCTTTATGCTGACACGGTTGATTTCAAACCCGACACTCTTCTCTCTTTGAACGGCGAGCAATACATCCACAAAATCAGTCCTATCTCTGTTTCCATCAACATGATCTTGCACAACTCTCTCAAAGAACTTATCAAGATCGTTTGCCGTCTTTTCTAGCTGACCATCCAAACCGCGGATCCAATCAATCCATGTAAGCCACGGTACATAACTCCCAACACTAAACGTCCCCAATAGCTTACTTAGTCTCTCCATTAACTCCTTAAAATCCATTTCACCACCGTATTTCCGTCCCAAAGCAACTCTACATATAACATCGTTAGTTAAACTCACCAAGATCTTGCTTAAATTCACCGGCAAAGAATTCGATTTCCGGATCTTTTCCATCATCAGACTGATCTCTTCTTCTCTCACTTCTCGGAAGGACCGTACCATTTTGTTGCTGAAGAGATGGAGGACGCATACACTCTTCATTTGCCTCCAATACTCCCCATAAGGAGCTGAGGCCACATCATGCTTATCGTAAAGAAGCTTCTCGAATATTTTTGAGCGTGGCCGGTTCGCAAAAACACGGTCATGCGTCTTCAAAACGTCTCCAGCCACTTCCGCGGAAGATACTACAAGAACGGGGACACGGCCAAAGTGAAGCAGCATGAGAGGACCGTAACGGTGACTGAGAGAGCTTAGTGATCGGTGAGGGTGGCGGCCAAGTTGATGAAGGTTTCCGATCAACGGTAGTCCCGGTGGTGATGGAAGTGTGTTGCTTTTCTTCCCTCTCTTCTGTTTTTTGAAAGATACGATGGTAACGAAGATTATCAAGCATAGCAGAAAGATCATGATCATCATGTCTGGATTCTTCAAGTTCTTCAAAACGTGTATTTCTGAAGAGTTTTTATTTGTGATTTTTTGGACTTGCATGTACAAGCCAAGTTTCTTCACGGTTGTAATTACTGTCCACTCAATTTTTTATTTGTGATTTTTTGGACTTATGTATTTATATGCATGCACCAGTCTTTTAATGTTTAGTTGTTCGAGATTTTCCTTCATTCGGTGCTTTTACGATTTATGTGTCTTATTTTGGTCGTGTCCCCGTTCTAGTCTTTCGGTGCTTCTACAATTTATGTGTCTTACCACCATACAGTACAAGTGCCTAGAAATAGAATAATGGTCTCGGGCTGCCGTTGGCTCTCTTCTAAGTTCTAAGACCATCTGCATTAGGAGTGTCTAGGTGAGACATTCTCCAATAAAACAGAATAAAAAATTAAAAAATGAGGAGAGAGGACAGAAATTGTTTCTCAAATGAGAAACTGTGACACACTCATTTTTACAGTTGTCTTCTTCTGATTGGTTTAAATAAACAATTAAATAATAAAATAATTAAATAATAAAAAATTAATATTATTTTATTTGTTAGACACTCAATAGATTATCTAACAGAATGTAAAACCAATCATTTTATAGAATGTAAAACCAAACTAAGGAAGAGCAAAAGAAGATGCTATAAGATTATCATTTTATATAATCGTTTCTCAACGGCTGAACCGCCAATTCATACTCATCAAACATGCAACAACATTGTTCAACAAACAATCCTCCATGAAAATAAATGTCCTAATTCGTCTCAAAAATTCTGTCTCCAAAAGTAAAACATTTATATTTTAAGAAATAAGCAGAAGTAATAGATTATAACAAATGATCATGACATTGTGTCAGTACAAATTTGTTTTTAAAGTGTAACAACATTGGATATTTAGGTTTCACCAAAAATTATGACTATTAATCCTGAGAGAGAGAGAGAGAGCAAAACCCTTTAGTAAAAAGTTTCCATAATTTAAAAGAACTGAAGCTGAAGTCCAAATTGTTGTTTACACAATAAAATCGAATTCGTTACCATGACAAGCGGGGTTCAATGGCTAAACATTTTTGTAATTTACCAAACCTATTATTCGGTTTAGGATAGCCAATTATAGGGTTCGTAGTCAGCTAAAAGAGTGACTTAAGAAGGGGAAAAAACCCGAATATTTAATATTCACAACACCATGAAGTATTGAAGTTGACTGAATAAGCAAAATAATTGATTAGAATAATTAACTCACATGACAATAAATGAGAAGAAAATCAAATGAAAAAACCAGATTCAATGGCGCGAAAAGAGCAACGACCCACACCTTTGCCACGTGGTCTTGTCCGGTAGATCTGAGTGTCCAAAATTAGAAGATGAGAAAGAAAGAGAGTACAACATTCTACAGTCCACACCATTATGATCAGCAGCTGGAAAAGCTTAAGCTTGGTTTTAATGGCAGAACATATATATATTTCAACCATCATCTAAATAATCAATTTATACACGAAAAAACAGCTAAGTAATAATAATAATTATAATCAGAAACTGCTTTAAAACTTGTTCTTCTTTGACTAAATTTCTTTCTTCTCTCAAGAACTCCTCTGTTTTGACTTGCAAGTAACCAAGAATGCGACAAGACGAGAATAATTCCGAGGAAGAATTCGTTGAGATTGATCCCACTGGTCGCTATGGCCGGGTCTGTTCTTCGTTAATTGATTTGATTTTTACCTTTTTTTCTCAATTCTAATGTTTTTGTTTCTCATTTTTCAGTATAAAGAAGTTCTAGGCAAAGGAGCTTTCAAAGAAGTGTATCCTTTTTCTTAGATCTTTGTTATTACTACAGAGACAAATCAGATTGGATTCCGACAAAACACAGTCACTATTGGGTTTCTTTGATCTGAGAATTCTTCAGATACAGAGCATTTGACCAACTTGAAGGAATCGAAGTGGCTTGGAACCAAGTTAAGTTAGATGATAAATTCTGTAGCTCAGAGGATTTAGATCGTCTTTACTCTGAAGTTCACTTACTCAAAACCCTTAAACACAAAAGCATCATCAAATTCTACACTTCTTGGATTGATCACCAACACATGACCATCAATCTCATTACGGAAGTCTTCACTTCCGGAAATCTTAGACAGTCAGATTCTTCTCTCCAATGTCAAATCAAATCTTTTTTAATTGATCTATATTTTTCATGTTTGACAAAGCTTTTTTAATTTTCCATTCGAATTCTCGAGCTTATATAGGTACCGGAAGAAGCATAAGTGTGTTGATCTAAGAGCATTGAAGAAATGGTCAAGGCAGATTTTAGAAGGGCTTGTTTATCTACATAGCCATGATCCTCCTGTGATCCATAGGGATCTTAAATGTGATAACATTTTCATTAATGGTAACCAAGGTGAGGTCAAAATTGGAGATCTCGGGCTAGCCGCGATTCTACACCGGGCTCGCTCTGCTCATAGCGTCATCGGTGAGATCTTTAATCTTGTTCTCAAACTAAAAAAATATCTCCATTGTGAAACTATAAAATGTGTGTTTGAAATTGTTAGGAACTCCTGAATTTATGGCGCCGGAACTCTATGAAGAGGACTATAATGTACTTGTCGACATATATGCGTTTGGAATGTGTTTGCTTGAGCTGGTAACTTTCGAGTACCCGTATTCCGAATGCACAAATGCTGCTCAGATTTATAGGAAAGTTACATCGGTAAGTGATCTTTTTTTCTCCATCTGAAATCCAATCAAGAATGACTTTTTCATATAGTAGATTCATTTTTCGAAATCTTTTTAGGGGATCAAACCAGCCTCTCTTTTAAATGTGACTGATCCGCAAGTGAGGACATTCATAGAGAAGTGTATCGCAAAGGTCTCACAACGCTTGTCAGCCAAGGAACTACTTGATGATCCTTTTCTGAAATGCTACAATGAAAAGACCGAAATTGTCAACTCTCACAAAGGTAAATCAAATTTTGGTAATTCATTTCATCTCTATATGAAGTTTCATGAACTTCTTTCTTAAAACCAATAATTGCAACATAAGATCATTTCTATCTTTTTTCTATGTGAAATTTTCTAACACCAAGTTCAATAACATTGTCACAGAAAATGGCTGCAACGGAAATGGAACCGTGGATAAACTCTCGGATTCTGAGGTAGGATTATTAACCGTAGAAGGCCAACGTAAAGACCTCAACACAATCTTCCTAAAACTACGTATTACCGATTCCAAAGGTTCAAAATCTTTTTTGCTTTTTATCTCAAATCTTCAGATCATTCACTACTAAATCTTCTTTTGACACAATTATTATAACATTTTTATACAGGTCAAATCCGCAATATCCACTTCCCATTTAACATAGAGACAGACACATCTTTCTCAGTCGCCATCGAAATGGTAGAAGAATTAGACTTAACCGATGACCAAGACATCTCAACAATCGTTAAAATGATCGACACAGAGATACATTCACACATCCCCGATTGGACCCCTTCTCGTCTTATCGGCGATGATTCAGCGATGCACAAATGTTTGTCTTCTCCAGAAACGCTGCATTTTCAGGGAGAAAATTCTGGTCCTCTCCTAAAGCTGGAGCTGGAGATTCACGTTCACCGTTCGCGCCACGATCTAATTCTAAGCTGTCTTCATCACCAATCAATCAAGACGTTGGAGTTATAGTAGAGAAACTTGAGTCTTTGTTGAGGAAACAGAGAGAGGAGATTGAAGAGATGCAGAGAGATCAAGAGCGTATAGTTTCTGAGTTTTTGAAAGAGTTTCCTCCTGAGATTTGTCAAGAGGCTTTGGTGAGATTGCAAGTTAAAGATTCTGATAGCTTACCGTGTTAGTTCGTTTGTTACATTACATACTCATCTTCAAGATTAATTTGGTTTGTAATATTATGTCTTACTAAAGGTAAATGTGGAAAACTATTTGTCAAATAATATTTCTTGAATTCAGAAGAGTTAGGTGAAGACGAAACTAGCTCAGAAGAGTCTGAGTGAAGAAGAAGGCGGTGATGATAGGTCTCAGGCTGTTTCTCTGAAGAATACAAAAACAGAGAATTCTAGTTTTGTTCGGATACAAAATCAAGATTCTCTGTTTTTGAATTTTCACAGAAACAATCTGAAGATCCATCATCACCGCGTTCTTATTCACTCTATTCTTCTAAACCAGACTCTTATGAACCTCACTCGTCTTCACTGGACTCACTTTCAGAGACTATGAGGTTTTCTTATGGTCCATGCTCGCCTCTCATCACCTTAGAAGAAGATATAGAGGGGTAAATATTTTGTTCTCTCTCGCCTATTAGGTTTAATGGGTACTAGTGTTGCTTAAATAGCTTGTGCCTCAAGGTATACTAGGGTTTCGTAAATATATAAACCTAATCATCAAACATATTCTTGTCGGTAAGCGACTCCGGGACTGGACCCAAACATTTGGCATAAATGGGCTAAAAGCCCAAAATTGCATAAAACTAACTTGAAAACATCTGAGTATATCCTAAAACGCAGTCACAGATTCTGAGACTCTTAAACCCCCAAAGTTTTAGGAAATTGCATTTTTGCTTAAACCCTATAATTTTCCGGAAATTGCATTGGCAAAAAATTCAGTCACAGATTCTCAGGATGGCAGTCTAATTTGCTTTCGTCTGAAGGAAAATAAATACTCTTGAGAGGTGTTGCTATGGCCCTGCCTACATAACACAATGGCATGTTTTAGACTCCCAAAACAATATGTCAACAGATTGTCACGATAAATCCAGAGGAATGCATTGCAAAGCCTGGGATCAACTTGGCAAACCAAAAGCAGAATGTGGCCTTGGTTTCAAAGACATTGAGGCATTTAATATAGCATTACTTGGAAAACAGCTATGGAGGATGATAACTCAGAAAGACATGTTGGTGGCAAGATCTATAAGAGCAATTATACTTCAGCGACACAAACCCCTCACCGCCCCACTTGGATCCAGACCCGGAAGAGCATACATGCTGCTCAAAGCTTGATCAGACAGGGAGTAAGAATTGTTGTAGGCAATGGAGCAGATATAAGCATATGGCAGAATCAAAGGATCCAAACACAACTACCAAGAGCACCAAATAGATATCTGAAACTAGAGAATAATATCATCCCTGGTACGAGTTTAAGACTTGCTGGACAATGGTTTAGAGAATGGAGGAAGGATGTCCGTTTGAAGAAAGATTTGAGGAACTAAGACCTGAAGATATGAATACAAGAGGAATAGTCCCCAAAAATAGGGCATTACACTGAGATATCTGCATATTTGCTTCTTACTCAGATCTTAAACAAGAGGAATAGTCCCCAAAAAATAGGGCATTACACTGTGATAGCTGAAGGATTTTTGCCTACAATATTCCTCCAGTTATCAACTCTACTTCTTCCTCCTCCTTGGGTTATCTTTGACGTAAGCTTCTCGTCCATAGCTTTCCAAAAAGCTGCTTGCTTGCTCCTTAGCAATCTCCGGGTAGGATTTTATGAAGGAAACATCAGTGGGCTCTTTGAACTTCCAATCACATAGCAGAGGCCTTTCTTTGGCAAATACAGTCAACATGGTTTCCATTTTTTCCCTAAGGTGACCAGTTGCTTCAATGTCAGAGTAGTTTATAGTTGAACCCTTGCTGAACAGCATCAGGACATAATTCCTGGAATCCTCTACCGCCTCCTCTAGTTTTAGCAGCTCAGAGATTTGGGAGTCCATAAACCTTGTACTAACCAGGCATATTGTTGGACGACCCTTAAGAAATCCTCGTCTGATAACTCTGGGGCATAATGTTTAAGAACACTGTATTGAAATAACGGATGTCCCTGTTATGTAGACTGAACAAGTTAGTTTAGAGGGCTTTTACCTATATTTTATTCATAACTTAGGAGCAAACATAAAAAAAACAGCTATTAATGCAAGCATTCGTTGAGATTATAATAGCTACCAACCTGGCAGAGCAACTTTTTCACACGTTCTTCAATCGGTAGGGAGGTCAAGACCCTGAAAGCAGAAGAATATCTTTAAGAAACACGTAAGAAAGGGTGCAAATGTTGACGCGATGACATTTGGTTAAAACAAGAAAAGGGAAGCCGGAATATTAAAAAAATGATAAGACTTAACCTTTTCGATGAATGTTTTGTTTCAGAGTTTCCCCCATGGCACAGCGAGTTGATATAAACCTCACTTCAACAAAAGACAAGAAGATAGTAAGGAGGAAAAAAAGGTTAAGGTACGCAGTTAAAACGCAAGTTGTCTCAAGCGAATTCAGTGAAAAGGAAAACATCATACGAGCTCATGTTGAAGTCTATTGAAGAGTTCCCATTTGCCATCATTCCATTAAGATATTTGGAGCAAAACTCGGATTGAAGTCCATGATACTTGAGTGGAACACAATTCTAAAGAATAAAGAAAGATAGAAGCATAAGTATACGTATAGCCATATCAAACAACAACTCACACAGAAGAAATAATCACAACAAAAACTGAATTAAACCAATTCTCATACTTGTTCAGGATTTGGTTTCTGATCCGTCGAAGCATGCACTCCTTTGTTCTGCCATGAAGATAATAAAACAATTAGAATCAAAAAGGCTAAACTCTACAGGAGCAATCAATGTTTAAAAGTTGAACACACCTCCAAAATTTTATTAGGAAAACGATTTCATACCAGTTTTTCGGACGTTCGGACAGATTCTTCGGGAGCTTCTGGTTGTTTCTTTTTGGAAGAATAACACTGGAAAGACGGTCGGAGCTGTGCAACAGCATGAACAGGATTCAAGTGTAACTGCGAAGTCCAATTTAATTAGTTATCTCACACTAGAACAAGAAAATGTTTATAAAGAAAGCTTCCAAGAAAAGATACCTTATCACCTGAAAGAACACCAATAGCATAATCCATCGTAGGAGGCTTCTTCCATGTCGTTGTCAAGGTCTAACCAAATAGAAGAAAAAGAAAATTGAAGTTGCATCAAAAGATTCATCAAAGCCTGAATCTAAGCATGGAAAAAAAAAACTGACCTGCTTAGTGAAATTTAATTTACTTGCAAACTCGGAATCATAGTTCCTCGAATGGATATCGATAGACAAATCAACTTCCACCTGGGAAGTAGAGGGATTCACTCTAACCTTAAGAACACATAAACAAAGAAAATGATTAGAACCAAAAGAAAAGCAATAGCAATTATAAAACAAGTAATGAGAAGAAGACTCACTTGTTCACATCGTTGATCCATTTCGTATGGACGCCAAGAGGGTCTAAGAGGATATTGTAGAACATAAAGCTGACATCATTCAGAAATCAAAACTCAAAAATCCAAAATTTTCCAAGAATCTAAGCTAATCATGGTGAAGGAAGCTACCTTAGTGTTGGCCTCAATTGTTGGATTGAAGAAAACGTCAATTTCACGAACAACAACGTCTTCTTCTTCTTCTTCTTCCTCCTGCAGTGGCATCTCATCAAGTTCCATCAACTCAGGCTCTGTTGTCTCCGGTTCATTATTGAGTTTAGAATCAATCTCCATTTTAACGGAGCCAGTAGTATAGAGCTCAGGTGGTTCAACTTTAGGGAATTTGGCATCAACAACATGGTGCTCACTTTTGCTCAGAGTCACAGCAGAATCCAAGGGTTTGGGTTTGGGTTTGAACTTTCGAGGGGCAAATCTTCAGGTTTTGGTAACCTCTTTAGGTTTGTCTTCTTCGTCATCAAACTCCATTTTTTCCGATCAAAACTCAAACCCTGAATTCACCGTCAATTTTGTGGAGAAATTATTCGATTTTCTACAACATGACAACTAAATTCGAAACGAAATTTATAAGCGATTCCGGAACTGGACCCAATTATTTGGCATAAATGGGCTCAAAGCCCAAAACAAAATAAAATATCATAGCATAAAAACGCAGCGTTTCACGAGAGTCTTAAACCCCCAAATTTTCATGAAAATTGCATTTTTGCTTAAACCCTATAATTGTCACTGTATCTTCCTCTTCCTTCTTCTAAACACACAAAATCACAGTACTAGCAGCTGTAGAAGCCATGTATAGATCAAAGACAATCCTGTCTTCTCTTCGTAACGCGTACTCACAGATCTGTACTCGATCGTATCTATGCAGAGCTCAGGTGGGTTTTTCCTCAAACTTGTCTTCGCCTCTTGATTCATTTGCAATCCCTAGTCGATTTCTTTGGAAATTCCGAACCTTTTCTTCGAAACCAGATTCTATGCTTCAATTAGTACTTGAGAACGATTGGTCTAAGGAAGTAGAGGAAGGATTGAGGAAACCGGATTTGTCTTTAACACACGAGACTGCGATTTACGTTTTGAGGAAATTGGAGAAGTATCCTGAAAAAGCTTATTACTTTCTTGATTGGGTTTTGCGAGATTCAGGGCTTAGTCCAAGTACTCCACTTTATAGCATTATGTTGAGGATTTTAGTGCAGCAGAGATCGATGAAGCGGTTTTGGATGACTTTGAGTGAGATGAAACAAGGAGGGTTTTATTTAGATGAGGAAACTTATAAGACTATTTATGGTGAGCTTAATAAGGAGAAATCGAAAGCGGATGCTGTGGCTGTGGCTCATTTTTATGAGAGAATGCTTAAGGAGAATGCAATGTCTGTTGTTGCTGGAGATGTTTCTGCTGTTGTTACGAAGGGGGATTGGAGTTGTGAGGTTGAGAGGGAATTGCAGGAGATGAAGCTCGTTTTGTCGGATAATTTTGTTATCAGGGTGTTGAAGGAACTAAGGGAACATCCCTTGAAAGCTTTGGCGTTTTTCCATTGGGTTGGTGGTAGTTCTTCTGGTTATCAACACAGTACTGTTACTTATAACGCGGCTTTGAGGGTTTTGGCCAGGCGTAATTCGGTTGCTGAGTTTTGGAGTGTTGTTGATGAAATGAAGACCGCAGGGCATGAGATGGATCTTGACACTTATATAAAGGTTTCAAGACAGTTTCAGAAATCTAGAATGATTACTGAGACAGTTAAGCTTTATGAACATATGATGGATGGTCCATTCAAACCATCTATTCAAGATTGTAGTCTTTTGTTGAGGTATTTATCGGCTCGTCCCAACCCAGATTTGGATTTGGTGTTTCGGGTTTCGAGGAAATATGAATCAACAGGGAAGTCTCTCTCAAAAGCTGTTTATGATGGAATCCACAGGTCTTTAACCAGTGTAGGTAGGTTTGACGAAGCTGAGGAAATCACGAAGGCAATGAGAAATGCGGGTTATGAGCCGGATAACATCACATACAGCCAACTCGTGTTTGGGCTTTGTAAAGCTAAGAGATTAGAAGAAGCCCGCGGAGTCCTTGATCAAATGGAAGCACAAGGATGCTTTCCCGACATAAAAACTTGGACTATTCTGATCCAAGGGCTCTGCAAAAACAATGAATTGGATAGTGCCTTGGCGTGTTTTGCGAATATGCTAGAGAAAGGGTTTGATATTGACTCTAATCTGCTTGATGTCTTGATAGATGGGTTTCTTATCCAAAACAGGATCGAGGGGGCAAGCATATTCCTTATGGAGATGGTGAAAAATGCCAATGTAAAGCCTTGGCAAAGCACTTACAAACGTCTTATAGACAAGCTGCTAGAGATCAAGAAGGGCAAAGAAGCGCTAGATCTTCTTCAGTTGATGAAGAAGCAAAATTACCCTGCATACGCAGAAGCTTTTGATGGATACTTTGCAAAGTTTGGGACTTTGGAAGACGCTAAGAAGTTCTTGGATGTGCTAAGCTCCAAGGATTCTCCTTCCTTTGCAGCCTACTTTCATGTCATTGAAGCTTTCTATCGAGAAGGAAGACTCACTGATGCGAAAAATCTTCTCTTCATATGTCCCCATCACTTTAAAACACACCCTAAAATCTCTGAACTATTTGGTGCTGCAGCTTGAGGTATTCTATCACCCAATTGTTCTGCAGAGACATGTCCATCATAGCAAACCAAGAGGTCATCTACTGCTTGAAAGCCTTTCCATTCGACTTCTCTGGAGTAAAACAATAACACTCTTCTCGATTCGCGAAAATAATGCCCATTAATTTCTCTGTTCTACGTGCTGCAGGGTTATGCCAAAACAGTCTATAGTAAGTTGATTTTGTAGGCTTTGTTGATGGAGATGAACGATGTTGGGGGATTGTTCATAAACAGTTTGCATTTATTTATTCATTTTTGTTGAACTCGTTCGTCTCTTTCTTGTTTTCTTCAACTTAGTATTGAATGGAAATCATTATTTTCATCAGAGATTGCAATTATGGATTGAGGTCTTGCTCATGTCTTGTAGATTAGGACCTCTACTAAGAATTTGACAATTAGTGGAGTGCAGATGAAGAATCTTTCTCCTTGCTTTCATCTTTATTGAGGATCACAAAGAGCAATTGTTGAAAGGATCTTGATGCTTTTACTTGGAGATTTTTTTCTGGATTTAAGATAGAATGATTTGTCATTGCTAACCTTTTTTTAGAAAATATGAATATTAGACGACATGAAAAGTCAGAAAACTCTTATCCGAATATTAACCTTCAGACCTGTCTGCTTTGGCCATGTGAGGTTTGTTCCAGAAGTCTGCTAAGCTTACGTGTTACTTCTTTCTTCACACATGCGATTGTCTGATTATTAGCTGAAAGAAGAGAGAGCTCACAGAGAGACATCATACTATAAAATGTCACTTCAATCAATGTATTTAATTATCAGCCAAGTGTTTTGGTCTCTAGACTTTTTTTTCTTTGTTTGTTTTTGATACATCAACTTCTCTTTGTTTCTTATACCATACGTTCCAAAAACATTTCATGAAAATTGTAAAATTGTTTTTGAAACAATTAAGGTCTTAGTTCATACCAAAAAAACAACTAAGGTCTTAATAATCGACTGGTTATCAAAATATGTTCGTTAGTTTTTTATGTGGCCAGATCAGGTTTAAACTTTGAAAACTTAGGGTTTATTTTGAACCAATCTTAATAAAACCGGACCGGATTGAAACTGGTTAACCGGTATCACAGCATTTTTACCGTAAACTAACAACACAGAGATGGAGATTCCGGAAGAAAAAGTAATTCAGGATTAAGAAAGAAGAAAATGATGATGCAAAGGAATCAACTTTTGACATGGAAACCGTCTATTGATGCTTAGGTTTTTCGGGCACGTATCTAATCTTGTGTGTTATAGTGACAGTGATGATGACATTTAACCAGTTTATTTACACCAAAGTTAGATAAGTGTCCACTTGCCCTACATTTTCTATTTCTCCAATTTTTTACCTGAAAAAGGTTAGAAGATTGATTGGCTTAATGACACAGTAATATAATTAAGACATTTATTTGTTAATTAGATTTAGATCCAACGATGTCGAGTAAATCGAATTTTGTAAGAAATGGTCAAATCAAAGTTTTTACATTGTTAACAATATAAAATTTTGATTATTTTTTCTTCGGAAAACAGTCTCCCTCGGTGTGTAATGGTCACTTCAAGTTTGTTCCACTGCTACAATATTTTTTCTTCTATCTCAAAATAAGCGAATATGACTACTTCAAATTTCGGTTTTAACAAAAAAAAAAAACTACTTCAAATTTCGGTCCGGTCTTATGGCTCCTTTGAACCAAAAACTAGAAGAAAACACAAAAAATAATTTGGGAAACTTCTCTTATCTTTTTATTATGTAAACATGGTTAATTTTAGAATAGAAATACTCAATAGACATTTATTAAATTTTTTTTTTTTTTGACATTTATTAAATTGAATAACTATTCATTATTTATTTGGGTGAAACAAAGTTTTGAAAAATAATATTTTAGTAGCTAATTATTTTATTCATATAATTAATTATTTGAGAAAAAATATTATACTATTAGTTAAAGAAATAACACAAGATCAAACGAGATGTGAAATCAGACGAGAAATGTAGAGAAAGTTAAAGAATGGTACCACGCACCTCTAAATACTCAGAATCTTGGTCAAGTCGTTTGACAATCAATAACCGTTGGGTTTCGTCCTTCACAAATCACACTCGAGTTAAAACGCAATCCGCGTTTGAAAAACGATTCCAAAATCCACCTTTCCAAAATCCACCTTTTAATAATAATGTAGTTTCGTTCTGCCGTGTATTAACACCTTTTTTTTATTGTTTCTTGGAAAAATAAAAGTGAGTTGGATATATGTCATCCTGACTAGACATATAAAATAAGACAAAAAAAAAATCAAATTAATTTACAATAAAAAATAAACTTATAAACAAACAAAAACAAAAAGGCACAAATGAACGTTAACATAATACAAAAAAAAAAAAAGAAGGAGAGCCAAAACCTCTGCTGAGGAAACAAAATAAGAAATTCTAACAGAGGTACACGTGTGAGGAAACGCATCCACTGATCCCCACAGTACACACGTGTACTCGCATCTAACAACGACACGTTTCATGTCTGGAACGGTCGCAACGTACCACGTATTGAATAAAACTGACGTCGTACGTTTTCTCACATATCTTAACGGCAAAGTTAACGGTTAAAAAACCCGCCGGAAATAATATTCCGTCATCTTCTCCGTTTGTTCACCGACCACAAAATTTCACTAATTTTCATAATTCTTCTCTTCACAAACAACAACACATCATCAACCTAAATTTCATTTTTTCACATTTATTTTTCTAAGGCATTTTTTATTTCACCGTCAACGTTATTGCCAGATGAGCTTGGAGTCTTTGTTGTGAACACGGCAGTTACAGCAACGAGAATATTCTCCAGTTCTCATACGGTATCTACTGAGAAGATTCTCCGCCGGTGGAGCTAAACAATAACGAGGCGGAGAAGGAGAAGCCACGACGGAGAACGGCGATTTCGGTGATATATCTCCACCACCGCCGCTAGATCGTGGCGACATCTGCTTAGGAGGCGACAAAATCGAACGGATCTTGCCTCCGTAAACACGATCGTATTCTTCAACCATATTCGCTAGATCCTCGTCTGACTTGACGGAAATTAGTGTCTCCAGATCTCCGTTTGGTAATTGACACTTCAATTCAACGGAATAGCCACAAAATTCCTCCAATTTCATCATCAATTCTGAAGAAGAAGTAGAAAAATCAACACCGTTAAATCGGGAAAGTTAGATGAAATCGGAATTGGGGAAAAAAAATTGAAACGGACCTGTGAAAGAGATTGAGTGATGAACGGAGAGTACTCTAGTGAAACCGCCGACGTAACGGAGCTTTCCATCGATAGAACGAGGGAGGATTCTTCCGCCGTAACTGCAGAGGAACTTGAGACTGTTCTTCGTTTTCTGATTCTCAGTTACGGCCACCATTTTTAGAAGCTTCTAGGTTTCGAAAATTTTCTCTGTGTTTTTTGGTTTCTTTTTCTCTTAAACGAAGTCTTATGGGGGACGAAGGGAACTTATTTATAGGTAGGAATGACGTCATTGTTGGGACCCATTTGTATATAGGGAAATGAAAAGATTCGTCATTTGTTGATACATTACAATTTACAAGGGTGTTTTGGACAATTTCGTCATCGTTAATCGAATTATTCCTTTTTACTTTCATTGCATTAAGCAAAGAAAATGAGTTTAGTGTATTTTTCAAGTTAAGTGGCTCATATTTATTGGCTATAACTAATTTATTAATGTCGTCGATTCGTTGGGACATTTTCTGGAACCCAAATCTGTCCATGTGAATGAATCATGTTTTTTTTTTTCCATAAAGTAATTGAAGAATTATTATGTTCAACCAACGACGGTTCATATAATTCTAATGCATTTTTCTATATTTTTGTTAGCATAATCTTTGATAATTGATCTTCTAGTTTATTTGAGTTTAAGAGTTTTTGGATTTATAGCATGATAGGAATTGATTAATGAGAATTAAGTTTTTAAGCGGTTAGATGTAACCGATCAATCAACAAAAGTAGTTACAAGCATTTTATTTAAAGATTAATTTAATTTAATTTTCCTATCTTGTTTCTTTATTTTTTCTCTATTTAACCACTAAAATGTTTTCTATCTTTTACTGATCCTAACCGCATCAAAAAATTTCATAACCGCGAAAATCAAATCTCTCTTCTTGGCGGAAAAAAAGAAAACGGCAGAGAAAGAGAAAGAAAATGGAAAATACGGCGAGCTTAGCGACGGGTCCCGACGGACGAAAACGGCGAGTGAGCTACTTCTTCGAACCAGAGATTGGCCAACCAACGGATCCCTTTCCGAGCCATATGGCGCACAAGCTCATCCTCACATATGGCCTCGACCGTCACATGGAAATCAGCCGCCCATATCTCGCCGGCGTTTTCGATTTCACACAATTCCACTCACCGGAGTATATCCAATTCCTCGCCTCCCTTACGCCGATGAATAATAAGGATCCTTCCGTCTCACTTAACAAAAGTCGCTTCTTCGACCTAGATGTGAACCGGCACACAAACAGTACTATCTTCAACGGCCTCTTCGATTATTGCCGCGCCTCCGCTGGTGGTTCTTTAAGCGCCGCCGTCAAATTGAACCGTCAGGAAGCCGATATTGCTATCAATTGGGCCGGTGGGATGCACCGTGCCAAGCGTGATCGTGCTTCTGGCTTTAGCTTCGTCAATGACGTTGTGCTTGCGATTGCCGAGTTGCTCAAGGTTTTCAAGGTAACTGTTTCCATTGATTTGCAATTTCATGAATCTTGACGCATCTTAATTGGAAATTACGCTTAGAATCTGCTTCTCTACTTTACTCTTTATTGTTTCCATGAATGAGAGATGTTTCTGCGAATTGTTTGGGGAATATGCAATTTCTTGATCTTAGTATTCAGATTTGAGCGTTGATTGTTGAATCTTGATGCATCTAAATTGGAAATTATGCTTAGAGTCTTGCTGTTTCTGGTAATCTGTGAGGAATTTTATGATATCAGCTATTGAATTAGACCTAAACGTCGACGAGGTCCTTGTTCTGAAGAACATTTTGTTTGTTTGTTTTACTTGACTTCTGTGAAAAAGTACTGGCTTGCATCTGAATGGTTTCTGAATTTTGTTGTTGACAGCGAGTTCTCTACATAGATATTGGCTTTCGTCATGGGGATGCAGTGGAAGAAGCATTTTACAATACGGATAGAGTTATGACTGTTTCTTTCCACACATATACGGACACACCTTTCCCAAGAGACGGAGACAGAAGGGAGTTGTATTCTCTAAAAGCACCATTAAAGAATGGGCTCAAAGATAAAAGTCTTCGCAACTTGTTCAGACCTGTTATCAACAAGGCAATGCAAGTTTATCAGCCAGAAGTTGTTGTTCTTCAGTGTGGAGCTGATTCATTAGCTGGTGATTTTACATTCAACTTGAAAGTCAAGGGTCACGGTGCTTGTCTCGAGTACATAAGATCTTTTAATGTTCCTCTCATGGTCTTGGGTGGTGGTGGTTCTACTTTTCGACATGTTGCTCGTTGCTGGTGCTATGAGGTCTGTTTTATCTCTTTGGTAACTTCAAATCTACAGTATGTGTTTTCATATCATACAAGTCTTGTTATTGATGGGTGATTTTTCTTCTTCCTTGTTGTAGACAGCGATTGCGGTTGGGGTTGGGGAACAACTTGAAGAAGAACTCAAAGTCAATGAGTTTCATTATAAGCCAAACTTCCAGCCGGATTTTAACACAGCAAGAGATATTGAGATTATAAGGTAACTTTTGCTTTCTATACACCTCTTTGGCATTCCTTTTCATTCTCTTATCTGATTATGGAGTAACTTACTTGTGCCTTCGATTACAGGAATGGTTTACTACGGCAACTTTCACAGCTAATACACGTACCAAGTGTACAGTTTCAAGACACTCCACCAATCAGTGCAGCTACAGAACCGGTACTACAGCTACAATCATTCATACATTGCCATTATATCTCTCTCTCTCTCTCTTTCTGGGTTAATTTTGTCATGTGTGAGGCTTTTAAGATTCATATCTCATCTCTGTAGGCGGAAGTGGACATGGAGAAGAGACAAGTTACACAGAATTTGAGGCGATCCAAGCTATGAATCAGAGACTCTGACGAGGATTGGCATTTTCACAGATAAGGCCAATGGGTAATGTGTCATAGGAGACGGATTCTTCATACTTAGTTTCACCTTTTTGTGAGTTGTTTTACAAACATGTACTTAAAAAAAAAAAGAACGATAGGTGTAAAGAAATCAACACTTAGTGTAAGCGTGATTACAGAAACTGTCAAATATTATAGAAAAATCAAACAACAGATTGTTGTTGTCAAAAGTCTCCAAAACATCATCATCATCATCTATGTTTTCGTGTATTACTTGATGCTGGTGAAGAGGAAAACAGAGTTCCACTTTCATTTTGTTACCCTGTAACATGTTAGAAAGAATTACTATATAAGTTGTCGGTTGGAAACTATAGAATTACTTTCAAATCATTGTTTTGCTATCTAAGTTTAAAGATATTTCAAACTAGAGATTACTAGCTCACAAAGATTTAGAGATCTTGGCTCGGAACTTTACTCACCTTTATTACTTATCTGGAACGAGTTATTTTTTTTTTTTGTCATCTCATATTATTTATTAAAGAACCGAAACAAACAACATGAAGTAATAAAACAAGAGGCCCAGATCAAGCCCAATACAAAGAAACCGTCATCAAGGAAGAAATAAGAAAAGTGGACAGCACAGGACACGCGTCGCATCAAGAGCAAAGTCAAAGACACGTGCGAAGAAAGAGAACAGTCATGGTTGCCGATCACCGCCGGCATGTTTTCCGACATCGGAGAACTCCAAACCACCGAAAGCTCCTTGAATCCTCAAGTCAAAAACCTTCACTTAGAGCTCTGAGAAAAGTCTTCTTCTTACGAAAGCTGTGCAACAAATCTTCCAAACGAAAATTAAACTCATATCTGGACATCAACAAACTAAACTAAAAAACATACAAACTCAGTCGATCCAGAGAGCTTCGGAAGATGAAATTGATCAATTATCAGCTCCAACAAACATCAGCTCCAATTACATCAAGATCAATCCAAGGGCACCAAACAAAACTTCAATCCACCACCAAAGCCGATCTTTAAAAATTAGAAACCGGTAAGCATGAAGAGCGGCTTTAGCCCCTTAAAAAAGAGAGGATCGGAGAATCACAAGTTCAGATCTAAGGAAAGAAATAAAGCAAAAGAAAGTCGATGAAACCGAAACAAAATGAAATCGAATGAGAGGAAAGGAAAAAACAAAGCCGGAGAAAAATCCGGAAACAAAAGTAGCCTAATTCGCCGGAGAGATGGACGGAGAAAGAGCTAAAATAAAGCCGGCCAAAAGCTGCTGCGGAAGCCAACTCATGCCGGAAAGGAGCCGGCCAAAAGCTGCCATGGAAGCCAACTCATGCCGGAAAGGAGCCGGCCAAAAGCTGCTATGGAAGCCAACTCATGCCGGAAAGGAGCCAGCCAACGCCGTTGAGAAAACCGATCGTTGCCAGAATAGAGCCGGCCAACGCTGTAAACGAAACCAGCCGTTGCCGGGAGGAAGCCAGCCAACGTCTCTGAAAAAGCCGATCGTTGCCGGAAATAAGAACGGAAAACAATTTCTCTCTCTGAAGGTTTCGAGAGAGAGAAGAGAGAGAAAAGCTTCCCAAAAAAATATTTATTTCTCTGTTTTATCTGGAACGAGTTAGATATTTAACATGTCGTAAAATTTAATAGGATATAGAATGTGAATGTGAGAGCTCTGTTAAATTCTCTTTGACCGAATTCTTATTTATTTACTTTTTTGACAACGATCGAATTCTTAAATAGGAAATCTTATTTTAGATAATGAAACCAAAAATGACTAAACCCTTTCGTTTGATTGAGAGTTTTTGTTTTTGGCTCGCTGTGTGGAGCTAATTCTTTTGTATAGAGCTGTCTTATAGGTATAGAGGCTCTGTTTCTTTTGGTGTTTGTTGTGGTTTGTTCCCAACATCATATGTTGTATCCTTCTGGGTTTGTGTTGTCTCACAAAGCTTCTTCAATATAATTCCAGTTGACCAAAAAAAAAAGAAACCAAAAATGACTACTTGACTTGATTCAGACACTCAATGGAATTGTTAAGTGAAATTTATATAAAATAACTACTAGCTAAACCAAATAAGAAAATCCCAACATAATCCAAATTTAATTTAATTTAGCTTATCTTCGTATATAAATTGATACCATATGTGCGAGACAAATCAGCAGAGGTTAACCGGAGAACTTAATTTTTTTTTTTTTTTTTTAATATCAGGAGGTTCTGGGCCGAAGCCCGTAATTCCCCAGACCCGAAACCACAGCATGTAATATTAGTTTCGTCCCAAGCGTTACTCGAACTAGCGACCTCTAAGCTTCGCCGAGGGTCTTTACCAGTTGAGCTAATGACACTTGGTAACCGGAGAACTTAATTAAGGAAAGTAATATTATTTACATGTGAACTACGAGCGTCTTGATCCCTCCGATCAGAGGGTACGTAGGCAGCCTCGTTTACGAGGCACAGCTGCAAATTTTAATAAAAAAATTATCTTTTTCCAAATATGGAACGAAACGAAAGCACATCGGCGCCCTGGCCCGGCGTCCGATCGAAACAAACAAGCCGAGCTCCGCACTCGCAAAAGGTAGAACATTCGATTGCATAAGCCGAGGTCGAACTCGCACATCGCCTTTGTTCTAACCCCTTTTTAACAGGATAAGCCGACCTCGGAAGTCGCACCTAAAAATGTCTTGAGTCTGTCTCAAACATACGATAAAAACAATTCACCAAGGTCGTCCTCGGTAATATGCGCAAAAAAAAGATAATATAAGAACGAAACCAACTTAGATAAAATAAAGCCAACAGAAGTGGCGAAAGAGTTTTACAAAAACCGATCTACGCGGCAACCAACTTAAAAAAAAGGAGAGGAAAAAGCCAACAGAAATGACAGACGAGCTTAAGATAAAAACGAGAAGAACTAAGACGCGGCTTCGTCTTGGCGAGGAGCCTCTGTTTGAGAAGAATGAGCAGTAACAGACGGATCGACAGCGTTCTCCTCACCATCCACTCCTTGCTCGGCACTAGCGTCGAACGACGCAAACTCCTCAACGACCAAAGGATGCTCGAAGAAGGTTCGAACATCCGACCAGCCTTCCTCAAGCTCGGCGATCTCAAGAGCGCAGACTTTAGCCTTGATCTCCTCCGCATCGGCCAACAACCTCTCCAGCGTCGCCTCCAAACGAATGACGATCTCCTCGGAGTCGACCAGCGTCCTCAGCATCGATATGGTCCCGACAGCCTGATTATAGTCAAGAAATTCGGGCTCCACCTCGGCCTTGTCGTCAAGGTGCTTCTTGACCATGTCAAGACGATACTGAAACTTCTCTGAGGCCTCCTTAAGCGCCCTGGTCACCGAGATGCGAGCAAATTCGTCGCGTCGCCTCCTCAACCTCGCCTTATCAGCCTGTGACTATTCAGCCAGACGCTGGAGGTCACTACTGCACTTGGCCAACTCCTCAAGACTACGATCACGCCCCGACACGGCTTCGTCCCGCTCTTCCTTTAACTTGGCCACCTCGTCGCGAAGGAGTATCACCTCAGAGTTAGCACTCTCTAGGTCCTTCGATGCTTGGTCGGCCCTTTTCTTCTCGGCCGCCAAAGCACTCTGATGCTCCTCCGAAGCGGTATTCTGTTCGGCGACAACACGGAGTCGGCGCTCGTACATGTACGCCATCCGGTCAATCGCAGTAACAGCCTAAGGAATGAAGCTCGGTTAGAAAACAAAATACTTAAAAAAAAAGGAGCGTAAAGATTCATCGATCATTACCGCGATGGTCTTCTTCGCCATGTCAGTAAACGCCGTTCTCTCCCACATATTCTGGAGCTCGAGAAAGGGAGTTGGGCCGACATGAATTTTCCGGAACAACTCCGCACAAGATGCGACGTCAGTAGAAACATGAACGTCGCGCCCATCGTAGTCGTTGTGCCATCGGTAGTCCGGCGAGAAGCCCATCCTCGGTTTTTTTGCAGGATCCGAATGCTCCGGCTCGGCATCAGTTGGAGCTCGCTTCCTGGTGAGCTCGGCCTCCGGATCGTTGCGCAGGATGATCTCTTTTCCCGCCCCAGCAGGCGCATCGCGCGAATCGTCCGCAACGGGCAGCTTGGCCAACATCGCCTCGGCCACCTCCTTTTCCCTCCTCTCCTTTTCCAACCTCCCAGCTGAAGGATCGGAATCACCACCACCACGACCGCGTCTATCACGACGGTCAACATCCTCTCTCCTCTCATGACAACCTTCAGGTCGCCTCTCTTTCTCTTTCGCCTCGTACTCCATCAGAGAGAGGCGCTTTCCCAAGGCCATAGCCTCCTCTTCTTCCCGGGACATCTTCACCGGTGTCGCCGCGGACTTCTTCTTGTACCTCGACGAATAGTTATCCACCGCGTCGACATTTACTTTGCCCATTATTCGATGAGGAGCTAGTAAAGTAAATAAAACAAATGTAAATACTCACCGCCACCAAAAAAAAAAAAAAAAAAAACGGCTAGAAGCTAAAAAAAAAGAGAAGATGACGATTCGGCACCAACCTGAAGATTTGGAAGCTTTCACCTAGATGTGAACCTGCAAACAAACAATACTATCTTCAACGGCCTCTTCGATTATTGCCGCGCCTCTGCTGGTGGTTCTTTAAGCGCCGCGGTCAAATTGAACCGTCATGAAGCCGAATTTGGTGTATTTTTCAAGTTAAGTGGCTTTGGCTCATATTTATTGGTTATAATTATTTATTAATGTCGTCTATTCGTTGGTACATTCTCGACCTAAATCTTCCGATGTGAGTAAATCGTTATTTTTTTCCTTAAAATTAATTGAAGAATTGTGATGTTCAACAATCAACAGTTCGTATAATTGTATAATTCTAATGCATTTTTTATATTTTTGTTAGTATAGTAATCTTGATAATTAATCTTTTGACTAGGAATTGATTAGTGAGAATCATGTTTTTAAGCGGTTTGATGTACCAACGATCAATCAACAAAAGTAGTTACTAGCTAATTTTCATTTATATAACTTTTCTATATTTATTTTCTGTTTTTTTAACCACTTAAATGTTTTTCTTATCTTTTATTAATCTTAACCATATCAAAAAAATTCATAACCACGAAAAACATTTATTGGCGGAAAATGAAAACGGCAGAGAAAAGGAGAGAGATAAAATGAAAACTATGGTGAGCT